CACTTTGAAATGAAGTCGCCCATACTTTGCATGTTGATTCAGCACATTACAGGGGCTACAAAACACTGTGTTTCGTTGCAAAGCATGCTGGGAATATGGGAACTCTCGCACAGTTGAATAAAGTTGTATACTATTACGTCCGCCCTGCAAAGCGTTCCCAGCCGGGCGCACTTTCGCAGAGTGCTTTTAGCAGCGCGTGGCGCTTCTCGGCGTCTTCGAGGAGGCGCGCGAGGTCAGGCACGAGGCGCGCGACAAAGTCGCCTTCAAACGTCGCAATCAAATACGCGTAAAACTCGCGCGCCGAGAGCTGCTGATTCCCAAACTTGCGCGCCTTGGACGTAAAGAGCTTGACTTGCTGCGGGTCGCCGCCAAAGACGCCATGCACCGCTTCGAGGATCGACCGGTGCAGCTGCCGCGCCTCCTCGCCGACGACGGGCTGGATGTCTTGAATCACGAGCATGGGCGCCGCCTTCTTGCGGCTCGGGCCTGCCTCTGCAGCAGCGGGCGCGACCGGCGGCGCGGCGCTCTCAAAGAGCGGCAGCGCGCTTTCCCAGCCTCCGTGCTGGGCGTCGTAGGCCTGAAGCAGCGCTTGGCGCTTCGTCGTATCGCTCAGCAGTTTGGCGCACGACGGGACGACGGCAAGCGCGACCTTGGGCCCAAACGCGTTGAGGATGCCGTCGCAGAAGGCCGCGGCGTCAATCTCGCCGTTGCCGTACTTGCGACTGTGGCTCTTAAACATGTCGATGGCGGCCGCCGTCTCGACGTGCCGCTCCGTGCACGCGTGCATGAGCGTCGAAAGCACTTGGCCGTACAGCGCCTTGGCCTCTTCGGCCGAGATCTTTTCGGCGCGCTCCTTCTCGAGTTGCGCTAAGACGCTGAATCGTATGCTGGGTTTCATGATGACGTTTCGTTACCGAGGCGGGCGTCCTCCTTGGCCTTTTGCGCGTGGTCCCAGATCGTGCCGTACTCTTTGCTTTGGTTTTGCCGGTACGCTTTCTACACCAGCGTTCGAAAAGTGTGTCTCTCGTTCGTTCCGTGTACCTTGAGTTCGGTGCGGAAGTCGTCGAGGACGCTAAAGAATTCCATGGCACCAAACTTGCGCGGGTCTTCGCCAAACGACGCCACGAGCTCCGAGAAGGCACTCTCGAGCGCCTGAAAGTCGCGGCTCATCTCGTCCACAATCTCCGCCGCCTCCTTCACGAACGGCGCCATGATCTCGTAAAACTTGTCGGCCGGGTCCGTAGTGTTCGCCTTGGACGCTTGGACCTAACGAGACCAAGATGAGACAAAATTGATGGATACACCCATCTTGCAACCTGGCCCTGGAGCATCGCGAGCTCCGACGTGCAGCCAGTAATGTCGGCCTTGACTTGGTCGAGCGACATGCGCTTCGCTTCGACAATGTGCGGCACTTCGCCCGCAAACGCAATCAGATCTGGCTGCGTCGCCTCCAAGTGGCGGGCCAAAAAGTTCATCTACACGCACGGTCGACCTCGGATTTTGCATACGAATCGCGATCCTACCAGTGTCACTTTCGGGTCCACCGACCGGATCGTATGGAGCTTTCCGAGCGCTTCGAGCTTGAAGCCGTACGCGCCGCCGCGCGCCGTGCCGCCGTTCATATAGTTGCCGATCGCAAGCACCTACCATGGGGCATGATGAGCATCGATCTATGTATATATGGAATCGAGTGGACCGTCTCGAGGATCTTGGTGAGGCGCGTCGAGTCGGCGACTTGGTCGGTCGCGGCGCTCAGCGTGTCGATCTGCGCTTGGATGTCGAGCACGCGGTGCTCAAACTGCATGTAAAACTTGAAGCACTTGATGCGCTGGGTGTAGCGCGGGATCGTGAGCATCTCCAAAAAGAACTTTTCGACGGCGCCGAGCACCTCGACCGGTCCGTCGTAGTTTTTCAAAATGTCCTGCTCTTCGAGCGTCGGCGCGAGCGTAATGAGTGACGTCACGTGGTCGCTCGTAAGGACACTCGTGTCCAGCGCCAAGAGCGCCGCTTTCACCTCGGCCGGCGACAGCTTGTAGCGCGCGATCGCAATGCCGACGTTCTGCTGCGTCTTCGAGTCGAGGAGGAGCACCGTCGACGACTCCTTCTTCTTCTTGAAGTTGTCCTCGTCCTTCTTGCCATCTAAACAGGCTCATGAGGACAATCCTGCGCGAAGAGTGAGTACCGTTGGTTGGGTTTTTCCGGAAGAAGAGCTCCATATCGAACGGGTCGAGGGGCACGGCGTCGTCCGAGAGCTTGTTCCAGACGGTGCTCTTGACGACGTTGACAGGGATGCGCGTCCAAAAGAGCGACCGCATCTCGGTTCCCGGCTTCTTGCTTTCCTTCTTGGGCAGTGCCGGCGGTTCCTCTACCAACCCATTGTGAGTTGCCATCTTGATACTCTGATAGATACCTGGTTTCTTGACGCTGGGGCGTTTGGCGAGCATGTTTTGAAGGTCCCCGAGCTTGGGGGCCGACGGCATCGCTGGCGCAGCAGACGGCGCCGTCGTCGTTGCGCCGTTGAGCAGCGATGGGTCCACGCCACTCGCCTGCATCTTGAGCTGCACTTGCTCCAGCGGCATGCCCATCTTGAGCAGCTTTAAATACTTGCCGACGACCGGGTCGTCCGTCGCCGGTGCAGGCGGCGGATGGACTAGGCACATGTATGCATACCATATGTCGTGGAGATATGGACGCCGTACCGGCTGTGCCAAGGACCGCGTCGGGGGTGTCGAGAAGGTCGGGGTTGAGCCCTTCGGCCCCCATCTTCAACTTGATCTGCTCGGCCGGCATGCCCATTTTCATGAGCTTGAAGAACTTGGCGTAGCGCTGGTCGTCCTTGACTGTGACGGCGCCAGCTGCCGCGGGGGCTGCTGCGGCAGGAGGGCCGCCGATGAGCGCATCGGGCGTGTCGAGCAAGTTGGGGTCGGCGCCCGCTTGCTGCATTTTCATCTTGACCTGCTCCGCAGGCAGCCCCATCGAAAGCAGTTTGAAGAACTTGGCGTAGTCGGGGTGGTCCTTGACAAGGGTGCTACCGCCCGCCGCAACGGCAGCGGGCGCAGAGGCAGGAGCAGTCGCGGCAGCTTGCAGCTTGTGTTCCAGCGTCGCGATGGTCTGTGCTTGGAACTCGACCTGCGCAATCGCCTTGGCCTCGGTGCGCGCCAGCTTGCGCTGGAGCTTCTCCACCATCTCGCGCAATTGCTCGTTCTCGGCTTGGAGCGCGTCCGCGACGGGCGCCGCATCGGACGAGTCGGGCGTCGAGGTTTCAGGCGTCGGCGTCTCGGGCTCGGCAGGAGCGGGCTCGGACTCGGGCACCGACTCGACGGCCGACGCTGTCGGCGAAACGTCGACGGGCTCGGCCTTGGCGGGCGGCGATGGCTCGGCGGGCGGCGCGGCAAAGATGCCACGCAGCTCTTCCGCGCTGCTCTCGCGAGACGCTCGGCTCTGCGCGTGCTGGCCTGCGCCGCAGTCGATGCAGAATTTCACGTGCGGTGGCAGCTCGTACCCGCACTCGATGCAAAACTTCATGCTCTTTATACTGGCCATGGCTTCGAGGCGCGGGATCGGTATCGCCTGCGACTGCCGGCGGATGAGCGTACCGCGCGCGCCGCTCTGCGCCGCCTCGAGCATCGGGTTGGTCGCCAGGCACGGAAGGCAGAACCACTGCGGGCGGGTCATGGATGGGTTACTGCGGTCGATGGCCTTGCGCGAGCACTCTTTGCAGATGGCGACGTGGCAGCCGCGGCAGTGGTGTCGCCGGCGCATGAGGTTGAACGTCTTCTCGCAGCCGCTGCACGTTGGCTCGCGCCCAAACTCGAGCGTCGTGAGGCTTTCGAGTGCATGGCTATGTTTCCGCCATCGGCACGTGTCGAGGGGCTGCTCGGCGCGCGAGCGCAGCCCAATGTGCTTGAAGCTCTTGCCGTAGCTCCACTCGCCGACGATCCAGCCGGGCCCGTCTGCGGCGAAGCGGTAGCCCGTCGGCGGCCGCGCCGTTTCGAGCGAGACGATGGCCTTCCCGAGCGCGCCCTTGCCGTCGGCGGCCTCGGAGAAGTTGGTTCCTTCGCCCGCGAGGAGCTCGCTGCTCCAGCCGTGGACGTTGCGGCGCTGCTTCTCGTAGACCTCGTACAGCACCGTCGTCATGTACCGTCGTCCTCCTCGGCTCGATGTCACACGCCGAAGAAGATGTGAGTGGGAACCTCCGGGATCCATCTCCGGGCTCAACAATAAAAGCCCACGTAATTTATTGACCGAGCCAAGACGATTACATACAAATACATCATTAAAATAGAAGAGATACTACAATAAAGTTCGCAACCGCGCCCGGATTGGCTAAAATGCGCCACGGCGCCGTTTCAACACAATTACAAATCGACTAAACGACCGACTAAAGGCAACCCAGAAGCGCCACGAACGCCACGTCCGCGGCCCGACCAAGCATGAGCACAACGGCGCATGGGCTGTTGCCTCGATCGGGTCTAGTGCGAGGCTTGCCCACACCAGCGTACTTGGTGGTCCCATTACAAACTTGGTCGCGAAGTGACATCGAAGCATCTCAGCACGACAAGTTGATGATGGAGGTGTGCACCAAGAAACACGGGTGCGACTGACTTCAACTTTAGTCACTTTGGTCAGCTGCCATCATCTCCTTGACGCACATCATCTCCGGAATGGTGCTTGGTTGGATCCACGCATAAAGGAATGGATTTGCTATCCAATTCAAGGCCACTGGGCGCTGGCAGCAGCCAGCTACTTAGTAGTAATAACTACATTGCGAACGACTATATATACATTGCGTGCGGCGATCGACTTGTCGCTGCGGAGCGCCACGTATTTGTATCGACGCAGCATCGCGATGTCTCCACGTGGTTCGAGAAGCCGCTTCTGCGAGACGCGGGCGTCTTGCATAATACGACCAAGAGCGCCAGACCCAGAGAGTGTGTGTTTTTAACGTCAACGCTGGGACAAGCCAAAGGGTTTAGTCGAAGCCGTTTAGTCGAAACCCACTTTAGTCGAAAGCCATATTTTCGGAATTGCCAGCGAATGATGGACGCGATCTTGGCCCTCGTCCAGCACGACATTGGCGGCCGGGGCATGGTCCACCTTCTAGATGGCCCGCGGGACCGCGCTGCCTTTGCCAACGCCGTTGAGGTGCTCGCCCGCCTCCCGCCGGCCTCGCATGTCGCGATCCTCACGGGCTTTCCGTGCCTCCTCGACTACGACCCACCGACCGAGACGGACGGCCTTGGCGGGACTTTTGCTCTCGCCCATGCGCTGCACGCGCTGGGCCGACATGTGGTACACATCCTCACGGACGATGTCAATGCGCCAGTGCTCAAAGCGTGCATCGCGGCCGTGCCCGACCTGGACGTGCGACTGCACGCCTTTCCCCCAGGCCATCTCTGGACCACCGAGACGCGGGCCGCACTGACGGCGCTTTATCCCAGTATAGCAGCCTACGTAGCCATCGAGCGCGCGGGGGCCGCCGACGATGGTGCGACGCGAGGATTGCTTGAGCAGTCGGACGACGTCACTTTGACGTACTAGGCCACTACTACACGATGCGCGCCCGCGACATGACGGCCATGGTCGCCCCCTTGGACGAGTGCTTTGCGCACGCGCGAGCGCATGGCGTGCCTACGATTGCGATCGGCGACGGCGGCAACGAGCTCGGCATGGGCAACGTCGCGGCGACGACCAAGGCCAAGGTGCGCAATGGCGCCATAATCGCGACCACGCAAGACTGCGACCACTTGATTGTCGCGTGCATCTCGGACTGGGGCGCGTACGCTCTCTGCGCGGGTCTTGCCGTTCGAGAGAGCGACGTGGCGGTCTTGGTCGATGCACACGCCGTCGTCGCCGTGGCCAACGCCATGGTGGCTGCCGGCGCCCGGGACGGCATCCTCGCCTGCCAAGACACGTTTGTCGATGGACTGCCGCTCGTCGAGACGCTCAACTTGCTACATGCGCTCCGGCATGTGGCGGCCGGGGCAAGGCACGTGACGCGGCTTGTCGGCAAGGTCGGCGAGACCGGTACTTAGTGCTTGTCTCTCAACCTCATGTACGTACTCGTCCTCTGCAAGTAGAATGGCCGATGCTCGGACGGCGCAAGACTACAGCGACGTCCCAACCGTACCTCCGCATCTGCCGCCTGGCGGACCTTGCGACTCTGCCCGACGATGCCCACGCGCATCATGTCCTCGGTACACGCTTGATCTGCTGCTCGATGATGAGTATTCGAGTAGAGATTACGGTGCAGGAGATTGCAACGCTCGACTCGATGCTACACCCAGCCCCGCGCTTGGTCAATCTGCAAGTGGACGCCGCCATGTCTGCCACGGAGCTTTTGGCCGCGATGGCGCGCTTGCAGGTCGTTGGTAACTCGACCTTTCTCGGGCTGGTCAATGTCTCCTTGGACGTGCTTGCGCAAGCCTTGCGCCTCGACGCGGCGTTGATGACGAGCGTTCGATTTGTGACGCACTCGGACCGCGCCGTGCTGTTGCAAGTGGCGTCGTTGTGCCAGCAACACAACATGGCGCTGATGCTGGACCATGGCGACGCGTCGCCAAGCGCACTGCCTTTGCTTCGCGACGACCGATCGCTCTACTGTGTCGCTGCCCACATCTTCGAATAAGCTCTTAATGCACGGCGGCTTTGCTCGACGGCGGCAATTTGCATCGACCGTATCTTGCGCTCGGCTTTGATTGGCCACAATCCAGGGCGGCGATTGGCTCTTCGCCGTGTATCACTGTCACGGATGGCCGTGCGTTCATTGGCTGCGAACCGCGACAGGACGCGTTCGATTGGCTGCAATCCTGTCTTCGTTTTGGCTTGGTCATTGACGCGTCAGTTCGCATAGATCGATCCGATGGCCGAGTACAGCGACATTGAGGTCCACGACGAGAGCGTCGACGGCCAGCGCCGGTCGTCCGCCGGCGACGTCGCGCGCACCAAGATGCTGGCGCTCGACCGGACCATCTTTGTCGCTTGCCGCCATTTGCACCTCGCGACGCCGGACGCGACCGTGTACCTGCCGTCGCAGTCGATGCAGCGCGGGCTCGCGTACGCCAAGACGATGATGCAAAAGCAGTCGGGCAGCCCCGACTTTGCGGGCGCCAGCTTTGCGCGCGTCACGATCCGCCCGGCGTCCGGCCATCCGTGCGTCGTGCGCTCCGTGGCGCAAAAGGGCACGAACCCGAGCTACGTCGTCGGCATTGCGCTGCCCGAGTCGCTCGACCTCGAGACTGCGAATTGCACGATCGAGATTGTCGCGTGCCAGGAGAAGACGGTGCTGGCGTCGACGGCGGCCTTTCCAGCGTCGCACTTGCTCTCGTCCGTCTCGGTGCCGCTCAACGCGCTCGTGCCCACGAACCCGATCGACTCGAACACACCGGTCGTCGACGTGCAGCACGCGCCGCAACTGCAGTCCATCTACCTCTCGTCGCCGCCGTTTGCACCGAGCTCGTCGACCAAGTACGCGTTTCCGGGAGGAGTCTTTCTCCAGGAAGACATTTTCGAAGTCGACTTGGCGACGTCGATCCCGCGACAAGTGCTCGAGATGGCGCTGGACGAGACCGAGCACCAAGTGGCCACGTACAGCGCGTATGTCGAGGCGGCGCGGGTCCAAGAGTGTGTCTTTGCGTCCGCCGTCGACGCGCTGCAGAGCGGCTGCGACGTCTACACCATCCGCGCCCTCCGCGCGCGCGGCCTCGGCAGCGTGCCCACGTCGACGACGTCGACCGTCCAGCACCACTCGTCGGCCGCGAACGCACCGGCCGCTTCGTCCCGCGCCAGCGTCGTCGCGATGGCCAAGTCGATGCGGTCGTCGGCGTTCTCCAAGTTCAAGAGCCTCCAGATTGGCACGACAGACAAAGCCGTCATCATCAACGCCTACTGCGAAGTGACGATCTCGGACCCTCACACGTGCACCGGTGCACCGTGGTTTGCCGCCAAAACGAATGTGATTACAAACTCGACCGAGCCGCTGTGGCGCGTGGCGTACACCGGGGCCAAAGTCAACGGCGCCGTCGACGCGGACGGCCACATGTGCTTTTACCGACCGGCGAATCGCGCCAAGGACGGCGTGCTCGAGTGCAAAGTGTACACCAAGCCGCCGCCGCCGACGTCCATGTCGTCTGCGATCCTCGCGGCCCGCAAAGCGAGCCCGAACCCGTGCTTGGGCACCGTCAAGATCCCGCTGGCGTCGCTGCTGCCGTCGACGACGGCCGCCGACACGGTGGTCACGGCGCCCGGCGAGTGGTACCGACTGCACCAGCCATCGGTGCAAGAAGGCTCGGCTTGCAAGTGCGACGACGACGAGACTGGCGATGGTCCGTGTGTCGGCGAGCTCCTCATTGACCTCGCCGTCACGGCGACGACGGCGTCCTTTCCGGCGGCGACACCGATGCCGGCTACCCCGCCGCGCTACCGCTGGCTGGATACTCTGACCGTCGACAAGGAGCCGTCCGTGGCCTTGCCGCTGCCCTCTCGGTTCCTCGACGACCATCTGAGTGCGCTCACGACGTCCCTCGAGACGACCAAGAACGCATGCGCTATCGCGAGTGAGTGGGCCGATGCACACACGCGCTTCAAGTCGAGTGCGATGAAGAAGACGGAGAACGTCCAAGCACTCCCGACCAACTTGCACGTCGCAGTCGCCCACGTGACGTCGTCCAGCGACAGCGGGCTCCAGGCGCTGCCAACCGTCACGTGCGGCCTCCCCGCCGCGCACGCCTTGGGGCTCGAAGACACGGATTTGTGGGCACTGGAAGAAGCGATCCACGAGGCGAGTGCGCACCTCCGAACCCGGCTGTTGGGTGGCCTCCCGGCGACCTCGTCCCTGGCCACGCGGCCCGACGGGTTTGTCGCGCTGCAGCCCGAGGCGACGCCAGAGACAGCACCCGAGTCGACGGACGCCATCGACGCGGACGAAGCGAGCCGTACTTCGGACACAAAGGAGGACGATGTCTCGATCAAGTCGCGCGCGACCAAGTCGCTCAAAGAGCGGTCGAAGCTGCTCTCGTCGCTGTATACGCAAGCCAAGACGAAGGCCATTGCGCTCGCCAAGGCGCCGAATGGCGATGACGCGTCGCTCTCGGCCGCGTCGCTCGTGACACTGCAGGCGCGGCTCGCAGACCTGCGCCTCGAGTACCGATTGCGCAAAACGATGGTGATGGCGCAGGCGCTCGCACCGATCGTGTCGGCGTTCATCGTGAGCGTCCAGCAGTGCTTGGCGCTGCCGGCCGAGGCGCAAGAAGCGTGTTGGGAGCAGTGGCGCGCCCGGGGGTACCTCATTGGCTGGGAAAGCCTCGTGAGCTCGCAGGGCAAGGAGCTGCACATGCTCCTCGATGCGTGGATGGCACTGCAGAGTATCTCGCGCGTCTTTCGCTTCCAGCTCGTCTCGACCGGCAGCATCTGCGTGCTCGACACAGTCGTCCAAGTGCCGCTGCCACCGGCCGACTTTTCGCGCCTCCCGCCGTCGCTGCAGCGCGACGCGATTGGCCTCGTCGTCGTCCTCTTCACCCAAGGCATCAACGAGATGCAGTCGCTCGCCAACATGTCCAACTTTGCAGGCGTCTCGAAGCAGTCGGTCATCAACACGGCGAGCCTCAAGAGCCTCGAGCAGTACATGGGCGACGACGTCCCAACCGCGCTGCGCGATGCCGTTGCCCACGAGAACGGGTCGAGCAAGAACACGGAGATTCTGCGCCTCGCGTCCAAGGCCGTGCGGCGGCTCTACGGCGGCCGCGTCACGTGCTGCAAGTCGGGGAAGGACCGCACCGCCATGTCGGTCACGTGGGAGCAGGCGGCGTGGGCGCTGCAAGCCAAAGACGACGACCTCGAGAACGAGGATGCCCTCGAGGCCAGCGACGTGCTCAAGATGGCCAACGTCATGCGCGAGTTTGGCGGTCGCATTGGCATTGCGGAGAAGAACGTCGGCGCCAAACGCTACTCGTTCAACGCCCTCCAGCGCAAGCTCCTCCCGCCCTCGTACCGCCCGCCGCTGAGCACGATCCAAGACATGGTCACGTCCGTGGCGCTCCGCGACTCGTAAATATTGTTGATAGTCGTACACATACTTAGCCACGGCCTGGCGAACGAATGAAGAGGAAGGGGTCTCCAACCGTCGTCTTCTTCAAAGAGAAATGAATCATTTGAAATGACGAAGTCATTTTTGAGATGCGATCGCCTTCATCGGGTAAGCACCCAACATGTAGTCGCTGCTTGCAAGGGTGGCAGGAGAATCCCCAAGACATTTGACCAGCGGTGTTGTCGACGCCTGTAGGATGAATCCCGCCGACTGCGTGGGTGGTTCCACGAGTCGACTCATTGCTACACCAGCTACGTCGTTGCAGCGGGTCGTTCTTCTTCCTGACGGATCACTGCTAGAGACGAGAATCACACGTGGCATTCAAGATGGAAGCAACACCAAACGCAATATTCAAACACGAAAATACGATTCGAGAAGAGATATAAATGCGAGACGAAAACAAGATCTGCTTCGACATGGCGCTTGCTACGACAGTTTTGGGATGGCGCTGGCAAGATGCAAAATGACGGCAGACAGAGGTAAAACGATCGACGCAGAGACCCGCGTACAAGGCTACGCGGTGGATAATGCCCGCTTCGTCCGCTTCGACGGCGTCGGGCAGTCCGCCACAATGGCGTCCGCTCGACGGTAAGCAAGATACATACTAGTATATGAGCCTGCTAGACACTGGGAGGTCGCGACGGTAGCGTTGCCGTCGGAGGCTTCTTCCTGACAAGCGACGTTGCATCGCGCAGTCGATCGAGCCTACATCATGACTGCACGAGCACACGCTACCTTGATTCGCGTACCCGAGCATCCATTGGCGTGCGGGATGCAGTAGAACAACGGGCTGGGCAACGACCCTGCAAGAAGGACGCGCCGCTCCTTCGCCATTGAGGGTGCGCACTTGGCTTTATCATGCGCGCGCGGCAGGTGGTGCCAGTACCACGACCGAGTCGCGCTCCTTCACAAGCGGCTTGACGTTGACGGCCACTCGATGACGCGGCCTTCCTTGGCGCGGGCCTCGTCGAGGTGCATCTGGTCAGTCTCACCATGCAGCACGGGTCAGTCGCTCCAGGCGGCGTCCGTCGTCGTCAGCGCGTCGTGGCCCATGGCGGCCGGCTGCTCGGTCGTCGGTCGCTCGGGTCTTGCCGACGCTGGCAGTTTATGGCCCCGCAATCATCCGCATAACATTCGGTTATCCGGAATGGTCATTGAGCGCTTCACTCTTCCGTCGCAGAGCAGTCGACAAGCCATACTGCAACCCTCGTCGGACCATTCGCGGTGCGGTGGCACTTGACGACCTCAAGACCGCCAGCCTCCCCATGCCTCTCGACTACTAGGAACCGTCAATGGGGCCTCAACCTTTCCAGCCGACTGTCGCCGTGATCAGTCCAAATTCGACAGGCGCCACCCAGACCACACCTGCGTGGCCAACCAGGTGGCTTGAAGCTTGGCGTCTCAGCAGCTGGCGCTGGCAGCTGTCTCTCATCTGCAAGACGTGGAGGCACGTGGAGGCAAGATTCTGCAGCGCGCTGTTGCCACTTGAAACTGCGGCGATGACGCAGCCGGCGAGCCGCGACCTGGTCCTCGCGCGTCCAATCTTCTCTCTTCTTTCCGTGTCTCTTGCCGCACCGATCAGATTACCACGAGCGTCGTTGGTCGAAGTCTGAGATCGCAGTGCATCGACCACTGCGATTCTTCCCGTGCTATATCACCGGAATATTTTTATACATGGGTCAACGGCCCGCGGTGGTGGGCCAATGCATTTAATTAAAACAATACCACGTCTGCTTCATTTATACTCGCGCCCGCCGACGTCCGAGCCGGCAAGCGATCACGACGCGCCGCCGTCAGAGCCGACAAGTGACCAAGCCACGCCGCTGTCAGAGACGGCAAACGCGCCCGGTACGTCGTCACCGGGCGCGTTTGCCGTCTCTGACGGTGGCGTGGCTTGGCCACTTGTCGGCTCTGACGGTGGCGCGTCGTGATCGCTTGTCAGCGGCTTGGCACCGCGGACCGTTTGCAGAATGTGACACAGCACTAGAGGCCGATGCCGTCGTGAGCGGCGACACCGACACGCGCAATGATCGCGAGCCACGCCGAGCTCATGCTTGCAGGGCTCGTGCCAGACTGGCCCAGGACAAGCTCACACCGAGAAACAGGCTCGTAAAACAACTCTCGGCGGTCGCAGAGGCAAAAGCGCCGTGTGCTCGACGCAGCGATCGACGTAGCGCAGCTCTCTGTCAACGAGCCGCGGTCCGTTGCTGGCGCCAAGAGCTGCGACAACGACTGGCTCGGCTACGCCGATACGTTGGCGCGCCGCTGGTCGGCATGTGCACGTGGGCGCGACAACGCTCGCGACAGCGCCCGCGTGTTCAAGGCAGAGAAAGCTCTACGGACGAGGATGCTGCATGAGGAAAGCCTCGACGCAGAGGACAATGCTGGTCGTAGATGGAGTTGGAGGAAGGCTTTGGCGAGGAAGGCGGGGCATGGCAAGTGTTTATTAATAATTGTCAGTGCTACAAACATATAGTATACCAGCTTTATCTCTAGCGAGATTGAAAGAAACTTGATACTTGTACTACATATTTATTTCGGTGATTTCGTTCCTGATGAAAAGACAGGCACAAGGATACATCGCTTAGCTCGCGCTCGTGTGCGGCGCGCTGTACGGAGTCATGTTGACGGGCGCGGAGACGAAGCGGGCGGCCTTGGACATCATGCGGGTCTTGGAGACGTTGCCGTACTGCGCTGCCTGCATCGGCATCGGCATGGCGCTGGCCATCGGCGGGGGACAGAGGTCGGCGGCGTTGACTTCGACGTCGTTGCTGCGTTGCGCCCAGTGCGACTGCGTCTTGCCGGCCATGCGCTGCATGCCACGCTCGCGGTAGACGTGCGTGGTTTCCATCGCCGCGCAGCACTCGTCCAGGTCGTCGATGAGCGTCGTGCTCGCAAAGCTCTCGTTCTCGGCGACGTCGCGCTGGAGCTTGGCCTTGAGCGTGCGGAGGACGTCTTGGCCGCCGCGCAAGTTGCCCTTCTGCGCTTCCTGCTGCGCGGCTTCGAGCGCTTCGGCCGTCTCAACGCGGTGCTTTTGCTGCACGACGAGCGCATCCAGCGACGCGTCCGTCACTGTCACCGGGCGTCCGACGGCAACACTCGTCGCCGTGGTCTCGAGCGACGACGTGAGGACGTTGGCATACCGGACGCTGAACGTCACGAGCGGCTGGTCCGTCTCGGCGGCCGGCCACGCGTCACAGCTGGACCAAGATATCGCGCTCCTCTTCCGCGTACATGTCGCCGAGGTCCACGGTGTACGACGTGCTCGGCGCGTTCGTCGTCACCGGTCGCTTCGTCTTGAGGCAAGCGATCGAGACGTTGGCGGCTGCGACGCACTCGACTTTGATGTTTTGGGCCACGACGCTGAGGAGGCCGCCGAGGCAGTCGGCGAACGCGAGCGAGACGCTGTCGAGGGTCTGCACAAAGTAGTACGAGCCGCGCCCGAGGTCCGAGAGCTCGCGGAGCAGCTCCGCGTCGTGGTCCGAGCCGTAGCCAAAGGTGAAGAGCGAGACGTTCTTGGACAAGACGCCTTCGAGGAGCTCGACGAGGCCGCTCCGCGACGAGATGCCGGCGTTGGCGAGGCCGTCCGTGAGCAGCAAGACCGACTGCACCGGGTTGGGCTCGCCATGGTCGGGCCGCGACGACGACTGGACTTCTTCGAGACCTGCGAGGAGGCCGCCGCTGAGGTTGGTGCACGAGCCGGCGTGGACGCCCTGGACCTTGGCGGCGAGGAGCGACTTGCCGGCCTGCGTCATCTTGGTCAGGCGCAGGTTCGTCGTGACGTACGTGTCGTATGTGACGAGCGAGACGCGGTCGTGGGGCGAGAGCTCGTGTGCGAGGAAGTCGAGCGTCTGCTTGCACAACTCGAGCTTGGAGCCGCTCATGCTGCCGGAGCGGTCGAGCACGACGACCAAGTCGATGGGCTTGCGCTCGCTCTCTTCGCAGGGCGGCGCGACGATGTGGCAGTTGACGAAGGTCGTCGCGGCCGTCTCGGCAGATGCGATCTGCTTGTGCTCGGCAGCCGACGAGACGCTGAGGGTCTTGGAGAGAGGCGACATGCTCGTTGGTTGCTGGCAAATTGGGAAATGCTCGATCGATGGGCCAAGGATGCTGGTGACCATCATTCCGACTGGATCGTTTTTCGATGAAAAGGACGTCTGTGATTGGTCGGAATTAAGGGGATTTGAAATGGCGCGTTTTGATTGGCGAATGCGTTGCGACAGGGGCGTCAAATCCAGTCGCCGATCCAGCGTCGAAGCTTTGCCGACTTGATTTTATCAAGTCGGCTCAACGAGCTCGCACACATTCTGTGCGAGTTTCCAGCAACAACTGGATCTGGTCACGACGAGATCTGGTCACGACGAGATCTGGTCAATGTGGGATCTGGTTACGTCTGAATCACGGCCCTCCACCAATTGTCCACGTCGCTTTCGTTGCTGTGAGATCAATCCTCTTCTGTTCGCCAAGCCTTGTAAAACACCACGTACGCTAAGTGCTTCGTCCTGTTATAACACGCATTCGATGCTTCTACTCAAACTCCATGATGATGTCGTCGACCTTGAGCGACGCGCCGGCTTGGTGCGACACCGACTTGATGACACCTAACACAGCAAATTGGCATTTCGGCGCAGAAAAGCACGAGCGTCGTACCCTTCTTGGCGGCGCGGATGACGTTTTGCATCTTCATGGCCTCGACGACGGCGACTTCCTGGCCCAACTGCACTTCGTCGCCGGCGTGGACGGCCACGGACACGAGGAGGCCGGGCATCGGGCACTGCACGAAGCGCGAGAGATCGACCTTGGGCTTGGGCTTCATGTGCGAGGCGAGCGCGTGCTCGGCCGGCGTGCGGACAACCACGTCGTGGATGGCGCCGTGGTGCTGGACGCGGAAGCCCTCGGGGAGCACCTGCAGCACCTGGAGCGCGCGCGCCTTGTCCGAGATTTCGGCCGTGAAGAGCGGCGCGTTGATCGGCCACTCAATGTCACTGAGCACGACAAAGTCGCCTACGCAGAGAGGGATGAGTCCGTGGAATGAAAGCAATCGCACGCACCGTCGAGCCACGCGCAGAGGACGAAGTGGTCTTCCGAGACTTCCAGTTCCACGAGCTTGAGGAGCGTCGCGTCGCCAAACGGACCGTCCGCGCTCACGTAGAGCTCGAACGCTACGTATTGAGTGAATTGCCCACTCATTTTCCAGTGAATTGCATACCCGACGACTGGGGAATGTGCGCCGCGAGCTCCTTGGCCGACGGCACGGACGCCGTCGGCGTCAAGAGACGGACTTGGAAGCGGGGCACTAATCAAAATGTGAGCGGACGGGCCTCGCAAGAAGGGAATAGTCAATACCCTTGGAGGCGGACGTCACGTGACGGAGCTCGCAGTTGGCGCTGACGGGCAGCGTCTTCAGCACCTTGGGCTTGGTCGCGGCCAGCGGCGCCTGCGACGCTATCCAAGACGGTTGGATACAACAAATCTACACGCCGCAAAGAGGGAGTGTACCCTGGAGCGCCTTGATGTGCATGGCGGCGCCAGCGACAATGATCTCGCGCTTCTGGGGCGGCGTGAGCTGCACGCCTTGGAAGCCGTCGGGGTACTCTTCCGCGATGAACTTGGTCGTGATGGTGCCGGCCTCGAAGCGCGGGTGGCGGTACACGTCCTGGAGGAACGCTGCGTTGTGGCCCGGGCCGCGGATCACGTAGTGGTCGAGCGCAAACTTCATGCGCTCGAGGCACTCCTTGCGGTCCTTGCCGTGCGTGATGAGCTTGGAGATCATCGGGTCGTAGTGCATGCTGATGTCGCTGCCTTCCGTGACGCCCGAGTCGACGCGGACGCCGGGCAAGTGGTGCGGCTCGTTGTACTTGAGGAGGCGGCCGATCGACGGCAGGAACCCACGCAGCGGGTCCTCGGCGTACATGCGCGACTCCATCGCCCAGCCTACAATGTTTCACGCTAAATATCAACCTTTCAGTAATGTATCAAGGTGTACCGTGGATCTTGAGTGGCCCGGCCGTCATCCACTCGGGAAGGCGGTGGCCCGCGGCGATGCGAAGCATTTGCTCGACCAAGTCGACCTTGGTGATGAGCTCTGTCACCGGGTGCTCGACCTAGTGCACGTTGAGTTTGTCGATAGCCATGGCGACACGAGTCGACCTGGAGGCGCGTGTTCATTTCCAAAAAGTAAAAGTTCTTGTGCTTGTCGCAGAGGAACTCGACGGTGCCCGCCGACGTGTAGCCGACCTTCTTGGCGAGCATGATGGCTTGCTCGCTACATACGATCTTAGTTTTGGAAATGAGATTTTGATCGAGGCTACCCCATGGCGAGGCGCGTCGCGTCATCGAGCAGCATCGACGGGGCTTCTTCAATGACCTAGAGACATCATAATATATACGCTGGAATGCGCCAAGATAAGGCGTACCTTTTGGTTGCGGCGCTGGATCGAGCACTCGCGCTCCGGGAACGCGACAAAGTTGCCGTGCTTGTCCGCGAGCAGCTGGATTTCAATGTGGCGCGGGTCCTCGATGAACTTTTCGATAAACATGCGGTCGTCGCCAAACGAGTTGGCGGCTTCTTCCTTCGAGAGACTAGACAGCAGCTTGTGAGTCGCTACTAGAAGATCGTAGGTGTGTACCGGTAGCCTTCGCGGACTTCGGCGTCGTTGTACGCCACACGCATGCCCTTGCCACCGCCACCGGCACTGGCCTTGACCATGACTGAAATGGAGATGGATGAGCGACAACTGCGGTGGTTCCGAAGCGCGTACCAGGGTAGCCAATGTCGTTGGCGACCTTGACAGCTTCGGTTTCGTCCTGGATGACACCTTGGAAGCCCGGGATCGTGTTGACCTAATGGCGCTTGAGTGCAGGAAGCAGACTATAGTTCACGCACGCCAGCGTCAATGGCGATCTGCTTGGATTCAATCTTGTCGCCCATGGCTTCGATGGCGTGGAAGCCAGGGCCAATGAAGGTGACGCCGGCTTCGTCGAGCGCTTCACAGAAGAGCTTGTTCTCGGACAAGAAGCCGTAGCCCGGGTGCACGGCCTGCGCGCCCGTCTGCTTGACCGCCTCCATGATGCGCTCAATGTTCAAGTAGCTCGACGCCGATTTGGCCGGGCTAATGTGGCATGAGCACCACACGTCGCGCGTCGCGTGGCCTACCCGACGCAAATGGCTTCGTCGGCCATGCGCACGGCGACCGAGTTGACATCGGGCTCCGAGTAGACGGCCACGGTCTTGATGCCCAGGCGGCGCGCAGTCTTGATGACGCGGCAAGCGATCTCGCCACGGTTCGCGATCAAGATCTTATCAAAGAGCTTCTCGGGGGTCGCCGTCGTCTGCAGGCGCGCCATGAGCGGCTTCAGCACGGGCTTGGCAGAGGTGCGGAAGCGATACATCTACCATGATCGTCGCATCCGCTTAGCATCGTCCGAGGATCGCCATGCACGTCTACCTCGTCAGAACGGCCAAAATTCCAAAATGCATCTGCCCTTCATTGGTGGAGCCCGTATAAGTGCGATTACGCACTTCATCGGGATCAACCGTTTTTAATGTGATGAGGCGAATATTATTTTAATGTCCCAAACCACGTGGTGCAGCCGCGTACCATACGATACCCGCGTTCCAGTGCAATAAAAATACAAGGGATTTAATACGAAGCGGCACAAATTATTGCGCTGACCAGAAGTGTTGCCGATCATTCCTGCGACCTGGCGGCTTGCTGTGCGCGGCAACCCACGAGCCTGCCGGGTCGCAGCCCATGCACCTGCAGCCATGGGCCATGCTACTGCCATTAGCAGGCGAGGCGAATGAGGTCATTAGGTCGCAAGCCCTCGCAACGACGAAGAGTGTTCTTAGTGTTGCCGTGCGTGTGCCAGCCGCGCTAGCAACATCATTCCCGGGCACGATGCGTGTCCAGCCCAGAAGTCGGCGATCGCCGCCGTCGAGTAGCAATCGCAGATATCTGGGCAGAACACACGTCGTCTCCGAGCATGGTGTTGCGAGCGCGGCTGGAATGCGAAGGAAGCGCCATCGAGCTCCATGGGCGGCCAGAGGTATCGCGATGACCTTGTGGTGGTGGGTGGAAGTCGCCGCGGATGCCCATGCGCACTTATGGGGACCGGCACCAGCCAATCGAGGGCTTGGCGCATCCCAACCTCAAGTGTGTACTGCAACCATGTGGGCTCTGTACGTACGGTACCGATCGTACAACGTACATCTCATACAAATATTGAGAGAAATTGGCACACATAAAGTATGTACGTACGATTTTGCATACCAACCGGTTTGAGTGTGAGTCACTTCGTGGCGCCAACCGCGTGTCTGGTCGCGGCTGCGCTGCGTCTGTCCGGTTGATGCAGTGTAGTCGGGTGCATGGCCGCGACACTGGCCATTTATGCATCCACCATTCCTCACTCACGTGTCAAAGCGCTCAAGGCGAGGACTTGGTGGTCTGGCGCAGTTGCAGTCACATGCAACGAAGCCAAGACGCTTCAAGCTGCGTAACACGCCAAGCACAGTGGCAGCTGGCGTGGATTTGTGATGGCTTGTAAAGTGCTCGCCTGTGTACGCTGCTCGTGACCGAGATAAATGGCGCACGGTCACAAGGTCGAGCGAATCTGCGGCCGCTGACACGCTGTGTCGTCCATCTCCTGGAGCGAACGATTGAAGAGGCGGTATTCATTGTCGATGCTCAATTAGCTCACTGGCTCGCACCATGGTATCGCTTGCATTTTGTATGTCGTGCAGTACCGAATCGAGTCTTGGCATGCACGGAATCTCTCCGAATCTCTCTCAAGTGCCCAAGTGGTCTACGACCGAGATACGAGATACTCGTACAGTGTAGATAGATAGATGGATAGATAGTTGGATAGATAGTTGGATAGAATTCACGAAGCCTTCATCTTGCGTGCACTCAAGTAAGTCGACAATAAGGTCGCTCAGGCGCACACAATAATGTCATCGCGCCCACTACGGACTCTGCGCAATGTCACTCATGGCTCTGGGTATCTATCGGGGTATCGATCGAGGTCCGTCAAACAGGATGTACTACTTGTATACAACAACACTATTCTTATACAGGATCGGATACAAAATGGTTTTAGACCGTCTTCAAGCGCTGCACGAGGCGGCCCAAGTAGTCAAAGTCAAACGAATCGGTGAGCCGCAAAAACGTAAACGACGCGGCGCCGGCGATATGGCCCGCGATCGCCGAAATTTGGTCGTTGCCGCCAATCGGGAGCGCGTTCTCGCCCGCAAAGCTGTGCTTCAAGCTCAGGCCGAGCGCGTTGATGGCGTCGCGGGCCTGGCCCACGAGCTTGCTGGGGCGCGACCGGCACTTGTCGTTGTCGTCGTAGTTGTCGTTCATCTCCATGCACGTAAAGCAGAAGCGCACGTCGTGCTCCTTGAGCATCGATGCAATGTCGTAGTACGCGTTCTTGTTGTTGGTGTTTTGGTACCCGGCCGTGAGCTCGGCGCCGTGGTGCGGCGAGTCGTACCACCAGTGGATGCCCGAGACCTTGACCGAGAGCTCAAACGGCGCGGGGAAGACGTCGCGGCCGAGCTTCGAGAGGTCGCGGCCGTGCTGCAGCAGCGACCCGCTGTACCAGTCGAGGAAAAACTGGCCGTACGGACTCGCAAAGTTGTCGGCGCCGTTCGCAAAGAACGGGCACGGACCGTTCTCGCTCGGAAGGCAGTTGAAAGTGCCGGCGTTGCTCGGGCCCGGGCGCGTGGCCCAGAGCGCGTGGCCCGTCGACGCGGCATGCGCAACGATGCTCGCGTTGGCGTACGAGTCGTAGCTCGTAAACTCGCCGACGCCGCAGTAGCTCCACCGGTTCTCCTGGAGCTGGTACGACGGGTACCGGAGCTCGCCCGCGGGGCCGCCGCCGATCTGGACCTCGGAAACGACACCCGGATACGCGTCGACGACGTGCGTCTTGAAGGCCGCGAGGAACTCGCTGTACATCTGCAGCGGCGTGCGGCCAAACTTGTCGAGCGGCGTCGCGTCGGCCCAGAGCGAGATGTACTCCTTCGTGGTTAAGCCGGCCTGCGTGGTGTACCACACGTCGTCCTTGGTGAACCAGTGGCGCGGGATCGGGATGTCGCACTCGTCGCCGACGTTGCCGCCGCACTGGTGGAAGGACATGACCATCTGAATCGTGAGGTTGGACGCCTTGGCGAGCCGCGCGAGGTCCGCGTACGCGGCAAAGTCGTACTGGCGCGGGCCCGCGCCTTCGACGAGGCCCCACCAGCAGTCGGCCATGACACCGGTGGCGCCGCTCGCCTTGAGCTTTTCAAATTGGAGGCTCAGCGCCGTCGCATTCTTGAGCCGGGTGCTGCTGCACGCCTTCGAGTCCAGAACGACCGTGTCGAGCGGGAGCATGACGTTGACAGGCACCTCGGCAGCGACAAGCGCGAGCGTGGCGGCGACGAGCGAAGGAAGCAGACGCACCATGCTGCTATTGCTCGGAAACTGGCAAATTGGGAAATGAAGTGAGCAGCGGAAGGGAATTAAGGAACGCACCCATCGTCGCAACTTCAACCTTGAACGTGCTAGCGGCCACCCGCGCGTAATGCTCGAGAGAAAGGCGCGCGGACTTTCCGCCAATCGGCGGGCGTGAAAATCCAGTGACGGAAAATCCAGTGCTGGTTTTTTCCAACGTGTGGCACCAAGCGTACCAGAACCCATCCAGTTGTCGATGCGTCGCAGGGACGCCGCACGTTTGCAGCACATCGTCGCCTTGCACCCAACCGGATGGCACCCAAATTGACGAACCTTCCATTGCTCAGCTGGACCTTGGCGCTTGTTAAAAGCCATCGCAACCAGATTTCTTCTTCTTTGTTCGTCACCAACCAGACTTGTAACGGTAGAGTAGTATGTTTGTACAAAGGACGATTCGACCGCGTTCTATCAACGCTATACAATGGAGGCGACGGTCGTTGGAGTGTGTGGGTGGCGATCGCGTCGAAGCGAAGTCGAACCTCGGTTGCCCGGGCCGTCGGCTCGCATGTCCAGCGCCATACAGTAGTCCTGGGCTTGTTGTGAAGTCGAATGGCAGCGCACCGGCCGGCCATGCACCACAACCTGGCTTGACGCGTTCAAGTAGAGACTGGTGAGCGTCGGTGACGAGGCGAGGGCGTCGCGAGAAGGCGTAGATCGGCAGCTCCAAATGACGCGATGGTACGTAAGCCGTACACCGGGTTCTCTGGGCTTATGTGCGCGCGTGAAGGCGCCGGAGCTCATCACGCGTCGCGCCCAAGCGCATGGTCAGCTAAAGCGAATTGGACTTGGCCTTTGCCATCCACTTGGCGACGAACGCGCAGTAGTTCGTCGCCTCCAAGTTGAGCCGGTTGGCGACCAGGCGCCACACATCATGGCACCGTGGCGGCAGTCACGATATCGACGAGCTTTGGTGACTTGCAGTTGAGGCGCGGGATAACACACCGTCGCCGCTCGTCAGCAGCGAAGAAAGGCACAAAGCGCCGCTCTGCGGATCGGCTGCCAGCGGTGGCGTAAGCAGCTCCGGCGGCAGCGATCCAAGAAAGGCGGCGTGTACCGTGGTATCCTATCGAATGAGCGCGAGGACGACGATGACCACGTTGACGATCGAGCGTTGCAGTAGGCAACGTTGCATGATCATCGCCCATGGCGTCAGATGCCAGAATGCATATGGACTGAATCCAGATCGAACCACTTTGGACTATCTTGCTGCTGGGTTGTGTCGTATCTGTTTCTGGCGATTCACTTCAACGCAGTCGGCGATGCAAGTCTACAACGCATTTTCCTATGTGTACAGGACGTCAAGATAATGTAGGAAGACAAGACAATGCAGGTAGACAAGTCGGTGCACTAATAGACGTCTGTATTAGTCGAGTGGGAAAACCTCCAGATAAAACCTTGCACTCGGAGGCAGCAAAAGAGTCAAGCTTACTAAAAACCTCGCGCAAATGGGATCGACGGAAGGATCGAAGCGGAGCCCACGCTCAGTGACGCAGCGTCGGCAGCCACCCGCGCTCCAGGCCTCGAGCGACAGTGTCATGTGTAGACCCCAGCCAACTCTGCCGCCCAGCGCGCGTCCTTGCCTCGCGGCAAATGGCAAACTGAACGCACGCAAAGAGGATCGCACGCTCCGTGACCGTACAGAATGCTGTTGTCTTTCGCTTGAGCAGTGTCCTTTTGCGGCCGAATGGATCGAATCAACGGCCGTGTGGTGTGGCGAATGGCAACTTCCACCTACGCAAAGGCGGTTTCCATCCACCGACGACGCATCTCGTCACGTAGCCACTTCGTCGCCCGATCCTTCTCGGCCCAATGTACCGATAGCTCGTTCCGATAGAGTCGATAAATATGGCTTGGCGGTGGCATTGGCCCTCGGCGCTGGCGTGGGCGACCTGCTCTCAGCCGCAGCCACAAAGCCTCGTGCCGCTTGTTTCCCGCGGTTCAGCCTCAATGTTGCAGTTCGCTCCTATGTACAAGGAGTGACCAGCGTTGCAGTGAGAGAGTTTCTTGCAGATCTGATTGATCGTTCTTATTTATCTCTCTTTGGTTATGCCATACAAATACATGCTTAAAACGTGGCAGCGCGACGCGCTCATCTTGCAGATGCTGACGACACGGAAATGCGGAAATGGACGGCAGTACGAAACCAACTGATTGTCCTTCGTACGCCTCGTCTACCTTCTTGACCGACTTGGTCACCAATTCTATCGTAGACTTTGGTAGTGACCGACGTTTGTTGCGCCATCGTCCGACTGCAACCCGGCGACGACCAACCGAATCGAGCACGACGGAGCGATAGAAGCACTGCCTTGAAGCCGCACCTCAAAGAGTGCGCCTCGCGTCTGATGGCAACGGTGAGGCGCCGTCGTTGAGGTGCGGCTACTGGGTGGAGCCTATCGCTCCGTCGTTTTTGGTGGTCGACGGGTTGCAGTCGGCAGTCGCCGGTGCACAATTCGAGAAGCTCCTTCGATAGACTGCGCTAAACATGTAGGCTGAGAGCTCGCACCAACTTGAGACCGCTCGCTCCGTCGAGTAGTGTCTACGCAGCTGCAGCATACGACTAGCTGTCGTGTTGCAGTGGCCGTCTGGGTCGGTGGTGCGTCGACATGGCAGCGCGCTACGTCTCAGCGCTCATCAGCAATGCGCAGTCGACGTCGCCAGCGCCGGTCGATACGAGCAGCGCCAGCCTCGACACTTGCTCGCGCTGAGGCGCACGGCCGATGGTCTGCGGCTGTGCCATCGTCGCTCGGTTGTATTTCAGCCAATCCTAGCGCCCCAATTCCATAAAATCAGCCAATCGCCGTCACGTTGAGATACCCAGCACCCATTTTTCATTTGGCCGGACCAAGAGAAGACGAGGATGACCAAGCAAGACGCCAAGACGACCTCCTCGGCCGACGACGTGACGTTTGGCGACGTCGAGCACCAGCTGCCAGCGGCCGCCTCTGCGATCGACGAGCTCGTGGCTGCCGCCGCCCCGGCGCCCGCGGACCAGGCCGCGATCGACGACCTTCAAGGCGCCGACGCAGCGGCTGGGCAAGACCACGAGACGGCAGTCGCAAAGGATCGCGCGACGGCAGCTGCGCTCATGGATCGCGTTCACGAAGTGCAACATGTCGTCCCGACGGGTGTCTCGGTCAACGCCGAGGATGACTCGAAAATGAAGGAGCCCGCCTTAAAGGTGCCCCGCGTCGACGCTGTCCGCCCGCCCAAGCTCGACCTGCCCGAGGTTGTTACCCAGCACATCCTCACGATCATCGCCCATGAAGATACCCTTGAGTTCGTCAATGCATGGCCGACCGCGCTCCTCCCGCCGGCGTTCCTGAGTCTCAAGGCGCTTGGCGGGGTCGTCAACTTGGACGACCACTGGCCGTGCATCGAACTGTTCACGATACCGGACGAGCACAAGCGTCTCGCTCTGACGGCGCTTCCAGCCTTTCCCTCTGTCAAGTTTGACGTCGATTTGGCGTGGCGGACGGCCGAGCGGCTTGCAGTGACGCTGCGCGAGCTCATCGACGCGCTACGGCTGGTGCCGCAGCTCGAGCTGACGTGGATCGAAGGCGACGACGCAGCGTCCCACGCCACGCTTTCGGACGTCGTCAACGCGTGGAGCGACAAGGTCACGGCTGTCATGTTTGTCTCTTCCCTTCCGCTGACATACCCGACGGTCCGCGAGGCCCTCGCGCGCTGCGTTAACCTCCAGCGCGCCTATTTTCAGGGCACGTATCGAGGTGAGAGCGCGACGCTGGAGCAGTGCGTCGAAGCTGTGACGACGCCAGCGCACCTCCACCTCCACTCGCTCTCAGTGTTCAGTGAACAAGAGTACGACGCCAATGGAATGGTCGCGTGGCTGGAGACGCCGCGCGCCAAGGCGCTTACGCTCTCCTGCTTGAATGTGCGCTGCAATGGCTGCTTGGCCAAAGCCATCGCCACGTCGACTGGGCTCACGTCGCTCTCCATCGACATACATAACGACGCCTGGTTGCTGCTGGATGCGCTGGGCGAATACGACTTGCACCGGCTGACGGATGTCGACCTATACATGTCGCTATGCGCGTTCGATGACCTTATCCGGGTCCTACGTCGGCTTGATGCCGACAGAGTCACGTCGCTCTACGTGAGCGGCTTGCCCAAGCCCACGCCCAAAGAATTTAAAGTCGTTCTTGCTCGCTTCACAGCTCTCAAGGTTTTCCGGTACGACCAAGTGAGCTACGACCAAGAGAGCGACAACGAGTAGCAACCGCGCACCAACGAGGTGCGAGCCGAGTTTTGATCGATTGATATTTGTGACGTGAACAAGCCGTCTTCTATTTGCCCTCTCTGCGTTCGTTTGTGCTTTGAGATCCACATCACGCGATCCAAAGCCCATTGTGAGCGAGCCACCTCGGCGCTTGCGATTGTCTTCTTCTCATTAAACAGAAATGCTTTCGGCGTTTGCATCTCCAAATACCCTCCACCAGATCGTCGATCCTTAGTGATTTCGTTGTAAAAGACGTGCTGGCACTTCAGTTGTAAAGGGGCTTCCATATAGACCTTTTGAAATTGAAAAATACTTAGTTGCGTGCTTGACTTTGGAAGCGCGAGAGGGCCGTCATCTCGATCGGCACGTGCTGTCGCAGCGTCGCCACGTACTCTGCGACCTCGGCGACAATCTCGCGGTCGTCTTGAAAGGTGACGCACGCGACGCACACGCCGTGCTTGCCTTGCCGCCCCGTACGCCCGGCGCGGTGGCAAAACGTCTCGATCGACACTGGCAGGTCGAGCTGGATGACGCACGGAAGGTCGGGAACGTCGAGGCCGCGCGCCGCGACGTCCGTAGCGACCACCACGTCGACGCGGCCATCTCGCAGCGCCGAGAGCACTTGGAAGCGCGCGTCTTGGGGCATGTCGCCGACGAACGGCGCGGCGTGGAACTGCTCCGAGACGAGCTGCTGCACGAGCTTCCACACGGTCGCCGTCGCATTGCAAAACACGAGCACCGGCGGCCGAGATACGTCGCGTCGCAGCGTCTGCAGTAGCCACTGCACTTTCGACGAGGTCGACGGCAGGAGACTGCACGTGTACGTGATCGCATTCGTTTTCAAAGATGTTGATACGTTGATACTAATCGGGTCCAAGACGGCGCTGCGGACAATGGCCTCGACCGACGGGGGCAAGGTCGCGCTGCATACGACGGTCTGTCGCGCCAGCGGGTTGCACGCGCGCAGAATCGTCAGCAAGGACGCCTCGAACCCCACCATCCGGTCGACTTCGTCGAGCACGAGGTACCGCAGCGTCTGGAGCGAGAGTCCGTGGGCAGATATCAAGTGGCAGAGCCGCCCGGGCGTCGCAATGAGAATGTCGATTCCTAAGTCGAGGTAATCGCAAGAGGAGGATGCAACCACGCATGGGAGACGAGAATACCGTCGCGAACGGCGTGGAGCTGCGGCCCGAGCGGGAGTCCGCCACAGACGCCGACGACGCGCGTGCTATTGGCAGCCAGCGACGCGTGGACGAGCTCGAGGCACACGCGACAGATCTGCTCCATGACCTCGCGCGTCGGCGCCAAGACGAGACCGGTCAGCGCCAATGGCGTCGGCTGCGTCATGTGGAGCGCGACCAGTGGCGCGAGATACGCGAGTGTCTTGCCGCTGCCCGTTGGCGCAATGCAGACCACGTCGCGCCCTTGAAGAAGGCACGGCAGCGCTTGCATTTGCACAGCCGTCGGAGTCGCTCCGATTGACGCCTCAATGGCGGCGACGACGGCCGGCGGCAGACCGGCGTCGGCAAACCGCGGGCTTGGCGGTGGCAGACTACTGTCGGCGCTGGCTTGGGCGACCTCGATGCCATGCTCCAGCCGCAGCCAAGAAGCCTCTTCGCTCCGCATGGCCGTCGGCGCATGGACGCCGTAGGCAGCGACGAAGTTGCAGTCGGCGCCTGTCGCCCGGTGCTTGAGTCGTTTGCGCAGCGGCTCCATTGGATGTGGGTATTTCCTTCATTGCAACGGCATTGGCTTTGTTTCAAACCCAACTCCAGGCTGCGACCAGCGAGATATTCACGAATACGCGTACGTGCTTGTATTGCAAACATGGAGTTGCGCTTTAGAACGTATTCTGATTGGTCGTGTGCTCTTATCTCTATTGATGTATTGGATACAAACCTCAAGACAACACGTGGCAGCGCTACGAGACTGGTCCGTGCGTGGATGGATGGACGTGGCCCATGAACTGCGACACCACGTCATCGATGTGCGCGTCCCACTGCACTGCATGCTCCTCGACGAGTCGCTCTTCGGCCGACTTTGCATCGTCGGCGATGCCGTCGTCAGCGAGGACCGATGCGCTTTCCTCCTGCGACTGCATCTGGTCGACGAGCGTCGAGAGCCGACGGGATACGTTCAGTGCAAGCTGCGCCGTCGTACTATCCATTTTGGCCCCTTGCTTCTTGTCGGCATCGAGGAGCGGCGTCGACGGCGACGGCTTGGCACTTGGCGCGGCAAAGTACGACTGCAGCATCAAATCCCGCTGGTGTAGAATCATACCCACGACAAACTCGTGGATGTCGATGACGTTGTCGGCGCCCGCGACGCGGTTGTAGAGCGCGAGGACGTCGCGGCGGTCGCACTCGGGATCCAAGTGGTGCACGACGAGGCTGAACTCTTGAAAGTCGAGGACGCCGTTGCCGTCCTTGTCGGCGAGGCCGAAGACGGTGTGCATCGTCTCGATCTGCTGGCCGTAGAGCGTGAGCCAGTAAAACATGATTTTCTCCAGCGCCACGTCCAAGTCGACGTCGCCGCTGGCACTTTGAAGACTGCCGAGCTCGTCCAGGAACGTCGGCGTCACGTGGTTGTACGCAAAGACGATGTGGACGGTTTGGACGAGCTTGTCCATTTTGAGCGTCGCGCTGCCGGGCATGCCGTCGCCAAACCACGCTTTGAGCTGCTTGACGTTCGCCATGGCCTTGTCAGCATTCAGTCGATAGTTGCCAACTAGTCGAGTCTCTTTAGTCATAACATTTGGGAGAAACGGACCGTTGAAGAGGACGCCAACCACGAACATGAAGAAATCGATGGCTTGGGCCGACGACGCAAAACTGCCGGGCTCGAGCGACCCAACGAGGAGCCCAAAGAGGCGGATCCGGCTGCTCTTCTAGAGACAACGCGTGAATAGTCTCGAGCCGGGGAGCTGTATAAACGTACGGACGCAAACCGGCGCACGGCCGTGTCGAGGTGGATGAGCTGCCCCATCGCGAGCTCCTTGAGGCCATAGTAGACGGTGTACGCGTCCAGCAGCATCTGCGACAAGCCGTCGCGGTGCCGGTGCATGTTGTCGTCCCCAATGTCCTGGCACAGCTTGCTTTGGTACAAGCCCGCGATCGTCACGTGCATCTCGACGAGCGAGAGCGGGCGTTTCTTGGACAAGATGCGCTTGACGCTATTGACCGAGTAGTTGGCGTCTTGGATCATGGTATAGAGCCCTGTTTTATGCTTGTCATTGTTGATCTATACCAAGAGGATACCCGGAAATCGTTTGTGGACTTTGGGGCCTTCCGTGACGTGGAGCCATGTCGCAGGTGTCGCGGCCGACGTGAGGATCGACCGCTCTCTCTCCGGCTGAAGCAGACTTTGGCGGAGTTCGGCTTTGTTGACCTGCGGTGTTGAGGTTGCGTTTGATTTTTGTCAAGAACGGGTGGCTTACCTGCGTCGCGACGTCAGTCGAGGTGACTCGCCGCGTCTGGAATTCGAGCTTGGTGCACGTGTCTTGAAGCAGCTGCTTGTCGGCTTCGAGGGCCGCAATCGTGGCCTCGAGCTCGGCGCAGCGCGTGCTGGCAGAGCTCACGATCGTCTTGTGCGCCTTGGAGCGGGTGACGCTGAGGGCAAACAGGCGGGCCTCCAGCTTCGCGACGCGGTCCTTCTCGCGCCCGAGGGCGTCGACGACGCGACCGAGGGCCTGCATCGTCTCACGCTATGCGTTAAAAGTAGGTTTATAGTGTACAAGAGTAGACGAGTTGTACATCGGCCAGCGGCACGTCGAGCGATGCGACGGGCGTTCCGTTCAAGACATCGAGGATGAGCGACTGGTACTTGTCGTGGAGCGCCCGCAGCCGATCGTCGTCTTCGTGTCGTCGACGCACCTCTTGGATCGCCGCCTCGGCCTCGGCTTGTCTGCGGCATGGGTGTCAGCCTTATGGTTATGACAAGACCTATACGCACGCTCGCAAGTCTTGGGCGTGCTCCTGGAAGAGCTGGTCGATGAGCTGCTGGCGCGCATGCGGCGGAAGGTTGTCGATCATCATAAGCAGCGTGTCCGTGTGGATATCCGAGCCAAGGTGCTCGACCAGCCCCACAATCAACTAGCGTCTTCACTGAGGCACATGCGAAGGCGAGACGACGAGCGTACTTGCAGCTGGTCGTTCTTCTCCAGGCCATGAACCGTGTTGACGACGAGCCCGACGTGTTCGTGGGTCACCGCGTCCGAGCGCGGGTGCGAGTGCGCGCTCCCGACCGAGGTCCGCTGCCGCAAGAGTTGGTTCTGCGTCTCCAGCTGCTGCAGTTGCTGCTGGAGCCGAATGACCGTGGCTTCTGTCTCGACGTTGTCTAGGTAGACATGATTGAATCGCATGCACGCACTAGAATGATATCCAACTCTGCTTGAGCTCGTGGTTCTGGGCTTGGAGCGTGCGACACTGCTCAAAGTAGGTGACGCCGGCCTGGTAGCACTCGAGCGCCGTGAGCGGGTTGCCCCGGCGCAAGCCGGAAAACTGCGTGTAGATCGCCGCCCCGAGGTTCCTACGCTCCTGTTCGAAGCTGCGAGCAAACTACTACGTACAGGCAGATGGTGTCGAGAACGCTTTGGTAGCGGCCAAAGATCGACGAGGCTTGCTGGAGGCAGTAGAACGCAACCGCGGTGCGCAGCCGGTTCGGCACGTCCTTCCCCGACGCGAGCACCGCCGTCTGCTGAAACTTCATTTCGCAAAAGAGAAAGTACGACGTAAAGTGCTGCGCTTCGGCCTCGAGGCTCTTGAGCCACGCTTCGACTTGGTCCAAATCCGTCGGCTTGACCTACTCCGATGCTGGCGCCGTGCCCGTTCACGAGCCACGTCGTACCGGCGGATGGGGTTCGTGGGCCAGGTGCGACACCACGGACGCTGGCGAGACGGACGACAAGGGCGTGAAGGGCCGGCCCAACGGGTACCAAGGGTCGCCCATGGCCGCGCTACGCACATCGCGCACAATCAGCCGCTGTCTCATTTGCACCATCGGTCGTACGAGGCGTGGGCCTTCTTGTCGATGTGCCTGAGCCGCTTCCCAGGACTAAGAAATGAGTGTGGTCCAATGGCCAAGTGCAAAGTGGTCACTATACCCTTTCGTGGGCGACTGCTGGAGACCGTGGAACGGGTACGTCTTGTACGGCCGCACCTCGGCCGTGCTTGTGAGCATGTCGGGATCCCGCACCACCGCGATCTTTTGCCGCGGCGAGAGACTCCCTGGCGCCGTGTGCATCGCGTACTAATAAAGGCGACAATGTATTTTTAGCCTTCTGTCTCGAACGCTCGAGTTCCCGCGACATCGCCTTGCGATGGCCTTGCCTCTATCAAGTAAGTAGTGTGCAGCTACTGCACGGCGGCTGCGTCATCGCAGCACGTGGCTTGAGTGCGTGTGTGTGAGGTCGTCCGTGACACGGCGTGCGACCTTTTAGCGTGGTTGGTGTACCAGCTACTATGGTAGAAAAGCCACTCCACAAATGCAAGCTCGCTACCATGAGCTCGCTGCTTGACGAGACGACCACGACGCTTCTATTCGGCGCGCGAGCTTGTCACGTCAGTAAAGAGAGAAGACGAGATCCCACTCGAGTCTAAATTTTGGTGTGCAACAACCAACCCGCTTGGCATTAACCTCGCATGCTGCGAGGCAATGCAGGCATGTAATAGCCGTCTCTCAACTGGCCAAAGACAAGCTGTCAAGGATCCCACTCAAATCCGTTGGGTACGTCGTGCCACGTAGGCGCTAATTCCACGCAACTTTTTTCCCAGGGGCGCGGGACGAGGCGCCGCCGATCGCGTGCTGGCAGGTGCCACATATCGCAGGACATCTCCGCTGGCGCTGGCCACCCCGCGGCCGGGGATGGGACTGCATACAAAGAGCAGTATGTTGCGTTTCGTTAGCCTTGCCGTCGCGAGTCGCCTCGGCGGTTGCGGCGCGTCATGGACGCGACTCGCGAGGGTTTTATGGACGGCTCGTGTCACAATCAATATTCACATAGTGCGATAAATAAAAAGTCGGATCTCGTTAAATTCTCCTCAAATCAGTAGCATTGCAAGAGTGCAAACGTTGTTTTGGGGAGAATAAACCGAGTGTTTCCCTCAGTAAGAAGGTACATGCGTTATAGATGTGGGAATAGCAGCAGGCTACTGCTGATCCAAGGGAGTGGCACAGAACTCCGAAACGGGTTAAAAGAGTAGCTTGACCACTCAAGTTGTTGAAGCTGGGCTTTTCCATGGAGTTTGTCCCGTAAACGGGATTTGCCCCTGGGTTATTCGACCACCGAGGTTTTCCACCCGGTTGATAGATGCGTTGCCGTAATATCTTGCAATCGGACGGCGCCGCACGTTCGAGTGTAGGATCTCGCGCGACAAAAAGACTCGAGTCGCCTTGCCGCAGCCGCGTCGGCGACATCCACTCAACGCCACGTTCATACCGCGTTCGCGTTCGCAGCCAGAACGGCCCACACTCCTCGTCCCATTTGAAAGCTGCAGATTCCGCCTTTGACGAGCGAGAAAGCTGGGTAGAAGATACGTGTGGCTACAATGCCTAGCAGGCACCGGCGCAAGCGCTCGCAGAGCTTTTCGGATGCGCTCGCGATGGCGCTTCGTGTCGAACGAGGGCGCATGTGACTGGGCAACGCCGCATAGAAAGACGGTGGCCATCAATTGCCCACTCTGGGCTAAACCCAGTTTGTCCCACTGGCGCGGTTAATCCGGGCCCTACGGTATGCATTCCGAGTAGCGGACCAGGCGAGGTCACATCGTCATTGCGCCCGGGGCCATCCAACGCTTCCTGCCGCTTCTTTACCCGCCATCGGCCGCGCCTCCTCTCCGTGCCATACTCGCCCTTGCCTCGACGTGATGAACATGCAACTTCCGCCCTACCTCCGCGAGGACGACGACACGCTCGAGACGCTGCACGTGCGCAACGAAGTGCTGCACGCCAAGGTCATGGCGCTCACCAAGCAGGTGAGCACCGCCCACTACGAGCTGCGCATCGAGAAGGTCCTGCACCGCGAAACGAAGGGCAAGCTCAAGTCGGCCGAAGCCGCGCTCGAGGCCCAAGTCCGCCACGTGTTTGCGCTCGAGGCCGCGCTCGAAGAGCACATTGAGGCGCAGCTCGACACGCTCTCGGGCCCGCTCAGCGACATTGAGGAGATCCACCGCGAAGAACTCGAGATGCTCCAGGACGACATCGACATGTACATGGAGCGCTGCGCGTCGTACGAAGAGACGATCGCGAAGCTCCGGACGGCGCTCGAAGACAATGCGCTCGGCCAAACGAACGACTGGATCCTCCGCCAGCAGAGCCGCGCCAGCTACTACCTCGACGAAGAGAACAACGACTGCTCGGACGTCGAGAGCAACTACGACGACGACCTCGACGCCGACGGCGACGAAGAGTGCGACGACTCGGACTCCGAGTCCGAGTCCGAGTCCGAATCCGGCTCGGACGACGAAATTTTCGCATGGAAGAGCGTCGACATTCGCGGCAGCTGCTCGGAAGACACGGCCTCCTTGGACTCGGACTACGAGCTCGAGCAGGCCCGTCTCGCGCAGCTGTGCGCGATCGTGAGCAAGTCGGTCAACTACGAGACCGAGTACCTCGCGGTCGTCGACCAGATCGAGGCCAAGCTCGAGGAAGAGAGCCTCGCCCACAAGCAGCAAGAGATTGCGACGGCGCCCAAGACGACGCCGCCGACGCCGACGGCCAGTGCGCGCAAGACGGTGCGTGAGCCCAAGGACTGGCTCGACGACCTCCTCTTTGAAGTCGCGCAGCTCAACTACGCCCGCTAGTCGAGTTGTCTTGTCGTATATGTACATTCTGCCTACCTGACTATTTAATATTACCAATGCAACCCTAACCGCGGTGATATCTATGCCGATGGGAGGAAGATAAGCAGCAGCCGACACGTACACCGTACGCTCGAGACAACTGCGCGGTAGCTTCTCGAACGCTGGCGCCAGTCTCGACAGGCCACACACAAGGGCGATCGTTGAGGCGAGCCCGACCATAGGTACCAACCCATCGTCAACACTTCTTCGTAGCCCAGATCTTAGCCGACGTGGCCACACAGAGTCAAGCGCAATGGGCTAGGTGCTCCAGCAGCTCTCTCCAGCAGCGACGAGTCTACGTGGAGCCTCGCGGTGCGCTTGCCGGCTGGACGACGGTACGTGTGGCAAGCCAACGACTCGGACAAGGCGCTGTCGAGCGGTCCGACGAGCTCGCCGACTGCCCAACAGCTAGGCGACGCGGAGAGCGATGGTGAGACCATCCTGGCGCCATGGCCAGCCCATGTCGGCTCGTCGGTATGCCTCCTGCAGTGCAGTGGCATATTGGCAATGAGACGTCGTCTTGATGCAGAGTTAATGCAGCTACGATGACGGCGCCTACGGTACCGCCGGCTTGGTGGACGATGCGGCCTGCTTGGCGTCGTCCTTGAGGTCGGCTTCCGACTCCTTGTATTTGATCTTGTTGCTCACGAGGTCGTGCAACGCAATCGTGCAGCGGATGAGCGCCGAGAGATAGAGCACCTAACAGGACCGCTTGGGATGAGCTCGTCGAAGCATGGCGAGACGGCGTCGTACCAAGTACATGTCGTTCGTCTTGACAAACATGGCGCGGACGAGCTCCTCGACGTTGAGGTTCGGGAGGAGGTTGAAGATGGTCTGCATGTTGTACACGATCTGGTGGTTGACCGGGAGCTTCCCATCAAGGACGTTCTGGAGGTACAAGCGCATCTCTTCGACGCGCTCCTTGAGACCGTTGAGCGCGGTCATCTTGTGCTTGACCTGGCCTGCGAGCGAGCTCACGCTCGGGTCGTTGATGTCGCGGAGGAGGTGCTCGACACCGACCTCTTCGGCCTCGTACGCACCGATCGTCGACTTGATGTGCTTGAAGGTGCGCTTGATGGCCTTCCCGTCTTCCTCGACTTCCTCGATCGAGCCATACGCCGTTGTGGGCAGGCCCTCGACGTTCGGGCGCACGTCGCAGATGACCAAGACCGGGTTCGGGCAGTAGCGGCGGAAGAGCTCGTCGAGCGCGAGGTCGGCGGCGCGGATCTTGGGGCCGGTCGAGTAAAAGCCGACAATGCGCTCGTTGGCGCTGATCTTCTTGAACATGGCGTTCATGTTTTCGAGGAAGTCGTGGTCGAGGTACCAGATCGTCGGGTGGCGGAGGTCCTCGTCGAAGGGCACGGCGAACGAGTTGGTCACGTCGCACTTGCCCTTGGAGACGCTGCCGAGGAGGACGCCGACGACGCGCTTCGACGTGTCCTTGGCCACGCGGTTGTAGTGGTCCACGATCGAGAGCAGCACGAGCGGGTGGGTCATGACCTCCGTCGGGAGGCCCGGCACGTACGCGATGTCCGACATCTTCTTGTTTGCGGTCCAGGATCTGGCAATTTTTCTCAAGGCCATTGGCTAAAAAGCCGTGCGCATCCAGACTATTTCAGCGAATCACCGCATAGTTCTTCTATCGCGGGATCTTGGCCACGCCGATATAGCCGCCCTCATCGACTTGGACGACGAGGCAAGCGCCAGTAGCCACCTTATATAAACGTATGTACACGACGAGGCAGCTGCGATGCATAGTGTCAACCTGCCACCGCGGTATCGTACAACGAGAAGTGAACACGAGTAAAAAGCGCCGAGCCTTTTCGAAACGTTCTTGTATCGAAAACTACACTATATCATGTGCATGACACTATTAACACGGCCTGCCCGTCCAATGTAACTTGGCATCGGTTTCGAGGATGAAGCGGCAGCTGACGCGGAAGGGCTCGGCGCTCAACCCGGCGGTGGCCGCGCCGGTCGTCCGCATCCACGAGATCGACTCGATCTCCGAGTACGAGTCCGAGTTCCACCACGCCTTCATGAAGAGCCGCCTCGAGACGGACGAGTTCCTGTATGCGGACAAGCGCAACCTGCTGCGGTACCGTCCATGCTCGATGGCAGCTCCAATGACCCTTTCGCCGGCGTAGAGAGCTCGATGAGTTCTGCGACGTCGATGGCATGCATCTGCCCAAGGGCCCGCTCATCGTCTTCGGCGCGCCCGGCAGCGGCAAGTCGGCGTACCTGGTACGCTGCCTCCTCGACATCATTCATAATCTCATCTTCGCTGCCTTTGCAGGCCAATTGGGTCCATCGCCGCAAGAAGAAGTTCCAGAACTGGAACAACGGACTGCCCGAGTTCATCTTCTACCACGCGGTCGCATGCACGCGCCAAGGCGCGTTCGTCTCCAAGCTCCTCGAGCGCATTTTAACCGAGCTCAAAGAGTATTTCGAGCTTCCAAAGGAAGTTCCGACGCTCGAAGAGCGCCTGAGCTGGCAGTTTCCGCGCTACCTCGACGCAGCGTCCCGCAAAGGCCGCATCATCCTCATCGTCGACGGCGTCCACCGCCTCCGGACGAGCGACGGCGACTCGATCCTCAAGTGGCTCCCGCTCTGTACCTCCTTCTCCATCGAGAGGGTCCACTGATCCCTGCGCATGTAGCGTTCCCATCCAACGTGCGGCTCGTGCTCGCGGCCACGAGCGTGCCTAGCGGCAGCACGCCCGAAGTCAACGGCCCCGACCTCCCGACCATGGAGCGCATCAAAGTACGTCGTTGTCCTTGTGGCTGCTGATTGGCTGGATCCACTTGATAGATTGAAGCCGTGCGCCGCAACTGGCACTCGGTGCATCTGAGTCCGCTCAGCGACGACGAGAAGCGCCTCATTGTCGCGAAATTCCTGCAGCGCCAGAGCCTGTACTCGCCGACGCCGGGCCTCCAGCTCTTTGAGCTCCAAGTCAAGGTGCAGAGTGCTACGTTTCTGCATGGCTGCTCATGAAGATGTGAATCTAGGCCATTGTGAGCGTCGGGCGCACGACCAACCCCAAGTTCCTTCGCGTCCTCCTCGTGGCCTTGGCGTGGGCGGCCAAGCAAGGCTACAACATGTACGATATACTGTCATGCGCCCAAAGGAAGGAGGTAGCGAGACTCGCGGCTAGTCACGTGGTCTTCAAGGAGTGGATCTCGGCCATGAGCAACGGGAATCTGTACGAGAGCGTTTTGCGCGCCATGGAAGTCGGGCACGTGCCCAACCACGACGACACGGCGGACGCGATGCAGTTCCTCGGCGAGCACGCGCTCGACACGACCTTCTTCCCTGCAGTACGTATCGTCGTCGTCTCCATTGCAATATCAAAGAACGTGGTTAGCCGCCCGCATCGCCGACCAAGTACAGCACGGCCCACGCCGCGAGCGAGCACCACCAAGCGCCAGGTCCTGGCAACAGCGACTCGGTACGCCCACGTCTACCGCCATCGTCGCGTCATAGCGTTCAGGACGACGACGAGACAAGCACGCCCCGCCACTTTGAGGAAAACGTCCGAGACGTCCGCCTGATTTTCAAAGAGCTCGCAGACGACATCGCAGACAATGACGACGACGACGACGACGACGACAGGACGCTGGATGCTCCCCGAGAGATCCTCACGTCCGTCCTCAGCACCGTGTCGTGTCAGCCGTCCACGGACGGTGACGGTGCGTGACACTTGTATACCGCGTGCTTAGCTTTGCTTAGAGTTGCGCGACGCAACGCCAAAGCCAGCTACGCCCGCCAAGACGCCACTCGCGAGCCAGCGGTCGATGCGGGTTGCCCCCCGCCTCGCCCCTGTGTATCCTGTGTACGTCACGGGCGGTCGCGAAGTGCTCGGGCTCCGCGGTCTCCTCGGAAAGGCGCTCTGTGTGTTGTACGTCGCCCGGCACGGCCTCCTCGTGAACGAGCTCAAAAGCCTTGTGAACGCGATGGCGATCGCCGAGAAGGAGCACATCCATGGCCTTCCGGACGAGAACGAGGAGGCGCTGAACCGCGACCTCGACAGTCTTCTGAAAGAGAGCTTTCCGAAGCTGCTCCCGCCCAAGCTCGCGTTCCAAGAGAGCACGTGGAGCACGCTCCTCTCCGCTCTCCGGACACTCGGCTTCCTCTTCCTCCAGGACATCGTGCTCTTTCCCCTCTGCGCCGACTCGCTGCGAGACCTTGTCTACTGGCGCTACATTGGGTCGCCGAAAGCCGAGATGGCGTACCACAACTGGCTCGTGCGCTTCTTCATTTGCCACCCGCCGACGTTCCGCCGCGTCGAAGTACGACTCGCCCGTATCAATTCTTCGTATCAATTCTTCCCGTAGGAGCTGCCGTGGCACTTGACGTTTTGCAAGCGCTGGCACGCGCTTAAAGAAGTGCTCGTCAACTTGCCCATGTTCCAGCTCCTCTTCACCGCCAACTACAAGACCGAGCTCTTTTCGTATTGGAAGACGCTGAGCGAAGGGTCGGTCGTTCTCTGCATGTCGGATGACGAAAGATTGTGCATTAGGTCGGCCGTGGGCGGCTCGGTGGCGCCGTCGAGTGACGTCGAGGGCGGCGACGATCCGCGCAAGCAGCGCCCGATTACGTTTGATGTCGTCCGCGAGTACAACAAATCCCTCGACGACTGGTACCACTGCGCGCGTCCGTCGACCAAGCAGCTGCTGCCCGTGCTTCAGACGGTATACCCACTCTTTCCGTTCTTTGATACATTGATACGTTGATATAGATGACGCGGTTCCTCTTCGAGTACTCGGTGTTTAGCCAAATGGAGCTGCCGACGTTCAATCACCCGATCGTCGACTTGAAAGAGCTCACGAGCAATGGCTTCCACTTTGTGCAGCAGGTGTCTCTACTCTCCCATTGGACATGCAACTACGTCGAGCGTAGTTGCCGCACGTTCTCGTCCAGCAGTCGCTCGAACCCAACCCGTTTTACCTCTACCACCGCTGGATCTGGATCCAGGTAGTACATGTAGAGCCCAGTACAGTGCCAGATTGCCATTGATAGTATCCGTGGCTTGCGCTTGGGTACGAGATCGACGAAGCTGACAACAAGACGTCGCCTGGCGCGATCCAAGCGTCCATCTCCATCGACCCCAACCACATGGCGGACGAGCCCATCGAGCTGTCGCCGCCCTTGGGTAATTAATGCACAAAAGTGCAGAAAATCCATTGAAAAACAACGCAACTAGGCACTTCGTCGCCGGCGTCCCTGGTGCCGACATCGTCTTTGGCGCCGTCTGCGTCGGCCGCGACGCTCGCACCGACCAACCCCGTGAAGCGCACGTCGTCCATGCCCAACATCAACAGGCACCCGCGGCGCGTACGATTTTACACCGCATGAAACCAAGTCTCTTGACAGCTCGTAGCCATCGGCCGTGAGCATCAGTCCATTCAAACTCAAGGCGATCGCCAACGCCAGCTTGCCGACGATTCCTGTGTCGAGTGCGCCAGCGACGTTGGTAGGCGTATCTTTCTAGAACTATGAGAAAATGATGCAAAATGCTAGGACATTATTGGCCCTAACTCGCCGACGCACCTCTTGATGAAGCGCAAGACGTCGGTCATGGGCTACAAGAACGCACCGACCGCGTCTTTTACTGTCCAACTCGAAAACACCATTTTAGAGGAGTCGGGTCTCGGGTCGAGCCTCGGGCGGTCGCTCTCGCAGCGGTCGCCGGCCGCGACCAACGCGGTGCGGGACGTGGATTTCTTCGCCGACCAAATGGTGGGCGAAGGGTTTGGGTTGCAGGTTGTCGTGTTGGATTCGGTCGAGTTTGCAAATGTCTCATAGTGTGATGGACTAGGCCCACGTCCAAGATTATCCCAAGACCGAGTACGACGTGAAGAAGTCGTGCAACCAGCAAGTGCTGCTCAAGCTGCAGCAGTGCCACAACTACCTCAAGCGCGAGGCGGCGACGAAAAATGCTCGCTTGGAGAAGCTCCGGCAGACGATTCGAGATCGAAAGCACAAGCACAGCGCGTCGCTCACGTACATCCACGAAGCCGAAGAGGCGCTGCGGGAGATGACGCGGCGCATGGACCAAGTCGACGCGACCGTACGCGCGATTCTTCCGTCGTGTCGGTGGCTGATCGTACGTTGATATCTTGATAGATGAAGGTGGTGGCCAAGCAAGAAAAGACCTATGTCAAATTGCTCAAATCGTGCGATATGTACCCTGCGTCCGACCACCACCACCTCACAAAGGCCAAGAAGGAAGCCAAGCTCCTCCAAATGTCGCTGCGCGTACGAGGGTGCGTCTCGCTCGATACAAACTTGATACTTTTGTAGGATTTGGACAAGGAATTCGAGGCGCTCAAGTTCCAGCACCACCACGTGAGCACGAACGAGCTGCCGCGACTCCAAGTCGAGTGTGCCAAGAACCGGCGGCTCCACGAAGCCGTCTTAGACCGCCTCGAGAAGACACGCGACCGCATGGAGCTCGACCAAGCCAAGATTGACGACCTCTACCAGACGCGACTGGGGATCATCGAGAAGGTCAAGGCTCACGCTCTCCAGATCAAGTCGGCCGAGACGATCGAGCTCGAGAAGAAGCTGCATGTGCAAGTGACGGCGGAAACCACCGTAGCAATGTATACCATTTGGCACTGGCGGATTCGAGTGTCGCTGTCTAGGCGTACAACAAGGCGTCGATCGCCAAGGTCGCGCTCAACCAGTGCCAGTCCATGTGTCGCCGCATCATTGCGGCCACCGGTCTCTCCGACATGAGTGCGATCCACGACAAGTTCAACAACCGCGAGGCACTCAACCGAAGTCTGGACGAGCAGGTTGAGTCGCGACGCTGTCTCCCCTTTGTATCCATTCGGATTGCAGGCCCAACTCTACGAGGCGCGCTTGAAGCAAATCAAGATGAGTCAGAGCGAGCTCGAGGCGCAGGTCAAGGGCCTCGAGCACATCCACAAGGAGTGTGCAGACCCGCGTGTGCTCGAAGACGACGCGCGCGAAGCCGAGTCGTCGCTCTTGCGCGTGCAGCGCACGTACGATGACGCCACGCTTGCTTGCTGCTGGAAACACTGTTTTAGGTACTCGAGCCAGCTGCACGCGCTCAACGAGATCATCTCGGGGCTCGCCAACATTGCCCGACTCGCCGGTATCACGCGCGTCGCCGCGCCCAAGCAAGGTCTCGTGCCTGCGCGCGACCTATGGCCGCCGTACCAAGACAAGGCACGTCGATTCCCTCGCCCAGCGTCTCACGTCGTCGATTCTAGGACACGCGGGCGGCGACGCTGTCGCAGTTCGAGTCGATTCCGCCCGAAGCCCTCTGCGACATCATCCGCGTGTGCGAAGAGCGCATGATGGCCATCGTCGACAAGGTTGAAATGCGATCGTCGTCGTCGTCTCATGACTAGTAGAACGAGCACGGTCGAGGCGACCCGGACATCCTCTACGGAGTACGCGCATGACACCCCATCGTGATTTTACTGAGCTCTCGTCTAGAGCAAGGGCAGCCTCGCGACCGATTTGAACCGCAAACCGAGCTTGACACCGCGCAGCAGCACGAGCAGCCAGAAGAAGCGCAAGCCGGACCTGCGACTGCTCAAGAGCATGTCCAAGCGGAGTCCCGATATCGACGACACGGCCGGCGACGAAGCCGACGAGTGCGAGAGCCCACGCCCTTTGACGCAGAGCTCGCAGGACGTGCACAGCCCACGGGCGCACTTGTCCATCGACCGAGACGACGAGAGCGGGCCTGGCAGCGTTGTTACGCGCGAGACGATCAAGAACACCTCCAAGCACAAGCTGGCGGCGAAGCGTAAGGAGACGATGGGCAAGAGCTCGGCGACCCTCCTGCACCACGAGGACACGGGCAGCTCGTTGGGGTGATCCTAAGTGATACGAACGGTTAAGTTTAATAACAAGCTAGACTAATGGCGGGATGTTGTGGTTGAGGTGGAAGACGTTGGTCGGGTCGTACTCGGTCTTGGTTTGCTGCAGGAAATGGCCCGTGACGTCGTCGTAGACGGCGGTGGTGAGCGTCGCGTGGCGGTAGCTGCTGTCGAAGAAGACGTGCGGCGCCTGCGCCGCGCCGAGGTCGACCTCTTGGAGCGCGGCCTTGAGGTCGTGCACCCACTGTTTGTGCTTTGTGACTTGGTACAATGACATGTCTGGCGGCGTGGCCTGGACGAGGATCCACCACCCGTTCTCGCGGTGGCTTAGCGCGTGCGGGCGGCCGAGGACGCCGTCGGGAATCTGCGCGCCCCAGGCCGTTGCCAAGACGACGGAGTCGCGGCCCGGGTGCTTTTGGCGCGTAAAGCTCAGGAGGACGTCGATGACGCTGTCGCCGAGGTCCTTGACGAAGCACGACGCAGTCATCGTGTAGCCGCGCTTCGTGTGCGGCTCGAGGATCGCTTGGAGCCCCAAGTGGTAGTCGTACTCGTGCACGTCCGTGTGCAGCGTGGCCCAGTGCCCGCCGCGCCGCCGCAAGTTGGACGTGACCCACGAGGCGTCCGGCACCACGTCCGGCGCGCCGATGGCCGTCGTCACCTCGTGCAGCGCCGGGTGGCCGCACGGGAAGACGAGCATGCCGCTCGCGTACGCTGGCGCGGCATCCATGCGGTCGCGGAACGCTTTCGCCGACTTCTTGGCCGACGCGATCGTCGGGCAGACGCGCAGCGGCATGCTGTAGAAGCAGTGGTCGACGCGGTGGAGCGCGAAGCGGAAGCGCGTCACGACGCCAAAGTTGCCGGCGCCGCCCCGGAGCGCGCGCATGAGCTGCGAGTGCTCGTTGCCGTCGCTGGCGGTGACAATGTCGCCGTTGGCCAAGACGACGTCGGCCTCGAGCCAGTGGTCGGCCGCGAGCCCGTGCTGGCGCGAGAGCCAGCCCCAGCCGCCCGTCTGCGCAAAGCCGCCGACGCCCGTGTCCGGGTGCGTGGCCGCGATGAAGCCGAGGCCCGTGTCGTGGAGCTCGCGGTCGATCGCGCCCATTTTGGCGCCGCCCATGACGTCGATCCAGCGCTCGGCCAAGTTGACCTTGACGTCCGAGAGGTAGTGCAAGTCGACGACGACGGCGTTGTCGGGAAACCCAAGCGGCGAGTGCTTGCCGCCAGCGACAGCAATGTCGAGCTTGAGGTGGCCAATGGCTTTGAGGATTTCGGCAATGTCACCCGCGTGCAGCGGCAAGAAGATCGCAAACGGGTAGCCGCAGTCGTTGAAGGCAAAGGCGGATGACCGGATGCGCTGGTACTCTTCGCTCATGCTCGCGAGGATGAGGCGGCCGTCGATCGGAATTCCTTGCAGGAGCGCGCCGTACTTTTCAACGAGGAGGAGCGCGGCGCGGGTGCGGGCGAGGTCGCGCCCGGCGAGCGCGGCCTCGGTCGGCTTGGCAAAGATGGAGCCCATGGACGGACAAAGTCGAAATGAATTCGAACCGATTGCCTCGGTCGCGCAGCTGCCCGAGTACACAGTACGTGTCGACACCGAACCGAATCGTTGAACCAACAGCAAGCGCAAGTGTGCTTCGTGCGGATGATGGAGTCTCTGCGCAGACGATCTCATCGCCTTCGCGACGACCTCGTCGACGTGTGTGTACGCAGCGAGCCTGTCGTCCCGCCTGTACGCACGCCGATCGTGGTGCTATTAGGATGATGACGGGCTGGCGACCGGACGGAGGAGGGAACACCATTACGAGGCGAGGCGCGCGGCGTTACGCCGGGGAGCTGGTGTATATACCTTTATGCAGAAACAGGGCCGTGGCTTGGAGCTACGATAGCGGCCATGACGCCGTCAGGCGTGCCGACGCTGAGAGCTCAAGATGCCATGGCGTACTGTACGAATACAGTGCAGGCTTGTACCCTCTATGTCTCGGCCGTTGCGAATTTTTGACGGTGGACGAGCCACCGACGGTGTTGACGAAAGCAGTGGTTGCAACTAGTAGCTCTGCGCCAGAGACGACGACGATGGCAATGCGGCGCGGCTCGTGCACCACTGCCATGACTATTGAGGCGAACGTGTGCGAAGGGAGATGGCTCTGAGTTGACCCATCACGCTCCCAGAGCAGTGAGTTACACATGCCAATCGAAGGAGGTGTCGCTGACGCCGCTAGTCTAGGCTGATGCGATTGCCAGCGCACTCGGTAGCCGGCGCTTGTCTGGCGTGGCAGGGACACTGGCCGTGTCGACCAGCTTTCTGTACGTTGACGTTGCGCGTCGCTGGCGCAGTGGCTTCTGTTTACCACGCTATCTACGGTATCTACGCTATCTACGGTATCGCCGGCCAACTCGTTGAGGTAACGCGTGGTTGGAACTTGGCATATCACTCGGCCCTGGTGGTGTCGCGGAGCGTGCCTTTACTGCGCATCTTGATCGGGACTTCCTCGCAAGCAATGATTACATCACGGGAAAATGTCAAAACTGGGTGAACATGGGCCCAAATCAACCCAAACCTGGGTAAATTGCATAAAAATACATAGACTTGGTTTTACTATTGAGTGGCTCAAAGTGGCTCAGGGTGGCTCACCTCGGCGTCTTCACATGCCCCTCTCCTCCTACGCCTCCTTAACCGCAAACAAGACCTGTACAACGATCCTTTAACCTTCCTCAACACCTCACATCACCCCCACCTTCCCTTCCCTGCGACTACCTTGCCAAACAACCCCAATACCCTGCCGGGAACTTAAGCGAATGGTTATTTTTTCTCCAAATTCCTGTTTTGACGCAGCTTTTACCAAACACACCCAGTTCTGTCATTTTCCCTTACATCACCGTACAGGACACTGCAACCTGAGCCCACAACAGATGGAAAACGAGCGGCCACCAACTCCCAACACTCGTCACTCGATGATCTCAAGCGTTGTCGGTCGCTGGTCGTAGCTATGAGAGTCGCATCCATAGACGCGTCCGACCGCACCTCGATCACCCATAGCGTGGGCCGCACGAAAAATTGCAAAATCGAAGCGTCCATCGCGACGGCTGTCGACGAGACAAGGCGACGTCTTGGCATAAAACCAGCAGCGGCCACTGACCGATGCAATCTGCGGGAGCCATGACAACGCGCGACAGAGGCATCGCTCCTCTGTGCTGACCCACGGACCGAGAACGCGCGCGGAGCCTTCTTCTGCCAAAGACGAGGGTTCATCTGTCGAGCCCTACCCCTGCGCACGTCGCAGCCACCACACCTGGAGGCACGAAATATATTTTTAAGTTATCGGGACAGATAAGACGCGCTTACACGAGCGGGCGAATGTTGTGGTTCATATGAAACACGTTCTTCCGGTCGTACTCGGTCTTGACTTGGCGCAGAAACAGATGCGTCACGTCGTCGAAGGCGCGGGTCTTGGCCGTGGCGTTGCGCGTGATCGTGTCGAAGCTCACGTGCGGCGCCTGCATCGCGCTGTTGTCAACGTCTTGGAGCGCGACTTTAACAGCGAGCACCCACTGCTTGTGCTTTGTGACTTGGTACCACGACATGTCGGGCAGGACGGCGTGGACGAGGATCCACCACCCGTTCTCGCGGTGACTCATCGCGTGCGGCCGGCCTTCGAGCGGGATCTGGCCGCCCCAGGCCGCGGCCGCAATCACCGAGCGCGCACCAGGGTACTGTACCCGGGTGTAGCGCACAAGGACGCTTAGGACGGCGTCGCTGAGGTCTTTGACAAAGTAGCTCGTCGTCATCGTGTGGCCGCGCTGCGTGAGTGGCTCGAGCACCGACTGGAGGCCGAGGTGGTAGCCGCCGTCGCGCCGCGATGCCCGCAGCGTCGCCCACTGCCCGCCGTCCAAGTGCCGCATGTCGTCGATCCAGGTCGTGTCCGTGACGACGTTGGCATCGCCGATCGCGGTGATGACCTGCGACACCAGTGGCTTGCCGCAGTGGAGGACGAGCATGCCGCTCGCATACGTCGGTGCGGCGTCCATGCGGTCGCGGAACGCTTTCGCCGTCTTCTTGGCCGACACGATCGTCGGGCAGAAGCGCAGCGGCGTACTGTAGTGACACCGGTCGATGCGGTGGAGGGCGAAGCGGAAGCGCGTCACGACGCCAAAGTTGCCGGCGCCGCCCCGGAGCGCGCGCATGAGGTGGCAGTGCTCGTTGCTGTCGCTGGCCGTGACAATGTCGCCGTTGGCCAAGACGACGTCGGCTTCGAGCCAGTGGTCGACGGCCAGCCCGTGCTGGCGCGAGAGCCAGCCCCAGCCGCCCGTCTGCGCAAAGCCGCCGACGCCCGTGTCCGGGTGCGTGCCGCCGACGAAGGCGAGGCCCGACCCGCGCAGCTCGGCGTCCGCGGCGCCCATGCGCGCGCCGCCGCCAATGTCTATGTACTTGTCCTCGGCGTTGACGCGGATGTCGGAGAGATAATGCAAGTCGATGACAACGCTGTTGTCCGGAAGGCAGAGCGCCGAGTGCTTGCCGCCGGCGACAGCAATGTGCAGCTTGAGGTGGCCCACCGCTTGCAGAAAAAGGGCAATGTCGCGCGCGTGGAGCGGCCGGAAGATCGCAAACGGGTAGCCGCAGTCGACGAACGCGTACGCTGAGGAGCGGAGCCGCTGGTACTCTTCGGCCATGCTCGCAAGCACGACCGTGCCGTCGACAGGGATCTCTTGGAGGAAGCGCCCGTACTTTTCAATGTTGGCCGCGGTCGACCGGGTCCGGCCGGCGTCGCGCCCGCCGAGGCTCGCCGCCGACACCTTGGTGCACGTGCCACCCATGCTGGTTTTTCGAAATACGACTGCGAGCGATCGCGTGCCCACGGCGCCAGCTGCGCTGCGTACTGTACGACGCCAACAGTTCTTGAACCATAGACGGTTCGCCGGCTGGCGTTTCCCACCGCTCGTGAGAGGCCCATGTATACAAGGTACGCCCGGCGACTTGTGCAAACTCGTGACGATCGAGGACATTGTCGACGGCGTCCAATCGAGAGCAGCGTGAAGACTGCAATGTGTGGACATCAAGACGACTTTAAAATTTGTGGCGCACCACCCAACACGAGTGCGGACTATCACCCTGCATCGTCGGCCGTGGCAAGAGTAGTACGGAGGCGTCGACGCGACGCTCCGTCTTGGTCCTAGAGGATTGCCAGCATCTATAAACGCTGTCCATCGTGGCATTCTTTCAGTGACGACACAGAAACACGGTGGTCCCTATCATTACCCAGTACGAGCTGCAAACCCGGTCCGCTGGATCTCGTAGTAGTCGTATAGGCACTAGCGTTTGCTTGTACAGCGGCTGTGGCTGCGTGCTGCGTGATGATGGTCGGGTAGTCGACTTCATTTGGCCGCAGCTGCAGAAAGCGGGATGAGGCGAAATATTGGGGCGGAAGCTTCGAGGAAGCCACGTCCCTTGCACGTCAAGGGCTTGTCTTTGAGCGACCTGTGCGTGCTTGATAAAACAAGTATCAACTCCGTTTCAAGTGCGCATCGATCGACCTGTACGGCGACAGCGCCGTGTGTGCCCTTCAATTGCACTCGTCGCTATGGTACGCACGTGGGTGCGGGACAGCTGACGGGTGCGGCCCTCGCGAATGATGCTCTGCTTCGACGGACGTCGTCTTGCCAGGATAGGCTGCGAGGACAAGTCGCAATGCGTCCGTCAACTTCAACATGCGCGAACCTGCACATCAACGCGCCACGTTTTTCTTGGCACAAGACTCACGCTGACAAGAGTATCAAGGCATATCCGGATAAATTTGATACTTAAAATGCAAACACTTCTTTATGGAATGGAAACCCCAACTCGTAGGCGTGGCGCTGGACGTCGGCGACGAGGCTCGGCGGGCCGCACGCGAGCACGCAGACCTTCTCGCCGAGGAACCGCTCGTGGTTGAGGATTTCGTCCAGCACGGGCCGTCCAGCAAGAAACGCAACGTCTTCGCCCGAGAGACTGCGGGCGCTGCTTCCTGCTGTCGCCGTCGACACGTAGAGCGTGCTCGTCACGTGGAGCGGCAGCGGGTGCATGAGGCTGTCGGCCATGAGCAGGTCGCTTGGCGCGCGCACGACCCAGTGCAACACAAACTTGCCGTCGCGGTGTCGCTTGTCGTCGCGCGATTGGTTGACGACGCTCAGCATCGGCGTGACGCCGACGCCGCCGCAGACCATGACGACGCGATCGTACTTGGCGATATCGACGCTGAGCTTGCCATACGGTCCACCCACAAGCACGCTCAGCGCCGGTGATGTCGCTGCAGCGCGGCACACCTTGTCGCCAAACGACCCTTTCTTCGGGGCCTTGATGCAAAAGCCGATCGAATCTTGCTTGGGCGACACGATTGCTGAGAACGGATGCCACTCGGTGGCCGAGATGGACGGGATGCAGACGTAGAAGAACGAGCAGGGGTTCATGGTCTCTGCCCAGCGCTTGGTCTGCGGCGTCGACGGCAACAAGAGCGTGACCGTGCCGTGAGCGTCGGCTTCGACATGGGCTTCAAAGCGGTTGAAGAAGGCGCGGAGCCGGCCGAGGGCGCTGAGGCCGTAAATGACAAGCGGGAAGATCATGCCATAGACCACCGCCATGCTGTGCAGCATGGCCAAGACAATGCCGGCGACGGCGGCGACGCGGTGGAAGTAGAGGAAGGCTTCGTACCAGCGCCGGCGGATCGGCTCGAACGCAACAAGACCCATGGACGCAAACGCAAGGAACGCGAGGAAGCCGTAGAGCGGCACGGCTTCCTGCGTCCCAACTGCCGTCGCCGTCGTCACGTTCCTGTCGACGGCGTTCAAAAGCAGGTGCGCCAGCATGAGCAGGACGCCGACACGCCCGAGCGCCCGATGAAACTTGAGGATCCGGTCCGGCGCGATCCCGAAAGCGAGTTCCCAGTGCTTGCCGCGCGCGACGGGCAAGAGCAAGAGCATCAAGTGCGCGAGCGCCAAGTGTCCCGTGGTAAGGCTGGCTGCCCGGGTGGCGCTCGCACCGACAAACTGATGGTTGACCGAGGCGCCTATGATGGCGAGCGTCGCAATGTACACGGCGACGACGAGCCACTCGCCGACCTTGACGTCCGCAAGTGGCTGGAGCACGGCGCCTGCGGCATGCGACGAACCGGGCGGCGCCAGCAGCGTCTTGTGGTGGATGACGCGCCAGTTGTCACCGGCGTGCGTCGCGATGAGGCCCATCGCGAGCAGCGTCACGAACGCCGCGGCGACAATGATCACGGTGTACGTGGTGACGACCGTCGACGCCGCGGCAAACACTTGGGCCGGGCCCACGCCCGAGCTTAGGACAAGGCGCGTGGCGCCACGCGCGGCATGGTAGGCGGGCCATGCCGACGTGCCGTAGGCCCACAGCACCGTCGTTTCGCCGCCGTCGGTCAAGGCCACGTCGGCGCTGGAGCCCGCCAAGGCGCGCGAGAATGTAAACGTCGCCACGCCGTTGACACTTGCGGCTTGGGCCACGCGGATGGCCGACTGGTCCGCTTGGAGGGTGATGCCGGACGCACTGTAGTCGCCGAGGGCGTAGAGTTGAACGGAGGTAGATGCCGATTTGAAGACGACCGCGTTGGTGACGGGACTGTTGACCATCTTGGACGAGGCAGCAAAACCGATCGAGACCCACTGCGCCGACGGCTCGGTGCAGGTGACTTGGAAGCACGCCTCGGCGCCGACAACCAGGCTGCGCACGGCAATCGCTGATGCGATGGCCACCGACGCCGTCGCGTTGAAGCTCGCGGAATCGCACGCGCCGGCCGCGCCGAGGGACGCGAGGCTGAGAAGACCCAGCACGCGGGTCGTCCACATGCTTGCGAAATGGAAAATGGAAGAATGCGCATCCCGCTCTGATTGACTCAGACCTCAGTAGCTATAATTATAGCACATCCGTCGTATTTCAAACCAGGTTCGTGGATTGGACCGGACGTCGGTGATGTTCCGATGCGCGGTTGGCACGAACTCTTGTAGTTTTCAATTTCTTGTTTCAATTTTGTATCTGACACGAGTCGTACGCCTACAGTCTGGCGTCGTCAAGGAGACACCCACGTACGCGTCGCTTCGTTCACCAGCAGAGTGTACATAGGTGGAGGTGGACGTGGCAGCATGGGCTGGAGCAAAAAGTTTTGAATTTCGACTGGGTGTCATGTCCAGATGCCGGTTTTCTGGTATTTCACATGTGCAATGTCCGCGGAACGAACTTCCGCCGGGCGTGAGCGGTAAGACAGCTGTTGCGAACGCCCACGTGTATGCAAGCAACGTGGGCACGGCCACACCGGCGCACCGAATTCACTGCACCAAAACGCTCTCTGCTCTCGCAAGAGTTACCAAACAAACCTGGCAACGCGGCCGGGCTCAACGTGTAGTCGAGGAATTACGCTGAGTTCTGCGCCGTTGTATGCATATGGTTCGCGCGCGACAGGCGAGACGATGTAGAGTGTCATTGCGTCTGGCCTCCGTCAGCGTCCACAGTCCGTAGCCCGCGGAAGCCACCACAGGCTTGGGAGACTTCTAGAGCCATTCTTCCGTCGAGCCGATTTCGCTGGTCGCGCTTGGAGGTTTTCGTGGGACGTTGTCGTTGCACACATGGTGATCCGTTCCCTTCAACGTCCAGCACACCGAGATGACGTACATTCAGGTATTTGATCATGTCCGCGCCAAGTGGCCATCGCTGTATGTAGTGGCTGATTGATAACTCGTTGGATTTCTGCGCGTTACGACGCCGGGCAATCAACTCTCAAAAGCCACAAAGTGCAGGCTCGACAAAAGAGCTCGGATGTGGCTTCCTCAGTTATCTAGTCAACTTTCAGGCGCGAGTATAAGCTTGGTTTTGTTTTCTTCCCGAAGATCGCTTTGGAGGTTGTCTTGTCGCCAATCGGCTTAAAACGCACACATTTTCTTTGAAGGCGTTGTCGGCTCCAAAGCCGTCGGGTTCTAGATAGATCAGTGGTCTATTATACATGTTCCCGATCCCGTGTACACTATAGTCATGGACTACTACAAAATATCCTTCTAATACGGCGCGTCATATCTTTCCAAACCCAAGACCAATGCGATCTACGATTAGATCTCGAATTTTGTCGAAGTTCGAAGCCAAAAATATGCCGAATAAGCATCACACTATATCAGTTCATTGACAGACCTCACACCAATTGGTTTGCTCCTCGTGACGGTGATAACTTGTCTGCGCAGCAGCGTCTTCAGTACGTGCTATCTTTGGTACATATGAGAAATGGAGTTATCGTTGTTTTGTTCACTGCATATTTGGCTCCTCGCTCCTTACTCGGCGGCTTTGCCAAAGCAGCACTATTTCTAAGATAGACTATTTTATCGCAATGTTCAGCATCCGGATACGGGCGGCAAAAACAGCCATTTCCAATTTCGAAGCAAGTCCGACATGGCCATCGAACCGACGCTGGCGGCCCTCGCCAAGAAGACCAACTGCGAGAAGCAGATCTGCCGCGTGTGCTACGCGCGCCTCCCGCCCCGCGCGACCAACTGCCGCAAGAAGAAGTGCGGCCACTCCAACCAGCTGCGCATCAAGAAGAAGATCAAGTAAATCCCATGTAATGAAGCGCGTTAGTCGAGGGTGTACGTGCGCAGAACCCGGTCTCGCGAGACCGTGTACATCGTGTTGCCATGGCCTGCCACGCCATGCACCGCGTCATACGTCGGGCCGAAGAGCTCCGTGTCGACGACCGGCGCCGTCGCAACGTCCGTCCACTTGGTGCACGCGCCGTCGCCGGTCGCCGCCCACACGTCCCCTATAGTAGCGTCAGCTCCATTGGCAGAGCGCAATCTTCGAACCGTCATTCGAGGTGTACAAGTCGTGCACGGCCGCATCGCTTCGCGAGACCATCGTCAGCGCCGACCTACGTCCCAATCCATGAGCCAAGGCATCGCGCAGCAGCATGTTGTACGTGGGGCGGCGCAGGTCAAAGGTGCTTACGACGCCGTGGTCGTTGCCAATAAGAACGGTGTGCTCGCGCGCAGGGTGCATCGCAGTGGCGGAGACGGCGGCGGCGCTTGGAAGCATGAGGACCGGCTCCAAGGCGCGGAGGTCGATGCCCTGTGCGCCGTGCGCTTCCGTGCCGACAAAGACGACCTTGCCGTCGGTCTCGCTCTCGAGCGGATGCCGCGCCGAGCGGCTTGTCGTGAGCAGCGCATTCGTCCAGACGCAGAGGCTCGTGGCCGGCGACGCCAGCGTCCACACCGAGAGACGCTCCGACGTTCCGACGTTCCAGAGGCTCAGTTGGGCGTCGCTCGCGCACGCTAGAAGACGCGAGGCAGGTGAGACGATCGAGGATCACGCAATCCGAGGCCACGTACACACGACGTTGCGGCCTTTGCCGAGGATGCCTGTGCCCGTGACGGCGCCGACGTGGCCTTGGAGGACGGCCGCGCACCGAAAGGCCTCCATCGACCAGATGCGCAGGCGAAAGTCGGCCGAGCCCGTGAGCGCAACGCGGGAGCTCGGGAAGAAGTCGACGGTCGTGACGTCGCCGACGTGGCCTTTCAACTCGATGCGCTGGCCCGTGGGCACGTGCGTTGCGTGAAAGGCGCCGTTGGCGCCACCCACACCCAAGAACGCGCCGTCGGCCGACGCGCGCGCGCAGAAGAGCTAGGCGCAAGGTGCAGACGAGACGCATACTACAGTGTCGCCGTACCTGCGAGTCCATGCCGACTTCGGCGGTCGGCGACAGGAACGTCATGGCCTTCGCGCCTTCCATGTCCATGAGCGTCAAGCGCGTTGGCGTTTGCGACGCAATGTGGTACAGAGGACCAGCCCGGTTCGTGTCCTTGTACACTGGCGTTGGCGCACCCGTCGTCGCACCGGCCATGGCCGCGCTGTCCCGCAATGGGTCCGCGTCGTGCAGAACAGGGCGGTCGATAGCGCTGACCCAGAAGGACTCGTCGGCCTCATGCAGGTCCCAGTCGCTCTGAATGTCGAGGACGCGGACCGTGGACGTGTGGCAAGGCGGCGTCGCGTGGGAGATCGCCATATCGAATTCTGACCCATTGGCCAACGGGTTGGTGTATTTTCATATCTGTCTCAATCACACCTGTATCGTTCATTTTTAACATTGTTTTAAGGTCACTGTGATAGTTTTCTGTAGCAATGCGACATTCTTGAAAATGACTGGTCGTAGATGGTATAACGCTCACAAGATCGCATGCTGGGCAAGACCTTTGAAGAGACGTACGAGCTGCTCGAGCGCGTGGGCCGCGGCAACTTTGGCGAAGTCCACCGCATCCAAGAGATCGCGACGGGGCGCGTCTGTGCGCTCAAGCGCATCCGCATTGGCGGCGACGCGGAGAAGATGACGCTGATTCCGTCGGCGGCGTTCAACGAGATCCAAGCCATGCAGCACCTCGCGCACCCCAACGTACGGAGGAATGACTCGCGGAACTTCATATTTGCTGGCGTAGATTGTGCAGCTGCTCCATGCGGTACCCGAAGGTGCCTCTGTGGGCCTCGTACTCGAGTACATGGCGACCGACCTGGCACAGGTAGATGTGTCGATTGCATGCGATGTGGCTGTAAGAAGGCGCTAGCTTATGGCACGGGCGACGACGCCCTTCTCGCCGCAAGAGGTCAAGTCGCTCATGTACATGCTGCTGCGCGGAGTCGAACACTGCCACCGCCACAAGATCATGCACCGGGTCAGTGCACCGCCGACGTTCTCGACTGACGGCAGCTGAGGATATCAAGCCGGCCAACCTTCTTCTCGACAAAGACGGTGTCCTTAAGCTCAGCGACTTTGGACTCGCCACTGTGTACACGGGACCGAGTCGAGAATACAGCCACACGGTTGCGACGCGCTGGTACCGCGCACCAGAACTGCTCTTCGGCTCGCGCTGTTACGACTTGTCGGTCGACATGTGGTCCGTCGGCGTTATCTTTGGCGAGCTACTGCAGCACGCGCCAATGTTTCCAGGCCTGAACGACATTGACCAGCTCTTCCGCGTGATCCAAGTCCTGGGGTCGCCGACGTGGGCCGGTGTCGAGAGCTTGCCTGACTACCACAAGGTGTCGTTTCCGTCGTTCTCCGCCATACCACTGGCCGTGTTGCTGCCAGAAGTCCCGGTCCTTGCACGGGATCTATTGAGCCGTCTTCTCGAGTACGAGCCCAGCAAGCGCATTTCGGCGGCAGAGGTCCGACTTGCAACTTGGGCTACTATCCAGCATCGTTGTAGGCGCTGCACCATCCGTATTTTTTGGCGCACCCGACGCCCGAGGCATCCATTTCGCCCGACCGACTCGTGATGGCCGGCCTCGGAAAGCGAGATACGACGAGCGACGATTTTGCGCTGCCAAACAAACCGGTTCTGGACCTCGACATTGGGTTTCTTTAAAATTGCAATGTATCAAATTATCAGCTTTAGATCGAGGAGCTAGAACAAGAAGACTTCTTTGTGGAAGTCGACGTTGATCGACCGCGCGTGGCGCTGGACGTCGGCCACGAGGCCTGGTGGGCCGCACGCGAGCACACACACCTTCTTGCCCAGAAACCGCTCGAGGTTGATGACCTCGTCTAGAATCGGCTTGCCACGGGTGTAGTGCACGGTCTCGCCCGTGCTGCTGAGGAGGCTGCTGTCGTTGTCGGCAGCCGTGCTGTAGAGCTTGCACACGGCATCATTCGGCAGCGGGAACATGAGTCGGTCGGCGCTCAAGAGATCGGTGGGTGCACGCACGACCCAGTGCATTTCGAGGTTGGCGCGGCGCGACTCGCCCCCCTTGTCGCGGCACTGGTTCACTACGCTCAGCATCGGAGTGACGCCAATGCCGCCGCAGACCATGACCACGTGATCGTACCGACCAAGGTCGACGGCGGGCTTGCCGTACGGCCCGCCAACAAGCACCGTCATTGTCGTCGCATCGGTCGCAGCCAGGCAGACCTTGTCGACAAAAGACCCTTTCTTCGGGGCCTTGATGCAAAAGCCGATCGAATCTTGGTCGGGCGACACGATCGCCGAGAACGGATGCCACTCGGTGGCCGAGATGGACGGGACGCAGACGTAGAAGAAGGCGCAGGGGTTCATGGTCTCTGCCCAGCGCTTGGTCTGCGGCGTCGACGGCAACAGGAGCGTGACCGTGTCGGGGGCGCTCACGTCGACATGGGCTTCAAAGCGGTTGAAGAAGGCGCGGAGCCGGCCGAGGGCGCTGAGGCCGTAAATGACAAGCGGGAAGATCATGCCGTAGACCACCGCCTTGCTGTGCAGCATGGCCAAGACAATGCCGGCGACGGCGGCGACGCGGTGGAAGTAGAGGAAGGCCTCGTACCAGCGCCGGCGAATCGGCTCGAACGCAACAAGACCCATGGACGCAAACGCAAGGAACGCGAGGAAGCCGTAGAGCGGCGTCACGCGCTGCGTCCCGAACGCGTTCGCGCTGGTGACACCACTAGTGCCGGCGGTGAGGATCAAGTGCAGCGTGGCGTAAACGATGCACGAGCGCCCGAGGCCGCGGTGGAACTTGAGGATGCGCTCGTGCGAGATGCCAAAGACGAGCTCCCAGTGCTTGCCGCGCGCCACGGGCAAGAGCAAGAGCATCATGTCGACAAGGGCCAAGTGGCCCGTGATGAGCGAGAGCGCGCGGCCGAGCGTCGCGTCCGCAAACTGGGCGCGGACCGAGAGCCCCACTGCGATCAGCGTCGCAACGTACACGACAAGAACGACGAGTTCGCCGAGCTTGAGATCGGCGAGCGACTGCTGAAAGCCCGCAAGGAGATGGCGCGACGTCGGCGGTGCACAGAGCGTCTTTTGGTTGACGACACGCCACTCGCCAGCGTGCGTGGCGACGAGGCCGAGGAGGACCATGGTGGCGAAGCCCGCCGCGACGATCTGGGCCGTGTACGAGCTGACGACGGTCGAGATGGCTGCGAGCACCTGGGCCGGGCCCGTCGACGACGAGAGCACGACGCGCGTGGCGCCAGCGGCATCGTGGTACGACGGAAACGCCGAGGCGCCGTGGGCCCAGATGACGTTGGCTGCGCTGTTGTCTGCGAGGCCAACGTCGAGTGGCGACGGCGACACCAGCGGTCGCTGAAACGTAAACGAGGCGATACCGTTGGTGACGGCCGAGCGCACGACCGAGATGGACGACTGGTCGGCTTGCAGCACGGCCGACGCAGCCGTGTACCCGCGCAGTTCGTAGAGCCGCACCGTGGGTGCACCGGACCCGATCTCCATGACGACCGCGTTCGAGATGGGGCTGCTCACCATCCGAGAGGAGGTTGCGAGGCCAATCGAGACCCATCGCGCGTTGGCGACGGCCGCCGTGACTTGAAAGCACACGTTGGCGCCTTGGACGAGGCTGCGCAGCGTCATGTCCGGACCGAGGGCGACCGAGGGGGCATTGGGAAACGCGGCCGAGTCGCAGGCCGCGAGCGCCGTCGAGATAAGACTTGCGACGCCTAGCAGGAGCTTGTTGGTGGTGACCATGGGAAAAGATAAAGTGAGTGCCAAGTTGTCGCGTTGGCTTGGAATTCCACCGAGGGTTTTTAAAACAAATGGTCATTTTGGTGGTACTGTATGCATCTTTCAATATATTTGGGGCACCATCTGCACGACTCTAGTCACCCTGTCGCTATTGCCATGTCGCGCCTTGGTGTCGCGCGAGTCCTCCGACTCGCCTCTACGTACGACAACACGACAACACGGTGTCGAGGTATCTGACAATATACCTCGTCGTTCAGTGCACACATCGAGTGTTTAGCGCATGAACTACCACATAATTGTCTCTAGTTCGTGCAGACTTGGCATCACCAGCGTGTTCATTCAACAGCACCGAGTGACGACGGCACGTGATGACAAGGTGTCCATCGGTCCTGGACATGGTGATCGAGGCGGTGATCACGTGGCAATATGAAGTTGTCTGATTGGCGCATTTTGGATGCGAACATTCCGGATCACCAAACACAGAATTGCCACCAGCAATTTTGCACATTTGGATCCTTCGACAAACAAATAGATGAATTTTTGTTTGCATTGTGTCAGTGCTCCGAGATCACGCGCGCCTCTGATCTGATTTGTCAGCCGAGCGGATTCAAAGCCACGCAGACCCGGATAAGATACCTAAACGTATACCTTGGCAAAAACAATCCGTGGACATTCCGTGGACTAAAAGCTGTCGTCGCTGTGCTCGCGTTGCCGTTTGCCTGCAAGCACGGAACCGACTCCAATACAAAAGCCAAGTCGCTATCTGCCAGCTCTATCACACGAGAGCAGGATAGCTAGCTAGCTAAGCCTGGACCAGATTGATGGAAGATGCATCGAGCTCTTGTACACTTGTCCGAATCCAGACCCGATCCGAATGAATGTTCTTGTAACGAGAAACGCGATCTTTCCGATGAAACGGCACAAGTTCTTCAATCGCATACACCTTCGCAATGCCAGCGCTGTCGGCCCGCGACCGCGCGATCCTCGAGTTCGCATGCTGCACCTTCTACCTCCAGACCAAGCCTGCGGCCGACGAGCCAGCAGCGCCACCCGAGTCGCTGCCGCCCACGGACATGGCCGGCGCAGCCGACGACGATGGCAATGACGACGACTTTGGCCTGGAAGCGGACGACGCCATTGACGATGCCACGGCCACGGTGCCATCAAGCACGCACAGCGCGCCGGCCAACTCGCTGCACATCGACGCCGAGACGCCGCCCGAAGCGCCGCCGTCCGTGCTTGCCGAGGCCCTCATGGAGATGGCAGGCACGCTGCTGTACGCGGATCCTGGCTCGGTTGTCGTTCGCGAGCACTTGATTGCATGTAGAGTATCGCATCCACGCCCAAGGCTCATGCTTCGTCCTTATAGCTCTTGCCCACCTCGCGTTCAAGACGACGGCCCGCGGCCTGCGCCCCACAAACGACTGCGAGACGATCGTGCGCTTTTGGTGCAACTGTGTTTCGATGGGGCTCCGAGGCGAGTACGATCACATGGGTGCGTGGTCGACCAACTGGCTCTGGGTCCTTCGCTGCGCGGACCTGCTCCTCCTCAACGTCGCGCCCATGGGCCTCGAGAGCGCGGCGTGGCGCACCAGCATCGTGCGTGCACTCGACGGTATCTCCCAAGCCTGCCTCGGCACGCAAAACAAGGTCATCGGCAAGGCGATCTTCGACTGGGTCATGGAGCTCGCCCAAGCTTTGTGACCCGCTACGCACGCGGTGGCGGTCGCATGGGACATGGCGGCAAGCTTGGCCGAGTGGGCATCGCGCAAGGGTTATTCACTTGGCATCGCGCGGCCGAATCCTTCGTTATTAACACCTTCATGGAGCCAGCAGTCGTCTTTACAGGCTCGTCGTCGCGACGGTCGCCTCGCGTCGTGGCGGTCGTCGGCATCCCACACAGGACAGTGTATTCCAACGCTGAAACACTGGAACGTCCGGATGCGCCATTCCACCCTCCGGATACCAGAAAGACAATTCCCTTGTTCAGTACATAGTAGGTAGGCTTGCCGACCAAGTCAATTACGTCACACGTGAGTAGTGCCACGCTCAAGTGTACACACGCACGACGAGCCCAAACTGTAGTTGGGCGTGTTAGCGGTCCAGCACCTTTGCTCTACCAGAGTGCACCAGTCTGCATGGCCCACGACGCTATATCGTGCGTGCCGCACGTTCTTGGCGCAGCGCCAGGACGCTCCACAGAGGTCGCCCACGGTTCCGTCGCAGCAGCCGAAGCGTACCAGACCAATACATCTGCGCGACTGATCTGCGCTCTGATACGCGTGCACAATTACAGTGTAATACCCAGTGGGGAGGGACGGTGCAGTCTCCGCCAAAATCTCCGCTCTATTGTGACGCCAAGCAACGCCAGCCAGCCAGATAGTTGCTGAACACCTAGGCAAGACAGACCACATCGGTTCATGCGGGCGCGATGGCTCTGTGAGAGTTCACAAGCCTGGTCGGCAAGGAGCGTTTTAAGGCAATTTGACCCCAAAACGCCGGATACAGGCCGCACGTCCGGATGCGCAGCGTATAGATCGCGCGCGTGTAACACCACCTGGGCGCGCCCAAGGCGCTGGCTTCCGTCGTCATTCTCAGACCATGCAGCTGGTCCGCGTCCTCGCCGGCCTCGGGCTGCTCGCTTCGGCCGCCGACAGCGCGACGACCTGCCGCTTCGCGCTCAACGTGTCGCCGGCCGGCCTCAAGCTGCTCGGCGGCGACCGCAACGGCACCACGCCGGCCAACAGCACGCTCGTGCTCCCGAGCGTCTCGGTCGCGCCAGGCCAGAAGGATACGACGCCGACGCCGGTGCCGACGCAAAAAGACAACAAGAGCAAGGCGCCCGAGACGACGGCGCCGGGCCTTCGCAAGCTGCAGATTAAGCCGGTGGAAGCCGACGCGACGACGACGACGGCACCGACAGTGCCCACAACCATTGCGATGACCAGTGCACCGACGCCGATTCCGACCGACAAGAAGACTACGGAGCCGACGGTCGCGCCCACCGATCCACTGACCAAGTCGCCGACGCCCACGACGGTCAAGCCGTCGTCGGGCAGTGGGAGCGGCAAGACGCCGACAACGACAACGTCGTTGCCACCGGGCGTGACCGCGACGCCGACACCGACACCGACGCCGTCCAACTCGACCAACGTCATCAACGTCCCGGCGCCAACCGTCGCCACCACCTTTGACATCATTCCTTGCGACGCGACGTTTTACAAGTTCTGGAAGACCAAAGGTCTCAGCTGCGGCGGCGTCGACCTCGACGTGACCAAGGCCATGGAGCAGGCGTGCAGCGTCTACTCGGGCGCCATCACGATCGGCGCCGCCGGCTTCCCCGCGTGCTTTTCGTCGTGCTTCATTCCTGGTTGCGAGAGTAACAAGTGGGACTACGAGGCCATGGACGGTCTCTCGTCCTCGATCTACGCCGGCGTCAACTTTCTCGAGGCCGCGTCGCTCGCCAAGGCGTCGACGTCGGCGACGGCGTCGCTCTTCCCGACGCTCGCGACCAAATTCAAAACGTCATTTTCGTGTACGACCTACGACGTGTGCCAGTGCCCGGCGGCCAACCTCGGTGGCGCAGGCAACAATAGCACGAGCTCGACCACCGGCAGCCAAAAGCGCTTCGACACGTGGAGCGACGGCACGAAGAAGACGACATTAGACTACGTCGGCACGGTCACGTCCAGCGTGAGCGCCACCGTCACCTACACGGCGATCGCGACGACAACCACGATGATGATTGCGAGCTCGGTCGGCGCCGTGGGGTCGTCCGCCTCGGCGGCCGCGGCCGGCATCTCGACTGGCGGCTCGGTCGGCATGGCCAGCGCCACGATGGACATTGCGCAGTTTGCCGTGTGCATGAGCCAGCTCAGCTTGCCGGGCGCGTCCAAGCCGCTCCGCGCGGTCGGCGAGCAAATGAGCTTCAGCGTCTTCAACTGGTTTACGTTTGGGAACGTGCCGACGACGACGGCCGCGATGGCCGCCAACCGCCGCCTCGTGGAAGCGTACACGGGCCAGCGCTCGGACGAGACGGGCGGCATGTTCCAGTACACCACCCGCCTCGGCATCCGCCCCGAGATGCTCTTCTACGTGACGCTGGCCGGCATTGCGTCCGTGATTGGCGGCATCGTCATCCTCCTCGCGCTCGTCCTCGTGCTTGGCCCGCTCTGCGTCAAGGACAAGCAAGCGTTCATGTCCAACTGCTACGACCGCGCGATCGGCTTGATCATGCTCGTGACCATCATCTCCCAGTACGCGCTCGGCGTCGTATGCATGTTCCAGCTCTGCCTCTGCCTCAAGTCCAAGACGAGCGTCTTCTCGAAAGAGCTCGTGTTTGCGATCTTGACGCTGCTGGTGCTCGCCGTCGGCATCATGGGCTACGGCGTGTATGTTGTCAAGAAGTACCAAAACGCATCCAGGACATTGGCACAGCGCAGCACCTCGAGAAGACGGTCCACAAGCGCTTCGGCTGCCTCTACGACGAGTACGACTTTGCCAACCGGTTCTTCTTCACGGCCAAGATGGGCCTTGCGCTCCTCTCGGGCATGATCGCCGGCACGTTCGCGGTCTCGGGCCAGGCGCAGTTAGTGATGCTCATCGTGCTCCACGTGGGTTTCTTTCTGTTGCTGAGCGTGCGCCGGCCACACTTTGCGCCGTTCGTTCAAAACACAACCGTGATCATCACAGTTGTCAAGGTCATCACCTTTGGCCTGAGCTTCCTCCTCCTCAAAGTCGCGACGGTTGGCGCCGACGAGAAGATCACGAATGCGATCTCGTACGGCATCCTTGCGCTGCAGCTCGGCGTCCTCCTCTGCCTCCTCGCGCGGCAGATCTACATTTTCTACAAGACGCACCAGCTCAAGAAGGAGCTCGCGGCCTCCAACGACACGATGCGCGGCGAAGACCTCTATGCGCTCGACGCGATCACGGCCCCCGGCGCGTATGCGATGGCGACCAACAGCACCAACCACCGCGACACGAGCCAGAAGCAGCGCGAGTGGACGAGCGAGAGCCACCGCGCGAGCGACGACAAGCCGCGCTTTCCCCAGAAAACCAGCAACCACAATAACAACGGCAAGCTCAAAAACCTCAGCAACAACAACAACAACCAGCCGCACAATGGGCAGTGGAAGGAGGACGACTACGACCCGCGCGAGTACGCCATTTAACCCAATGTAATTGTATTGAGTGTCTTATCGTCCAGTTATTAGTTTTGCTCATTTGAATTCAACGCGAACACGTTTGATAATTGATTGATTGATTGATTGTCTTACCTATACAATTTGTACCGGTAGTCCAACTCCACGATCCAAACGCGGTAAGCGATGGCTGGTCGCTCCACCATCCATAGTTTGCGCTGGATGTACAAGCGCTCCCGATCCCCTTGACGCTTGCGATCCCGCGCACGCGCCAAGATTCTCCGTGGACTGGCCATCCCTCCACTTTTATTCACTTTTATGGCTACGAGGTATCCATGCGGTACTAGTACAAACTTTGTAGCTCCAATCGAAGAACGTTGGGACACCTCCGACTTCATCGCATGTCCCAGGACGCTTCTCGAGTTTGCCGTTTGCCGTTGAGTGTCAAAACTACACTCAGTTCCCTGCGCTTAGAGGTGCCTGTAGCGACGACGAGTGCGAGCAGGTCCATCCTCATGGTGCAGCCAGCGTCGTTGAGTGTAGAAAGTGCCCCGTGACTATTATAGCGCGTGCGGGGCTTTGGCCCGACGACCAGACTCGCAGCACCTCCTCCATGACGTCGTCTGCTCTTACATTGGCGATTTGTAACCAAATGTACAGCACCTCATCGCGTGCGGGATACAGCCGCGCGCGCGGGATCTTGTTGCTCAAAAAACAAATAGCAGCGGCGATGGCAAGCGTGCTCTCGATCCTCAAAGCCGCAAGTCTTATGCTCGTCGGCGCCATCCTTGCGTACGCATGAGATCTTATTGGGACCATGGCACCACGGTAGTATGTGCTAGGTACAAGGCGATTGCGCTGGCGGCAGAGACCGTCGACCCGATCTTCTTCATCCCGCTCTTCGTTGTGCTCTTCGTCGTCGGCCTCGTCCAGAGCCTCCCAGTGGCTGTGCACGCGATGCAAGACGCGTACAAGCCAGTGCCTGTCCGGCGGTCCGTCGTGCGCCTTCCGCCCTACCGCATCGTGTAGCCATGTCTTAGCGCACTCTATTTATTTCCTGCGATGCTCTGTCGTCTCCAAACGAATCAATTTGGCATCGAAATTGGATTTCTGCTCCTGATACTCTGCTCTTCCTCAGCCACGTGCGAGGATCGGGTGGCCAACTTACACACGTTGGTTGGCTTGTTTGCATTCAACTGCGATGCTGCGATGCTCGGCCTCTCCGTCGCAGCCGATTTGTTGTCGCTGTCATCCCCGTCCGTAGCCTGCAATTCGCCTTGGTTGACGGCGGTGCACGGCCTCGCCGAGGCCATTGACCTCGCACTGTTTCTCATCTACAGAGCCACATTGAGCCCATTGAGCCTCTTTAGTCATTCCGCTGCTGCCGCTAGGGCCGCGACGCCACTGCAGCCCATGCACTGCCAACGTCATCAACGCCTCATAAATAACTGTCTTTGTGTCTCACGAGGATTAAGGCATCTCAGATGCTATTATACCTCAGACGCTTTGTGAGACAGCGATTTTTACTGTGAGATCGATTTTTGGTAGCCATCCACTAGTATCATTCACTTCCGTGTCACCTAGAGAAGTGACGTGGCGCGGTCAAAGAGCTGGAGCACAATCGCCGTGTTGCACCAGTAGAGGTGTGCGCGGGTACCGGCCTCCGAGCCCATGTCGAGGCAGAAACCAGCGTGCGTGAGGTGCTTGAGCTGCTTGGTCGCCGGGTCGTAGCGCCACTTTTGGTTGAGGTTGCTGCCGTCGCACGGATACAAGTGCACAGCACCCCCGTTGCGCGCGTCGTAGGCGTCGAGGCACTTGGTCCAATCGCCCGTCCGCGCCCGCCACGTGTCGTCGCTCACGCTCACGCCCCACTCGACGCCGCCGTTGAACTGGACGTTGTCGCCGTCCACACCCATCGTGAGCTGGTTGAAGCTGCGCAGCGTCACCTTCTCGTCCCACACACCCGTGATGCGCTGGTTCGGCGCGTTCTCGGCGCAGGACCAGACTTGGACTTTGTGGTTCTGGTTCGGGTCGACGTCGAGGCAGAGGTTGGGAAAGTGGAGGTGCTGGACGCGGTAGTTGTCCATGCTCCAGCGCTGGTTCGGGTTACTCGCGTCGCACTTGTACGTGTGGACACGGTACGTGCCGCCGTCGTTGTACGCGTCGAGGCACTCGTAGTTGGAGTGCACGATGATCTGGCGCGTCGTGAAGTCGTAGCTCCACTCTTCGTTCATCGCGCCCGACTTGGTCGACGACGACGCGTAGAGGTCCGAGTAAAACTCAGTGATGAGGTGGCCGTGCGAGGTGACGAGGTAGAACTGCGGCTTGCGCAGCACGGGGTAAGCCATGAACGAAGCGACGCCGCACATGCCGGGACCCCCGACGCCACGCTGGAGACGCACGTAGCCGCCTTCGCCCCAGTTGGGCCCCCACGAGTTCTTCAAGTTGTAGTACGGCGACCCGGCGGCACCGTACCCGACCGCAAGCACGCCGTGGGTGAGCGGTCCCGAGCAGCCACCGGTGATGATGCCGCCCTTGTAGAGCCGCCACGTGTCACCACCCGTGGCCACCTCGACGGCCACGGGCTGCGTGTTGAGCGCCTTCTCGAGCGTGTCTTCGCCAGCGACAACCGCAATGTTGGAGAACGGCATCGGGAGCTTCTGGCACGTCGACTGGCACGGATGCGCCGTCGCGCTCTGCCCGTTTGTGTATGGGTACGAATCGCTCGTGCAGAGGCCGTTGGAAGCGATCCACTTGAGCGAGTCGTCGAGGTACCCGCCTCGGCAACCCAAGCCTGGGCCGCAGCTCACTGTCTGCTGCTCGGAGAAGAGCGTGCGCCGTTGGTGGTGGGCGAGGCAGTACGCGCTCTCCGTTGCGCCGACGGACAAGAAGGCGTAGCACGAGCCGCAGCCGCCTTGGTCCTTGACCGGCGCGACGCAGCCCGATTTCTTCCAGTCGACCGTGTTCGTCGCAACCGAGATGCCCTCCGACGACGCGGGCAACGCTGATGCGTTGCGCGCCGGGCGTGCTGCTGTGACCCACGACGCAAACTCGTCGCTCGTCATCAAAGCAAACGGCGTGTCGACGGAGAACTCGGCGAGCGGGTGCGCCTTCTGGAGCGCAGCCGCCGCGGCCTTGCTCGCCGCAAAGACGGCGAGCTCCGCGTCCTCGCTCGCCCCGTCAAGGTGCTCGCGAAGAAGACCGTTGGCAGCTGCGTAGACACCGGCGTCGCTGGCCTTCCACGCGGACAGCTCCTTTCGAAGCGCATCGCGGTCGTCGATGGGTGCGGCAGACACGGCGGCAGCGAGAGCAAGTGCACCAAGAGCGAACGCGGCCATGGCGAATTGTAAAGTGACGCCGGTGTAGCCGCGCGGTGTCGAGAGGTGTCGAGAGGTGACCAGATTGGATATCAGATGCAATTCTAGGAAGAGACACCAGAAGTGGCAGCGTGCGTACCATGTACACAAGTACCAATATAACAAGTTTTGGGTGTCGCGGGTTGTATGATCTTGGAGCTCACGGCGATCCATGTGGAAACGGCAAAGTCGCCAAACACGCGAGGGGCGGTGGTCTCCTTTCGGTGGCCTGGGTACAGACCCTCGCTGCTCTTCCTCGTCAACACGTTTCTGTGTGGCGGCCTGGCGAAGAGACGTGGAAAGCTCCTGCGACGAACGCGGCAGACACGAGACGACGCGCGACGCCACGCATCGGTGCAAGTAAATAGTGGGCCACAGATTTGAACAACCGTATGCGTCCTCTGTCACATGTCAATGGGCTCTCCGAGTTCCGACCTCGGTCCTCACTACGCTGCATTACATGCGAGAAGTGGTGCGTATTGGCTCTATGGTTAGAAGACGACGATGACAGACACCCAAGACACGAACGTCAAGTTGCTGTATATTTCCCATAAATATACCGCTCGAATCTCACGGCTCTTCGAGAATGGGACTAAGAAGCGTTCGTTCGTGGCGCACAAGCGTTGAGGTGACAGAGGTGCATCGCAGAGGCGGTGGTGTTTGCGTCGCAGCACGAGCGATAGCTCTCCGAGCCTTGGACCACACAGCGTTTTGCGGCTCGCTCTTGGTCGCTGCGTACAAGTGGAGCATCGTGTCCAAATGCAAATGAGCCTGCGACGTTGTGTGACCGAGATGGCTTCTGAGTGATGGTCTACCGTCATTCCGCCTCGCTGTCACGATCCGCGCGCTAAATCGCTGAGTCGGGCATGAACGATCAGACCGTACGCGTATTCCTGTGTTTCCTCGAGTCCAAAGCGCGGCGCCGGGGCTCAACGATTTGAAATATTGTACGGATACGAATCCCTCGTGTGCAAGTGCATCGAAAAGTTCGCATTAGGCCAAGGGGTACATGAATTGAATGAAGGCTACGCAGTGCTTCTGGTCATTTTGGTCAACCACTTGTCTCGACACACAACGACGTTTTGCACTAGAACGTTGTATGGAATCAGCTTGCGCTGCGACGACGTGCTGGAGCGGGCGTTTATAGGTAAAACTCCCTCTGGCGCGATCACGTCCATGCGTTTTTTTAGTTTCTCGACCACTGGCATGATAAAAAACACGTACGACGCATTACAGCCGTGCAAGTCTTTAGGCGGCCTACCGAGCCACTATTACGTTTTGTATGTACCCTAATGAACTCGAAACAAATGCCACGGCGCGAGGCTACTAGGGACGACCTGGTAGTGCCCTTGGCGTCAGCTGTGGGTACGAAGTCGCAATCGCAGCTAAGATCTGGTTGTGGTAAAACTCGTTGCCAGCCAAGCTCAGGTGCAAGCCGTCGCTCAGTACAGTTTTCTGCGCGCCTTGAAGCAAGGTCCAAAAATTGATGACGGGAATGTCCAAGCGACGGCCCACTTGCGTACAGTAGTTTGCATACTCACCCACCCGTGCATTGAGGTACGCTCGGTCCACAAAGATGTCGTCGTCCGTCACGGCGGGCGTCAGCAACAACAACTTGGTCGCTGGAAACGCATCGAGGAAGAGGTGCACCATCGCTTCGAGGTTGGCCTTGTATTCGTCGGGGGGGACGTCGTTAGTGGCGTTGGGAAGCCGGGCGTCGTTGGTGCCGAGACCAATGATAACGAGGCTCGGAGGTCGGGCGGCCCACTCCTGAACGAGTGCCGGGACCGTAGGTAGCCAGCTCCTGCAAGTCCGTAGCGTCAGACTATACGTCGCGAGAGGGTAAACCGATATTACCGCGTTGTCCAGGCTGACCGACCGCTGTTGATTACGTCTGCTCGGTGAATGTAGTCCTTGGAGAGCAGCGCTTGAAAGCCGTGGAGGCTGACGCCGGCAGCTTGCTCTATGATCGAGTCACCGACCATGAGAATCACGGGTCTCAGCGAAGTTGGAAGGATGGATCCATTCAACGCTGGGGCTGCGGTTCCATTGACGGTACAATTCGCCGCCGCTGCAGTAGTTGATGACGTTGTCAGACAGGCAAGCACGGCGGCGCCAGCTGCTGTACCCAGCGCAAAGGAAACCGTGGCGAGGCCCGCTACTACACACGAGCGGTTGGCATTACGACGATAAGGGCCACGCACCGGCGATATGGTACCGGTGGTATCGATGCGCTTTTTTAGTCTTGGGTTGCGCAGGTGCTGTAGAGTGCTCGCTCATATGGCTTTTGAATCAATCGTGAGAATGACCAGTGGCCGTTGACCAGCGGCCGTTGCATGACATGGCTCGAGGCTTGGTGATTGGTCAATTAGTGACCGACGATGGCTCCGATTGGTCACTCCGCAGGTGAGTTGCGTATCCGGAAGAAAGGTCCCAGTTGAGGAATCAAGGCATTGCAGCGAGCATCAAGGCATTCTGTCAAAGCAATTTCTGTGTTACCAAGTGGCCTCGTGCCAGCGTATTATTGCCTACAAAATGACAACGTTCTACAGACACAGAGTCTGCTCAGCGTTGTGAGCTGCAGCAGAATCTGAAACTGAAAACGAAAATCAATGCTGCGGGGGATTGGGATCGCCCTGCGCGTTGTGCTGGTCTTGGCGCTCCTGAGCTGCATTGCGTAAGCAGGTCCTTGGCTACGACGTGGTCTCTCACGCGCTGGAGGCGTAGGCGGCCCGTCTTCTTCTCGACTGCGAGCGTCATCGAGCCCATCTTTGTGTTTCCGCTCTTGCTCGTGACGCTCGTCTTCAGCTGCCGCGAGTGCGTGCCCGTCGCGTGCCAAGTCGTCCAAGACGCCTGCAAACCTCCTTCGCATCATCACTTCCGCGACCAACCCGCACTCTACTACGCATGACTTGTCCTCCTTGAACGACATCATTATGGGCTTGCAAGCGTTCCGTAGCCCTTCGCAGCTCGTTCAGAGACATAAGCAGAGTACATGTAGATGATGTAGGATCGCCCTGCTTCCTTACGGTGTGCACGAACCCCTCTTTTCGACACGATTTTCTTATTGGCATGAAATACTGAGTGGTCGCTCATCCTCTCCGCGTCTCCTTTGGTCCGACGTACTCGATGGTCGGGCGGCATTTTCTGTTCAACTGGAAACAGGTGTGTGCGAGAGACCCTTGACACAAGCTATCGACTCGGCATGTTGTACATTCGATGCTCCGTTCGCACTATGGACACCGTTGCGACAGAAGCAAGCTCAACTGCAATCGTTGTTGTTTTTCGTGAATAAATACTATGAAACCTACTTGTCTTGTCTACTGTCTAGACGTCGACGAGACAGTCTTCCTCGAGGATCGGGCCGAGCGCCCGAAGACTCTGCGTGGCGCGCTGAAACGGCACGAGGCGGCCGCCCACGAGCGTTGGCGGGCGCGGCGCCAGGGAAATGTTGCGCTTGGCGCCGGCGTTGGCGCGCGCGATGGACTTGCGGGCCTTCGACCACGCGTCTGTCGATGACGGCGTCTTCATTGCCGTGAAGAGGTGGAGCATGGTTGATGTCGAAATTGAAAATGAAACAGAGAGGTTCGAGTCTCTAGGGCGGAGCGGCGCTGGACAGGACATGGTCGGACACGACGCAGAGTGGGATGTCTTGTTGCAGCATCGACGTGCGCAACGAACATCCAGGCATCGATTTAAGCAATTCCATCTTGCGAATAGTAATACCTACTACTACCTATTGGTACTAAAGAGCTCCCTTGCACGATGACGTTCCCACACACTCCGTGCTTCTGAAGCTCGCTTGAGCCACTGGCAGAGCCACCTTGGATAGATCCACGTGCCTGGATAGTGCCTGGATACATCCCACTTGCGTTCTGCGTAGACGCCCTCAGTGTCGGACATGAGCGGTCGTGAATCCAGGATAAAATTTGTCGCCTCTGGAATCCAGTGCACAGCAATATCATGTTTCGCAGGTTCCCATGCGACACGCCAAAATACGCGTCGGTGATTTGCCACTGCCAAGTTTGGACACTTTGACCACGTGGAGATTCAAGCGGATTGCCATTGCGCTCATTTGTAGCTATGTTCGGACGACTGCATAGGGGTAATTAACTCATTAGTAGGTAAAGTCTTACCTGTGAAATTTTATATTTCACAAAATAGACGTGATGCAAACACAGAGTATGATACCACTGAGTTATACTTCTCTGTCAGGCAGATCGGGGTGATTTCCGTGGAGCCACTAGCTGAATATTCCTACTAATGAGAGCCCACCTTCGTAAACTTAAACTAGCTATTCCTTCATATCCATTGGATGCGTCCCTCTTAACCATTAACGCTTCTCAAATCAATTGACGACAACACGGCGCAAGTCGCAAAATAGCACTGTATATAATATATGGGGTGGCTACAGAGCTCATACTTACGGCGCCGCCTTGGCTTTGACCATTTGCACGAGCATGTCCTTGACATACCTACACTGAAGGCATCAGAGACACCACGAAATGGCCGCGCGTACTTGAGGCGCTTGACGAGGTCCGGCGTCTTGGCCGGATGCTGCACGGCGTCGTAGGTTGAGAGCACGTGCATCGTGCCGTCCTTGTCTACATACCTATTGCATCGCATGTTAGACGCCGCCACAGCAGCTGATTATGTACGTGATGGCGAGCCCGTCCTGCGCGAGAACGAGCCGCGTCGCGTCGTAAAAATCGACTTGGATCGTGTCGTTGGTGAGCCGGAAGAGGATCGCGTGGCGCGTCTTGACCCACTTGCGAATGTACACGTGGGCGCTCGAAGCTCCGCAGAACGGCGGCGGTAGCTTCTTCAGGTGCTCGAGCAGGAGCGTTCGAGACGTGCACGTCGGCTCTTCTTCCTTCTAAACATCGAGGTCTATCATGACCAGGCCGATGGAGCGACGTGCGTACCATGTACTCTTTGAAGTGGCCCATGAGGGTCACCTTCTTGGCGAGTGACGCATCAAACTGTTTCGCGCTAAACGTCTTTCGGGGCGAGTCGACGGCCGGCGCTTCACTACCTCAACTGGTAAGAGACGGATGGAGTGATAGCTTTGTCCCTACAGGCGGTCGACATAGTCGAACGTGCTGCCGTCAGGGCTCGCGATGATTTTGGTCGAGTCGTTAAAGTAGACACCGGCCGACCCGTTCGAGAGCACGTAGCCAAGACCGTACTTGGCCGTATAGTCGACGTATTGGAGGACCCAGAGGGGAGCTGCGCGTGGCGGCGGCAGCACGGCGAGGCGAGCCTGGAGGATCTGCTGCTTGGTCGTGCTCAGGATCGCGTTCTCCGAGTTGTGCTTGCCCCTTCGCTCTTCATCCAGCGCGATAAGATACGCCAGTGTTTCGCATGTCGCCTCGAGAACGTCGGGGGCAGCCGGCGGGGCTTGGTTGGCCTGGTGCAACGTGCGCAGCGGCGTCCGCAGCGGTGGCTTGTCTACGGGATCTTATATCAGCAAAGACTTTGCGTCGTGGCATACCATGGTGGGGTGACGGCGATGGCACCGGCGTCTTGGGCGCGGTCGACTTGGTAGCGACCGGACGGGGCGGTGTCATGAAGAGCGACGACTCGGGCAGGTGCAGAGGCACGCTATCGTCACGCAGGAACGGGTGCTTGAGGATGTTGGCGATCGACGGGCGCTGCGTCGGGTCGTGGCGGAGGATGTCGGTGATAAGCCCGCGCGCCGCCGACGAGATCGCGACTCCGTCTGGGAAGGTGTACGTGTTGGCGCGAATGAGCCGGTACGTGTTCTTGACGTCGGCCGTCTCGAACGGCGGCTTCCCGACTAGAAGGGTGTACATGATGACACCCGTGGACCAGATGTCAACTTCAAAGCTATGGCCGTCGTTGCGGGCGCCATTGAGGATCTCGGGCGCAATGTAGTTGGGCGTGCCGCACATCGTCTTGCGCTTCTCGGCCTTCGAGTCGAGGTGCGACGCAAGGCCAAAGTCGCCAATCTTGATCTGCATGTCGCTCGTCAAAAAGAGGTTGCCGAGCTTCAGATCCCGATGGATGACGCACTGCGAGTGGAGGTACTGTATACCCTCGAGGAGCTGCTTGATGTAGAAGCGAACTTCGTGCTCGGCGAGGCGCTTTCGCCGCTTGACCAAGTCCGAGAGGCTCTACGTCGCAGTCGTGAGAGACCATTGGATGATGTAGAGCGAGGTCACGCACGTGGTTGGGGCACAGCTCGAGGAGGAGGTAGCAGTTGGCGTCGTCTTCAAAAAAGTGGTGCATCTGCACGACGCGCGGGTGATGCAGCGCCTTGTGGATCTTGATCTCGCTCGCAAACTTGATCTTGGCCTTGGGCTTGAGCAGCGTCTCTTTGGCGACGACCTTGGCCGCGTACGTTGCCCCGTCCGGCGCGGTCATCTCGTAGCAGCGCGCAAAGCCGCCCTAAGGTTCGCATCCTAGAGCCACCGTGGCCGCCGCAGGAGCCATGTACCTTGCCGAGGAAGCGGCCGCGCGTGTACGTCCGCGTCGCGTCGGCGCCATGCGCGTCGTTGTAGTGCTCGACCACGGTCGTCGTTGCGTCTGCCATCGGCGATCTCGGTCTGGGCGAAATTGGGACCCGGGACGTCTATTCCACCAATCGCGTGCCATACGTCACAGCTTTTTAGCCAATCACATGGCGTATAATGCTGCCCTTTATAGCCAATCCCCGCGCGGTTCTATTTTTTAAACTTTCAAATTCAGAAAAAGATCGCAAGTCGCAGGTCCCAAGCTCACACAACTTGTCCCTTGTAAAACGATCGAGTTAGGAGTAGCACTAGTAGCGGTCTATGACGAAGCCTTGGCGGCTGCGACAACTTGATCCACAATCGTCAAGTGAGTACGGGACGTGGAGGGGTTCAGGTATTTGCCAAGATACATGGTGGGTGCCCCGTCGCGTTCGCAGCTTTCACAACGGTATGCAGCAGGTCGAGGAGCCGCGCCTTTTCTTTCCGGTACGTCGCGCGGCTCATCGGCGGCGGTAGCTGGACGCGATTCCCGCACGTGTCGGGCGCCATCTGCGGATACTCGGGGCTCTGGTTGACGACAAATACTTCGATACCGAGCGCCGAGAGCTTGCCAAGCTCGGCGGCCAACGCACGAAAGATGTGGCGCACGTCGTGCATGACTTGCTGCTTGCATGTGTGGTGCTCGCACAGGCAGCACGTCGGCGCGTCCGAGTAGGGCACGTCGTCCGAGCCGCCGGGTTGAGGTACTAGACCCAGTGCACGGCGAGGAGGACGGCTTGCAGTTTAACAGTCACCAGCATTTGCATGTTGGCGGCAAACTCGGGCCGGCACGGCAGCATCGCGCGGGCCCATCGGTTCTTCAACACGATCGTTGGAAACGACGCCTTGGCCGTCATTGCATCGACAAAGAGCTTCATGAACCGGGACATGTCAGCGTGCGAGTCGCCAAGAAGGATGAGTGTCCCATCCGCTTCGTGCCCCGGATGGATGACCTCGCATCGCTTGAGGTACGCGGCGTTGATGTGGTCCTTGAGCGGAAACGGTGCCGATGCGATAGCCGCGGTGATGTACATGGCGTCCGGCGCGCAGCTTACAGTGCGTACGTTCCAATGGCCGTCGGTAAATCCCTTGCAGGCTTGGCGCACCGTGGGAAGTGCGCAACCATTCCTAGGACGAGAAGGGGCGTGATCCACTTTGCTTGGCGTCGGCGGACGTGGCGACGCTTAAGGCAGCGCTGACCAATAGCATCGCGTGCGGCTGCAGGTAGAACGGACGAGTGGCGGCGTCCGGGTACTGCTCGATGGCAAAGACGAGGAGCGGCCAGTGCCAGCGGTAGATTATGCCGAGGTAGACAACAACGACATTGCCAAGGAGATACTAGCTAACACTCGCATTGGCGCCGAATCAAAAGCGTCGCGCCGACGGTCGGGAGGAGTGCATAGCACCCGGGGAACAGCCTTTCGCGCCGCTGACACAGGCAGCGATGTCGCCGAGGGTGGCCGAAGCTGCGACCACAACGGAGCGAGCGATAAGGTCTTAGCATGTATTCGAAATAAGATTAGCTTGCCAAGCAGGAGCGAAGCGAATAGCGTCGACCCACTCCACGTGCTTACCAAGGGTGGTCACCACATCGCCCCACCAGCTACTGGCACCGGTGGGCTACGCTTACTGCGCTGACGCCAACAAAAGTGTGGATCTGGTGGAGCCATTCACCCCCAAAAGCAGAATCTAGTCGGCAGCGCACAAGTGGTGTCGCTAACACCGCACGTGATGTGCGTAGAGCACTTCCCGCCGGTTCCTTGATGGTTTTGAGTGATGCGTGGTAATGCTGCCGCGAAACAACCAACAAACGATCAGGAATTACAGCTACGGCTGCCCTAGTGGAGCTCGCCGCCAACTCTTCGCGGCGAATGGCCAACACCAGCGGAACCCCTTCAAAGAGGCTCAGCGCGACCGCCGATAGGATGAACGGTAGGCAGAATATGGCGTCGAGTGCCTCCACAAAGCCTCGGACCGTCGCCAGCCTACGCGCGCAAGTCAGTTGTGTCAGTGACAACCGCGCAGTACATGACGTAGGCGAAGCTTGCGAGCGCCAGTAGACAGCGCAAAAGGTAGCGCACGGCGCCGAGAGGGACGGCGATTCGGGGCGTGGCCACGCACTCTCTGGTCGGGCGCATCTCGACGAGTCCAGCAACCAGCAACTGGTCGATTGCTTGATGGGAAATGACTCATTCTATTTCGAAGCCAAAGATACCGAGATCCAATTGCCGATTTTATGAAAGCAGCCATGATGGCCTTTCTCGTCATTTGAAAAAGTACGCACTCGTGCTCCACTGCCCCAAGGGGATGCCCTTGGCTGCCCTCACTTGATTCTACAAGTTGTCGATCATTGGAATACCAAACCCAACTCGCGTCAAGAAATATATTTTGAATTGACTCTTTTCCCTAGCATCGATCCTTGACTTCCAGCGATTCGTGGCCCACAAATCATACGGGCACGCGCCTCCATCGATGAACATCGATGGATGGTGCGCAAGGTAGACCATCAGAAAGAACGTGCTGGAGTCTCGCTGATACATTGATACTTTGCCTTGATACTGCACATAAAAAGCAACATCAAGCCGATTGAAGGAAACCTCCGAAATTCGATGCCATCGAGTGCCGCAGGTAGTACGTTGAAGCTTGCATCGAAGCGATGGAGGAAGCCCGCCTCGAGGGCCTCCTCACGCTCCTGACAGGTCGACCGACGGACGAGGCTCGCGGTGCCTGCGCTCACGCCGGCTACGATAGATGGCTGCTCAATGCCGATCCGCGCCCAAGCCAGCGACGAGATCGCACGCCTCACGACGGCCACCAACCTGCCCTGGCTCGTCCAGAAGGTGCGACCACCTCACTAATACATGCAGCAGCATGTACGCTTTGCCTGTAGCTGCGCCCGCTCCTGCGCGATGACGAGTGGGACACGCGCGTGGCCGCGGCGCGTACGGTCGGCAGCATCCACGCGCTGCCGTGGGTCCTGCCCGTCGCGCTCGCCACTTGCGCCGACATTGGTACGCGCCCTTCTACGTGCTGCGACATCACAAGCGTGCGTAGCCCAGAGCGAGAGCCTCCTGCGCCTCGACGACCTGGACGTCGAGCATGTCTTGGCCAACGCTGCGCCGCTACTCAAGAGCGGCGGCGAGGTATCGCGCGTGACCTGGACCTATGCTCAAGCTGTCTAGGAGTACGACTACCGAGTGAATTTCGACTCGGTCGCGTCGCAGCAAGCCCATTTGGCACTCCAGCGACGCCGGCTCTGGGGCCGCCTGAGCCGGTCGATCACCGTCGACGCGCCTCCGATCGCCCTCCAGAGTAGGCGCGTCATTATCAGGACGCCGAGGCTCATTGCTCGATAGGCACGCGCGCCAACACGGACCGGGTGGTCGCGGATGTCGATCTGTTGCCAAGTGACGCAGCGCGCGTCATCCGCCTCGCGCCGGTGACGCACCTCTTCCGCACCGACGTCGCGGCCGACAGCCGCGCGCACGCGAGTTTTGCGAGCTTCCCGCTGCTTTTGCTCGACTGCCTCGAAGCCATTTTCGACGCGCGCTGGCAAGTCCGGCACGGCGCCGCCCACGCCCTTCGCGATGTGTTTTCAAGCGCGCGCGCGCCAAGCTCGCACGCGTGGTTTGACGAGGTGCTCGTGCGCGGCCTGAGCGTGCTGGCGCTCGAGGCATGGGTCGACTACGCCTCCGATGGGTCGGTCGCGCCGGTGCGCGAACTTGTTGCGCAGGTCGTCGCCAAGCTGCTCGACGCGGCGCCGCAGCACGTAGGCCATGTGGCTCCGTATCTGCGCGCGTCTTCGTGGCACGCGGCCCACGGAGGCCTCTTGGCACTGCACTACTGCAAAGTCGCACTGCCCGCCGACGTCCTGGACGCCGTCGTCGACTGCCTCGGTGCGCGGTCCGAAGAAGAGGTGCATTCGGCCGCAGCGCAAGTGCTCGCACGCTCGGAAGCGGCGTCCGTCGTCCACCGGTGCACCGATCGGCTCTGGGCGTTGCTCGAGACAAAGCAGACGTCCCTTGTGGATACTGCCCCGGGGCACCTGCTCCGGTGCCTGCGCACGCACGGTATCAGCGGGTCGACATCGCACGTGTACTTGGTGCTGACGTATCTCCGGCACTCGGCAGCGTCGGTGCGGATGTCCAGTGTGGCGTGGCTCACGGCCGCAGCCGCGACGCCGCTCTCGCCGCCTCTTGTCACCGCGATTGCCCACTGGTGCTGGTTCATCTGGCTCGGCGCAGACGAGGTGAACGACGTGGAGCTCCGCGACGGTGTTTATGGTCTCTGGCAGCAGCTGTGGTGCACCCACGGCAAGCACGTCAATGCGACGTGGGGCTTGACGCTTCGCTTCTGGCTCCCGACGCTCTCGTGCGTCGACGGGTCCGTGTGGCAACTCCCGCAGCGCGCTGGGCCGATCGACGCACCCGTCACGGCCCGGCGACTCTCGCTCGCGACGACGCTGGTGCTCTGCGCTGCGATCAGCGACGTTCTCAACGCGCTGCCACCGGCCATCATGACGACGTGCGCGTCCGAGCTCCAAACGCTCCTGGAAAGCGACCATGGCACCGACGTGCTCTGCGGTCTCTGGGTCCTCGAACGATGGACATCGATGCCAGCGACGTGCGGAGCCACGGCGCTCAAGACCTTGACGCGCACACACTTCTACGCCGAGCAAGCGCCCGACCTCCGCAAGCTCCGCAAGCTCGTCGCCCGACTCCATGCGCACTTTGCACCGCTAATGAAGATGGAAGAGAACGAAGACGGCGCGTGGACCGTGGCCCGCGTGTTGGCGCTGGCAGCGACCGTCAGCGATCTCCCGTACGCCTCGCTGGCGACGCCCGAGCCGTACACGACCGCACAGTACCTCCGCCAAGACATCTTTGCCCTCGAAGACAAGCTGCGGAAAAGCTTCGAGACGCTCGCCCGGCGCATTGCAGCGGCCGCCGCCTCCGCCGTCTTTGTGTCCGGTCAGTGGTCCAAGCCCGGCTTGCTCGTGCGTCCGTGGATGGACGCACTCAAGCAAGAGCCATCGCGCGCCGTGACGCAGGTCGTCGCCAGGTCCCTCGCCGCCTTTGCCTCGGCGCATGCCGTCTCGCACCGCGCCTGCGTCACCAAGCTCGTCAACAACCTCGTCAACTCGGTCGTCGCCGTCGACCCGGCACCGACGTACGTGGTGACGCTCACGCCGTCATCGTCGACAGCGCCGCTCGACGTGCGCGTGGACGGCGCCCGCGTCGCGCTGTCGTACCTCGTGCCGATCGTGCCGGAGCTTTTGCGCGCCCGGATCGAGCAAGAGCTGGCGACAACGCCCAGCACCGACAAGCAGCTGCAAGGCCTCTGCCGCCTGCTGGCCGTCGCCGGACGCACGTCGCCCCAGGTGGCCCCCACCCTGTGCTCGTGGGCCACCAATGGCAGCTGGGATGCACCCACGCACGCGCTGCTCGCGGCCGTGCTTGCGGCCGACGTCGACGACCACGTGCTTGATGCGGTGCTGCAGCCCGAGGCGCCGGACGCCGCACTCGCGCTCGTCGTTGCGCTCGCGGCGTCGCCGACGCTGGTGGTTCCGTACTTGGCGCGGATGGTCGCCACCGCTCTTTGCATTCTGTGCAACCGCGCGTCGCGCCAAGCCGCGAGTGTCTTGGCGCAGCTGATCCCGCTCCTTGCGCTCCTTCCACCGTCGTCGACGTCGTCGGATCCGTCGGCCGTGTTTTTGCAGCAGCTGGCGCGGGGCACGCCACCTGCATGCGAGTTGCCGGCCCTCGACGGCCTCGTGTGGCGGTCGTACCAGGTGCACGGCGTCCAGTGGCTGGTCTTTCTGGCGAGACACGGCCTCCACGCCGTGCTGGCCGACGACATGGGCCTCGGCAAGACGCTGCAAGTCCTCGCCTCGATCGCCGTTGTGATGCAACATCGGCCTCTGCGGTTGCTCGTCGTGGCGCCGCCTGCGATCCTCGAACACTGGAAGCGGGAGGCGCGCCGGCTCTTCTCGGACCACGCCATCGTCGTGCTGACCGGGTCCATCGCCATGCGGAAAGCGCGCGCCACGCCTTATCTCAAGCGCGGCGTGTGGGCAGAAAACGTCATCGTGCTCACCTCGTACACGTGCCTCCAGCGCGACATGGAGCTCCATCAAGGCACGCCGTTCGACTACTGCGTGGCGGACGAAGCCCACGTGATGCGTAATCCGATGAGCCAGACCGCGGAGGCGCTCCGGAGCATTCGAGCGGCGCACCGGATCGCGGTCACGGGCACGCCGTTGCAGAACACCGTCGTCGACGTCTGGTCGCTCTTCGAGTTTGTCTTGCCGGGGTACCTTGGTCTGTGGCCCGACTTTCGCGCCGCGACGCTGCTGCCGATCCAAGCGGCCCGAAAGGAGTCGGCCACCAAAACGCAAAAGGTAGCAGCAAATTTTCTTCCTTCTCGGGAATTGAACCCACGTAGGAGGCCGGCGCGGTCGCGCTCACGCAGCTCCACGCGCGCGTGCAGCCGTTCATTCTGCGACGCACGAAGGAGCACGTGCTCACGGAGTTGCCGCCCAAGATCATCCAAGACATCCTCTGCGACCTGCCCGAGGCCCAGAAGGCGCTGTACGACGCCTGCGCCAACCGCAGCACGCACAGCCTCCAGCAGCTCAGCCAACTGCAAAAGCTCTGCGTGCACCCGGCACTGCTGCACGGCGGCGACACAAGTATCGAGCTCTCGGGCAAGTTCCTCGCGCTCCAAGACCTCCTCGAGACGCATGTCGGGGACGGCCACCGGTTCCTCATCTTTTGCCACCTCCAGGCGACGGTCGACCTCGTCGCAGACATGCTATCGGCCCACTGCGCCGAGATTGGCGTCGACCGGCTCGACGGCAGCGTGCCCGTGCCTGAACGGTACACATATCATCATCTTGCTGCGGTGGTTGAGCGACGGTGGTTGTAGCCAAGCGATCGTCGACCGCTTCAACCACGACGTCAGCGTCCACGCACTCCTGCTGACGACTGCCGTGGGTGGCCTCGGCCTCACGCTCACGGGCGCCGACACGGTCATCTTCCTCGAGCACTCGTGGAACCCGTTCACGGACCTCCAAGCCATGGACCGCGCGCACCGCCTCGGACAGACGCGGACGGTCACCGTGTACCGACTGCTTGCCAAAGACACGATCGAAGCCGACGTCATGTCGTGTCAGCGCTTCAAGGAGGCGATGGCGGCTGCGGTTGTCGGCAACCCGACGTCGACGGACCTCCTCGCGCCGCCGCCGACAAAGAGAGAGCCCGAGCCAAAGAAGACGAAGCGGACCAAGGGGCTTGATGCGCTTCTGGAAGAGATTGGCGATCTCTGGGACGAAGCCCAGTACGCGAGTTTGGCGCCACTCGACACTTGATAGATTGATAGTAGTAGTCTGGAATCCAAACGATCTACTCGTCGTCCATGTCGACGTCGGCGTCGTCACCGGGCTGGCCGTCAATGAGGTTCTCGACGTCCAGTTGCAAAATGTCGGCGTCGCAGCCCTATCGTCGCAGAGATGAGTTTTTCATCTTCTCGAAGACGCTGCTAGGGTACGAGAAGCGAGGCCACGTTGGGGTACGTGCGGCCGAGGTCGCCGTGCACAAACTCCTTGACGTACGTGCCCGCGGACGTTGTGAGGCGGAGGAGCATGTAGTGGTCGTTCAAAAGCTCGACGCTGGCGTCGTGGATGACCTTGGGCCGCGTCAGGAGCGTGCGCCGGTGGAGCACGCGCACCGGCGTCTTCTGGCCGACGCGCAAGTCGCAAATCCCGTTGAGGATCGCGACGCGCTCGGGCGTAAGCACGCCAGACGTCCAGACGACGCAGCTGCGTATGATGAGATACACTGGACGACACGACACCAGGTGACGTACCAGTAGGTCTTGCGCTTCGAGTCGGCGCCCGACTGCAGCGCGGCAAAGCCCTCCTACATACCACGTGCTCCCGGAGGCTATCTCGCCATCTGGCATCGCACCTTGGTCGCCGAAGAGAGTTCGCGGATCTCGACAATGTCGGTGTTGGCGGCGTTGACTTGGGCCTGGACCGTTGCGTACATATCGGCAGGCAGCGTCGCCACCTTGGCATCTACCACCAAGCAACGCGATAAGGTCGACGAAGAAAAAATGCCTTCTGCGGTACCGAGCAGCTCGAGGATGAACGGCCGACCGTTCCCGAGCATGCGCACGTCCACGTCTTCGCGGCCCGCCGTGTGGAACTTGTACGACTTGGCGCCAAACACAGGCGAAATGATGTCGCCAATGGCCTCTTCCACGGACGAGTCGCCCATACGCTCGCCATCGAGAACCCTAGCATCCATATATGAGTTACATGGATATGGATAGAACAAGTACCAAGGCGTTTGGCTCAGACCGCGCATAAACTTGAGGTACCGGCCCGCAACGTAAACGGGCGCCCGCTCGACCGAGACCGAGATGGACGCGGCCGACTGCGCGCGCGTGGGCGGACTCGGCACGCCCGCGGGCAGCACGTGGAGGTTGTGGAGCGCGCGGGAGACGGCGCCAAAGCCGTCGATCTCGAGCTTGCGCTTCTTGTTCTGCATGATCGTGTCCTACAACGTTGTACAGCATGAGGACAGGACGTGGAAGAGTTTGCAGACGCGAAGGGACGGCAGTTGCATCGCCTCGGCTTCCGAGAGCGGGTGGCCGAACTGCAGGTGCACCGTGAGATCGCTCGAGGCATCGTACGTCGCGTCGCCCAAGTAGGACGCGAAAATGGGTGTGATGCACCACTAGTCGTTGACGATATACCACGCGCTTGGAGAGATGGTACATTAGATACCTTGAGCACTTCCTTCAAGTCGACAGGGTTGAGCTTCGTCTTGAGGTGCTGCAGAAGCGCATGCTGGCGGATGAGCACAGAGCTCGGGATCTTGATGGCAATGAGAAACGTTGTCGTCGTGTAGCCGCTGTCGCGGACGCTGGCCTCGACCATGGCCAGGCCTTCCGGCGACAAGAGGCCTTCAAAGATGTTGAGGCAGACCGTGCAATTGGCCGCATCTTCGCTGGCAGCGTGGTCGACTTGCGCGTGCTGCGCCGCATAGGCCGCCCACGTGGCTGCGAGCTCGGCGGCGGGACGCCTGGCAGAGAGAGCGTGAGCGAGGACCTCGATGGAGGTGCTACCGGTAGAGCTTCTCGTCGCAGATGCCGGCGAAGCGCATGCAGCAGCGGATGCACAGCCCAGTGCTATGGGCCGTGAAGAGTGCTTGGGCGACGACGCCGTCGGCAGGAAGCGCGGCCAGAAGAGCTGGGTTGCTGGACTCCATCGCAATGCTGGATTGGACTTGAACCAATCGGACGAAAGCCGCACCGGGATTTCCAGAAAAGCGCACCCAATGTGGACAGGGTGTTTTTTCCATTTCAGCCAATCGGGCGCGTTGAAAACAGAGCTGTTTTAAACAAGCTCCAGTGGGATTGATACTCAAACGATGGATTGGATTTGCCATATTTATTGTATTTTAAACCAATCAGCACCAAGCATAAGCTAGAGAAGGCGCAGCACGACGATCTGGCGGCCGCGAGGAGGCCAGATCGACTTTGAAATCGAAATAGCTGCAACTTGGCAGGTCGAAGAAGCATGTTTTGGAGATGACGAAATGCGCTGTAGCACCTCCGTTCGAGACCTGGAGCTCGAGATATCCGTGTTTAAAATTTTGCTAACTCGAGAAATGTGCATTTTCAGAACACGATTTCTCATGGAATAGGATATACATCGAAACGCAAAGGCTACAAACGAGTAGTTTGATTGTCATTGTTTGTGAATATACCCACAGCAGGGCATCACGAGTTCACAACACTAAACTACATTTGTCGAAAGGTGGTCGTCAACCATTTCTGTTGTCTCAGACTTGGCCTCTGGAAATGATACACCGAATGTGGCAGCCGACAAATATCAAGTCGTCGCCGAGGGCGATTCCACATACCATATTGACCTCGGTGAAAAGTGCTACGCACCAAACCAAACAGCAAGTCTCACGTCTCACGCCTCGCCGCCATGCGTCTCCGACTAGGTTTAGTCTGGTGGCGACCGCCAGGCCTGGAAGAGGCCTGCGAGCGCGAAAGGGCCGAACGCTCCAACGAAGCCGTACCGGTAGCTAGCACGGCGACTTTGCCAGAACCGCACCATCGCTCAAGTCCGAGGAGCGTGGTACCGTGAGTGATGGTGCTCGTCCACCACATCTCTGTTTTCTCTCTCGACCAAATTCATATTCATGCTGCAGCTACGAGCGTACCCATCGCAGGCGCACGTCGCCGCCGACGCCGACGGAGTCGTCTTTGTCAACTGCCACCTGCACGCGCTCGAAGCGGTCGCCGACGTCCGACTCATGTGCGAAGGTGGGCCAAGCGTATGGATCGAGATGGAGACCATGCACGACTGCGACACGATCTGCGCCTACTCCGAGTACCGCGTGCGCATCGCCACAATCGCGGCTGGCGACGACGTCGATGTGCTGCTCAAGGTCGAGGTGCTCCCGGCCGCCTCCGAGAAGCTACTGCAGGTGCTTCTCGACGTCCACATCGAGTATACGAGCCTGCGGACGGGTGGCAGGCGCTCGATGCGGTCGCTTGTCGTCGTCCAGCGCCCCGAAACCATCCCAGACGACGAACCTCTCACGTCAACGACGCTGCACGACCGCCACCGCATCCGCGCGGCCCGCGCGTTGGCCATGGCTGCCCGCTGGACCGCGGAGGAGCTTCATGACACAGCGCGCGGAGTTCTCGACAGCACAAGCCTCCAGATACGCAAGGCGCTGCCCCGGCTAACGCGGATTGACGCTGCACAGTCGCGCCTGCTGCTAGCAGCACTTGAAGTCGCGCGCCGTCGGGTGCCACCGCGGCATTCCGCCAAGCACGAAACCTTTGACGACTTTGTCTCGGTCACCGGGGCCATCGAGGCCTAATGCTATAGTATGAGCCGCAGTTTCGTGGACTGTCATACCCATCGAGCGCAGACCGAGCTAATGTACGCTGCCTGTCGTGTAATTCCCTTATGTGCTGCGAAGTGGCGGGCTTGGCTCGGCTTCAATGGCCTGCCTGCTACTGTAAGAAGCAAGCAAGGGCATGAGCCAGACGCGTCGGGCGCCAGGAGATTTCCGCTACGATTGCGTTGCCCGACAGCAAGTGCATAAATAGAGTCGTGTTGGGTGCTTAGACGACGACGTGGGGCGGCGGCGCAGGCTTGGCGAGCGCGATGGATGCGGCGTCGGCAAGCACGATGGCCGGCGAGGCCTTAGTCGACTTGGCTTCAACGTAGACGACCGGAAGCGCTGCATCGTCGGCTGCCATCTTCTTTTCGAGGTGGCGACAAAGGCCATAGCCGGCGCCAGCCAAGAGCGCGCAGCCGATGAGGATCCACGCCCAGACAGGCAGGCCAAGGACGACGGCCTGCATCGACGGCGTCGTGCCTGGCTCGTACCGGTTGTCGGCAGCGGCGACCGCCACCACCAGCATCAGACACCACGTTGCCGCCATCGCCGCCAAATCCAAACTGGCGCGTCGTGACCTGCAAACGACTGTCGTTGGTCAATAAAACGTATTTTAATTCGTCTTTCGTCGACCGCTATAGATAAATTGCGATACCATTGAATATTGACAATTAAATGTGGTTGGTGGCGCTATTTTAGAACGACCAATCAGAAAAAGGCCATGCGTTTCAACCAATGGCCTTGCAGTTCGTTCGCGCCGAGCCAGCTGCGGAGCTGCAGACGGCAAAGATCGCATCGCCGTGATGTGGCACGATGTGGCTGCGCCTTGATGTGGACGCGGCTTCCACGTGGGCGACGGTAGAGTGGGCCGCTTGACACCTTGGTTGTGAGTAACCAGCTCAGGTCCTTGGGTGCCAACAGCCATGATCAGCACACGACCTTGACGCCAGGGTAGCTTATATTACCCAGAGGCCGATGAGAAATGGCATACCTAGCTGTCCAAGCCGAGACGCAGCGATTCACTGCGCGAGCCGCTGGTGTGTGAGCCCATGTTGCCTGGCAGCTTTGCCGGCCGAGGGGGCTCGGTGGTGGTGGCTACTACCCGAGCAGGTGCTAGTGTACTGGCTGCATGTCAAGGCAATGGGCGTGGGACGACGATACGAGTAGCTGCACTCGTAATAGTGTTATGTGTAAATAGGTCAGCCGTCGGCGACGACTGGTTCAGTGTAGTTGACGGCCGACCGCTTGAAGTTTTCGGCCCAGAGCTTCTCAAAGAGCTCGCGCTCCTCCTGGGGCTGGGGCGGGCGTAGCTCCTTGGGCAGCTGGGCGGCGGCGCGCTCAGCTGAGGCGTCGGACGGGCGCGAGTTGACGCGACTGCCGAGAAAGTCGATAAAGACGTCGGGCTCGAGGAGCTCGTACATGAGGTCCCGAAGAAACACCTCGAGCGCAATGCACTTTTTGTGCAGGTAGCTCGGCTCGAGCCGGTTGAACCAGCGGTTGTCGACAGCGCGCCACGCAACGCTTGCCCGCGGGTAGAGTCCCATCTCGAGCTTCTTGACGATGCCTTCAAACTCCGAGTAGCGCCGCCAGTCGGTGTGGTACTCGCGCCCGAGCTTGAACGTCACGAGGTACTCGGCGTGGCGGTCGGCACCGGCGCGGTTCTGTACGATGCGGAACTTGGGGATCGACACGGCGGCCGTGAGCACCTTGCCATCGTTCGGGAACGTTTTGAGCGCCGTAATGCGGCTCAAGCTCTGCTGCTCGTCGTGGATGATGTGGCCGCCTGAGTCGCCGCCGCTGTACCGCCGCCGTGGCATGCCCATCATCGAGTTGTCGCCCATCGACTCGACGCTGCTGTCGATGTCGTGGAACCAGCCCCACTCGGCGCTGCTGTCGCGGCTCTGCACTTGCGACGACGGCCGCTTGAGATCGCCAGAGCCATGCACGGACCGCGCGCTGTCAGACTTGGCGTTGAGCCGGTTGTCCGACGAGTTCATGTACGTGGCGATGATGTCGATGGCAGGTCGATGCGCTTCACCGACCTTGGCACCGAGAGGTGGCCGCGCGTCCATCGATGGCAGCGACCGCGACGACGCCATGCCAGCCAGATCTTGTCGGCGAAATTCGGAATGCCACGCACGCAGTTTTAGAAAAGTAAAAATAGACATACAATTATCGACTCTAACGTCAATAAAATTACGCGATCCAAAATAATTAACCGGCCGAAAAGATACTGGATATTTGTATGTCTACCGTTCAATTGGTTTATAATTTCAAGATTGCAGCTGAATGTGATCACGTTCGACGCCGGTGCCACGATGGCAGAGCTCGATGGCAAGCATCCTGAATCGGCGCGGCGACCATCGCGGGCAGCTCGCCGATTGCTTCGCCAAGGCGCCCTGCCATGCGCCGGCAACGTCGCTTTGAGCCCACTCAGCTACAAGCTGTGGCAAGCGGCCCAGGAGTCAGAACGGCCAAGCGTGTTTGCATCTGCCATCGGCCGTTGGATGTGCCGACTCTACGATGCACGGGGTCTTCAGGCCCACAACGTCTGGTGGCTCGTACGCATTTGCCGAAGGTCGCGCAGCTTGTCGACGAACGTGCCCGCGGGATCGTAGCAGTCGTAAGTAGCAGCACATCGAGCAGACAAGCGGCAGGGCCAGGAGAACAACGACGCCAAGCGCAATGCAGGGCTGGTCGTCCGGCGAGAACCGCGGCAAATGACGAGGCACTCGGCAGACGCATTGTGGAACGTGCAGCGCTAACCTCCACGCAGGCGATGGCTGCTGGACAACAGCAGTGGCCCGTGGCCGCTATGGCGCAAAAGAGCCGGGGCTGGGGCCTCTCGACAGCGGTGCAGTCGCCTGTGCAAGCACAACGGGCGCAGCTGTCCACCGGCAGCAACGTCCACAGCAGAACGAGACGCGCTACTGGCGTTGCCACCGACGTCTGGAGACCACCGATAGTCTGTGTCGGTGCAACCTTTGGAACAACTGCGCACGGAAAAAGTGGACGAAGCAGACAATGAAATGAATTGCGAAATCGCTGAAGCTGTAAATGGAATAATGGAGAGCTTTCGAGCTAGAAGTCGCCACCAAACGTGGCTCCGTCGCCGCCGTAACCACCGCCATCACCGTAGCCGCCGCCATAGCCGCTGTCGCCATGGTCGGCGAGGGCTTCGCCGATGGCCATGCCGCCGATGAGCCCTGCGGCGGCACCGATGGCCATGCCTGTTCCGACGCCCTGGCCTCGGTCCACGTACACTGGCTGCGGCGCCATGTAGACAGGCTGCTGGACGTACATGGGCTGTGGTGTCGAGTGGATCGCAACGTAGCTGTCATCACTGGCATACTGGGTGCTTCGGCAGCAGCAAAAGCAGGCGAGCCCAGCGACAGCAAGCGCGACGAGCACCCAGACGTACGTCGGCGTGGCATCGGAAGACGGGGCCGGCGCCGGCGGAGGGGATTTGCAGAGACACGCGTTGGCTTGCAGCGGGATCGCGCACACGGCGGCGGTCGGGCAGCAGCAGACCTGCTTGACGCCGCTCGAGAGCCATGGGCCGCAGTACTTGCCAGGCAGGCCCTTGTAGGCCGTGTCGCACTGGCCTGTGGAAGCACACACTTGGCACGTGTCGATCGCGGCGTGCACCGCGGCGCAGAGCAGCGTGACGAGCAGCAGCGCGAGACGCGACATCGAGGGAATGAAACTTTTGCGCCATGGTTGGTCGATTTTCGAAGCTCACGCTGGGAACTGCCACCGTTGATGCGACCCAAGGCCGTTGATATGACCATCCGGATGCAATATGAGAACCCTAGTGCGCCACGCATCACGTGCACCTGCCAAGACTCTCGAGCGTCCCACGCTGGATGGCGGGATCTCCAAGTTCGAGCCTGTCTGCGACGCTGTGGGGCGGACTCACCGCACACTGTGTGTTTGGGTGAGTACCGGTACCTGCTGTGGTGGTACACTGTAGATGGAACGCGCATGCTTGGTCCCAAGACGCGCGTAAGTTGCTTTCGTACTCTGGTGGCTCGCAGATGACGATCAAATAGATTTAGCTTGGTTATAGGATAGAAGGGCGAGTGGACTTAAAAGTCGCCGCCAAAGGTGCCTTCGTCGTCGCCGCCGCCGTAGCCGCCGCCGCCGCCACCGTGAGCACCGCTGTCGAGGGCAGCGCCCAAGGCAAGACCGCCGACGAGACCAGCCGCAGCGCCGATCGCGACGCCCGCACCGACACCCATGCCACCGTCGTTGTCGTGAACCACCGTCTGCTGGACGTACATGGGCTGCTGCTGGTACACGACGGGCTGCGGCTGCTGGACGTACACGGGTTGCTGCGACTCCACAAACACGACTTCGTCGTCGGCCGAGGGGCGGCAGAAGCAAAAGTAGATGCCAACGCCGATGAGGATGACACCGATGGCGACGAGGATCCAGACCCAGAACGGCGTCGACTTCTTCGGCGGCGGCAACTCCTTGCAGAGGCACGACTTGTTGTCCTTGGGCATCGCGCAGGCGCTGTTGGTGGGGCAGCAGCACGGGAAGGCAACGCCGGACGAGAGGAACTTGCCGCAGAACTGGCCGGGCGTGTTCTTGTACGCGAGCGCGCACTGGCCGTAGACTTGGCACTGGAGGCACTGGTCGACGGGCTGCGAGAGCGCGGGCGCGGGCGTCTGCGCGCACACGGTCGCAAGCAGCGCCACCAAGAGGAGGAGGCAGGAGGCAATCGACTTGCGCATCGGACTCGAAATCGGAAAATGACTCGACCTCGAGATTCTGCTTGGGTCGCCGGGTGTCGAGTAAAATAGGAAAATTAAATCGACATACTAACCGCACGTGTATCATGCAGAGTTTTAAAATGCTGCACGATCTTTCCACATCCACTGGGTGTAATTTTGCCCTGTCGCGAGCATGACAAAAAGAGGGACGATTGCTTCAAGCGTCCCGCGTCAACAACCGCGCAGCCTTGCACGAGCTCGCGGTCGTTCTGCAGCAGGCTGTGGCTGCTATCAAAGCTGCCATTTGTATTGCCCCGCTTTGTTGCAGGAGCTCGCGGAAGCAACGGCGCCGTAGCACGCATTACGCGGGTGAGGAGGCGCAACTTACGCATGTGTGTTGAAATGAGTTATTACATGCAAGTAGAAAGATATGGCGGACTTCCGAATGCGCTCGTGAGGCGTGGCCGGTGCGACTTACGCGTGTGTATCCTCCAGGTCACTTCGCTGTACTTGGTACGTCGGGACCTTTACCCGAGTCATTAAACGCTCGTGTTTCAGTGCGCTGTAATTCGCCATTCGATCGTCGCACGACGTGTACTACATGTATGTTGTCGATGCCGACAAGGACCCTCTTTTTGACATTTTAAACTGCACACTATTTACGTGGTATCCCAGATCTCTAAATGGTTGTATGCAGGCACACCATTTACAGCCTCACACTCGCAAGGACAATCGTTGAGGTGTCCGACCTGTGCGACACGCCGCAGCTGCGCTGCACGAGCGCAATTCGCTCGTCAATCCCTGCGAGAAGAAGACAGAAGCGGCGGAGTACACGGTACGCGGGTCAGTCCCCTCCTCGCGGAGATGTGGATGCTGGCGACCACCGCTACAAACACGCACGGCGGCGCTCCTATTACACGAAGAGCGTACATCCATGAAGAGCCAGACGCGGGTGGCCTGCCCACCGAGGCGGCCTCTGCCCTGAAGCAAGCCCGCACAAGGCTGTGGGTACTAATACGCGCTGCTATCGATTTGGCGCTCATCGCAGTGCAAGGCAGGATTCCACTGTCGAAGGATTGCATCTCGGACGTGGCACACCGATCGCCTCAGTCCTTGGTCCAGTAGACAGTGTACGGTACCACAAACGAAAGGTACATGTACAGTGTACTACTAGTAATAGTACTTGGCATGACGCGTGAGCGGTGTGTCAGTGTACCCACGATCCGCTCACCATCGCTGATCAGCTGCAGCTGTCTGCGAGCTAACGTGCTGGAGTCGCGCGCGGAATTTTCAGAGTCAATGTATAAACCGCCAAGCAGCAACTGGAATTAATCGCTGACAATAATGTCATCTCTGTGTCGACTGCTATTCTCTCTCATCGAGGCGTTTCTTGAGCTATGTCCAGTGGGAGCATCCGACGTGCGGGCGACACGTACCAAGCATTCACTCCAAATGATAATACAATAGATAGATTCGACAGCTCGCACTTAGAAGTCGCCGCCGAACGTGGCACCGCCGCCACCGCCTTCGCCCGCGTAGCCGCCGCCATAGCCGCCGCCATAGCCACCACCGTAGCCATAGCCATGCCCCGCGTCCATGGCAGCGCCGAGCGCAAGGCCGCCGACGAGACCCGCCGTGGCGCCGACCGCGACACCAGCTGCGAGACCGCCGTCGCCGTAGCCACCACCGTAGCCGCCGTAGCCGTAGCCGCCGTTGACCATCATGGGCTGACCTTGAACGTACACGGGCTGGCCGCACGTTCCCATGGGCTGCTCGACGTACATGGGCGCGGCTTGCTGCACGTAGACGGCCTCCGGAGCGGGCGTGGGGCGGCAGCAGCAAAAGTAGATACCGACGCCGATGAGGATGACGCCGATGGCGACGAGGATCCAGACCCAGTACGGAATCGACTTTTCCTCGCGGCACTCGCAGCGCATGAGGTTCGCCGAGATGGCGCAGACGCTCTTGGTCGGGCAGCAGCACACGGCCCGCGCGAGGTTCGGGGGCGCGAGCCAGTTGCCGCAGTACTTGCCCGCGTTGCCGCGGTACGCTTGGTCGCACGTGCCCGAGTTGGCGCAGCGCTGGCAGGCGCTTTCCGCCGGGAGGAAGGGGTTGGTCGTCGTCGGCGTCGTCTGCGCGACGGCCACGAGGACCAGGGCGCAGAGCGTCAGTAGCACTTGGCGCATGAGCATGCTGGATACGCCGAGATGACGGAAGATGCAGAAATGGTCTGGTACCTACGCCAGGTGAGTCACATCGTCCATGCCGTTGGACACGGCTCCAGAAGTGGACATGACCTTGACCACCGAATTCGCCTAAATGAGTACACTGCCCACTCTACCGACGCTCTCCCTTTCATGGCAATGGATCGCATTGAGCGACGTGCGCTGTGGAGCGTGCTAGGACTTTCAGAAAAGAGGTGTGCATGTCGGAAATGGGTACAATGTACTTGCCTACGGGAATACGGTAGAGTCGTCAACATGTCCAACGAGTCTGCCCGCGTCGCTGACGGCATCTGAGTCGCAAAATATTTGACATGGCCAAATGCTTCATTTGCAGGCAGGGCTGCAGCCTGCTACTGAATTCCAGCGCGACCATGTCTTCCTGCGCTGGACAGGACAGCACGAGCTCACAGCACAACTCGCACCAGAGAAGAGCGCTAAGCTCTTGATGTGTCGTCGTCGTCTGTCGCCGCCAGACGATGGGTGATGAATTTTTACAAGCCGAATCTGCTGCTCGGGACTCTATCGGATACTAAATATGTAGTTCCTGCACGGGGTATGCTATCCTGCGCTCCTTTTTCAGTCGCACGGAAAGCAGCAATCCCATCGAGCGGTGTTGATACCCGCTCTGCACGGCGTTGTGATTGCGCCGCCAACTGTTTCAGGTAAAGAAATGACGTGGCACGACCTCGTCACTTCCGATGAGGCGGGAAAAACCGCACCTACTACATACCTGGTGCCACGGTCCAAGCTGCACGAAGAGCACCTCAAGCAAAACGTTTGGGATCACATGGCTATGCAGCGGGGTGGCCTTCTTCATGACTGCAAAGAGAAGATATTCTCATCGTCCGCACGGCAGATTGACATGTGAGCTCTGCTCGAGGATCTCGAGAGGAACCGAGTCATATGGGTGCTAAACAGCAGCGAGCGACCGCAACTGCCCAGCTGGCAACAGCCCAAGCCCAACAGCCCAGACGATGGTGCAAGGTAGAGTCTTGTGCATCTGGTTCAACGATTACACTGCGGCCAACGACGCTGGACGGACGCGATGCGCGACCAAAGCCTCTGCAATGCAAACCGACGACAGAAATAGTTCAATGCATTGGGGGGTTTAAAAGTCGCCGCCAAACGTAGCGCCGTTGTCCACGTAGCCACCGCCGCCACCACCGTAGCCGTGGCCCGCGTCCATGGCAGCGCCGAGCGCGAGACCGCCGACGAGACCAGCCGTCGCACCGACAGCAACGCCAGCAGCGAGGCCGCCGTCGCCGTAGCCGCCGCCGTAGCCGGGGCCGTAGCCGCCGGCGGTGGCGTAGTTTCCGTTGACCATGACGGGCTGGCCGTACTGGTTGACATACATGGGCTCCTGGACGTACACGGCGGGCTCGTCCTGAGCGGAGCGGCAGAAGCAGTAGCAGACGGCCGCGCAGAGAATGAAGGCGCCGACCGCGATGAGGATCCAGGCCCAGTACGGCATGCCAGAGTGCGTCTTGACCTTGGCCGGGTCGATGCAGTCGCACTTGTCTTTCTTGGAGGGGATCGCACACGTGGCGGCCGACGGGCAGCAGCACACCTGCCGGATGCCGCTCGAGAGCCAGTCGCCGCAGTACTTGCCGGGAAGGCCCTTGTAGGCGCCGCCGCACTGGCCCTGGCTGGCGCAGGCTTGGCACTGGCTCAACGTGACAAAGGGCGTCGGCGCCGCAGTGAAGACCCCAGGCGGAAGAGTGCCGGGCGCCGTCGTCGCAGCCGCGGTGGTCGCAGGCGCGGTGGTCGGCGTGGTTTGCGCCATCGCTGTGGCGGCCACGAGGGCGAAGACGAGGGCTAAGCACTTGCGAAGCATGCTCGAAGTTGTCAAATGGGAAAAGTGCAGAAAGGTCCGGTGTCATTAGGCGCGTCGTGGAATTCGCTTATATAAGTACACATGTCTTTTTTCTGAACAGGGGAGTGGTATAGACAGCAGCAATCTGTACTGATTATGCGATTCGGTCACGAACAAATCGAGGTGCTGCGAGCTTCCAGATGTGGGTACATCCTTCTCCAGTCTGGCTTCGCACGAAGCCCGCGTAGCAGACAAGCACCGTGTCCGAAATTTTCACAATCGACCACGGTGCAGTTGCCGCGTCGGTGTACCGGTACCGGTACCGGTTCAAGCTGTCCAAGCCTGTGTCCAAGCAGCAATTCAGAGATCTCGTCCCGGAGCTGCACAGCGTGCAATCGATGCGCGTCGAGTCTGCGCTCGTCCTTCTCTCCATTGCGCTGTGACTAATTATTTGCGGGACCTCTGTCCACTACGTGGCAGGCTACGAGGGCGTCAGCGACTGAATTTCGGGCCAGAGTCATACGGCCTGTACCACGCCTGTGACTGCACCTGGTAGCTACACCTGGAAAGACAACCTCGGTTGACGTCACGTCTGTGCCCCGGGATACGAAGTCAAAGACATTCGTATTGACATGTGAGTTGTGCATAATATCTAAAAGTCACCGCCAAAGCCGCCGCCGCCGCCGGTAAAGTCGCCGCCACCGCCGTAGCCGCCACCGTAGCCGCCGCCGTAGCCGTGGCCAGCGTCCATGGCGGCGCCGAGCGCGAGACCGCCGACAAGACCGGCGGTGGCGCCAACGGCCAGGCCAGTGCCGACGTCGGCTCCGCCGTACCCGCCGTAGCCGTACCCGCCGCCGTTGGCGTACACCACTTGGGGCTGTTGCTGGTACATGACGCCAGGCTGACCGACGTAGCCGGGCTGTACGATCACGACCTCTTCCGTGTACGTCGGGCGGCAGCAGCAGTAGTAAAACGCGCAGCCGAGCAAGATTGCGCCAAAGCCGATCGCGATCCAGACCCAGAACGGCGTGCCCGAGGTCGTCTTCGCAGGCGACGTGTTGCCGCCGCAGACGCAAGCGCTCGCGTCGAGCGGGATGCGGCACGTGGCGGCGGTCGGGCAGCAGCACACTTGCTTGACGCCACCCGAGAGCCACGGACCGCAGTACTTGCCCGGAAGGCCCTTGTAGGCAGCGTCGCACTGGCCGAGGTTGGCGCACGCTTGGCACGTACTCAAGGTCTTGACGGGCACGAGTGGGCTTGTCGGCGCTGGCGACGTTGCGGGCGTTGTGTCTTGGCCGACGACGCACTGCAGGGCGCACGCCAGGAGGAGAAGGAGGAGGAGGCTCCGCCGTGGTGCCATGCTGGAGCGAATTGGGAAATGGAACGCTGGAATAATCGGCGAGATCCGTTTCTCAAGTCTTCTGCTCGATGTTCGACCCAACAGGTGGTGCCAGTGTTCCGGCGAAGGTTAGCGTCGACCATGAGCGTCGACGGTCGTGCGAAGGGGCGCGCGCTCCCGGTGCCGAGCTTTCTCGGGTACTGCACTGCTTTCCGTGCTTGATGCGCTCGATGCTCATCACGAAGCGTCAGTGCGTCGGGCGCCGTTCTCGGTGACAGCGTCTCCTTCAGCCTCCTATTCCGCGCATATATATTTGCTCGGGAGGAATTTCAACTTTTCATTTTTGAAATCTTCCATCGAAAAGCAGTTCATCCCAAGCAGCAGTGAGCTCCGATGTAATACCTGTGGCGATGGCACAAGCATTGCGTCAACGACACTCTGCGAACGCAGGTAAGGTGTCGAGAGCAAACGTGCAGTGCGACAGAACCCGCTCCCTTTTTCTTGCCACCAAAAGGCAGAACGTCAGCGAGCCGGGTTCGAGTCCCGCCACAGCCTTCGTTTCGGTCGCGTCAACCAACCAAGCACTGTAGTCCGCATGGGAAAGGCAGGAGGCGACGCACTCGCCCAGACTCGACACGAAGCAGCGGTGTCTACTTGCACTGCGACCTTGGCCCCTCTGTAGCGGAGGCTTGTTTCATGAGGCTCTGCTCTCAAGTTGATGAGAGACTGTCACGAAACAACACTCTCTGCGCTCTCCTCTCCAGCGCGTGGCAGCGCCTCTGCAGAGGAAAGGGTGGCCACGCTGCATCGCGTCACTTTCATTGCCATGGTCGTGTCTCGATTGCTGGTCGTCTGCGCCCTGCTCTTCGCTGTGATCGCCACACCGGCGCCGCCAACGGCGTGCCACAAGTGCGCTCAGAGCAACCAGTGCAGCACTGCCTACCAAGGAGGCGCCGCGCAGTTCTGCGGCAATTGGCTCAGCAGTGGCGCGACGCAGCCATGCTGTTGTCCTGCTGGCGCCGACCGCTGCAGCGCCAAGCGCGACGCGTGCGACTGCAAGCCCGAGACCAAGAAGAAGCTCTCGACTGGTGTCTACGTGGCGATCGCCGCGGGGGTCCTCGTCGTTGTGGGCGGCGGCGTCTTCTGCCTTTTCAAGCGGCGGCGACGGCTCCAGAAGGTGTCCGAGCCCGCCAAGATGGAGAAGACCGAGCCACCGGCATATCAACCAGCATATGCAGACACGTACGCCCGCGCCGGCGGGCTCGTCTAAGATCTATTTCTACCGGGTATTTAAAATAGACAACTTGTCTTGGGTTACGTCAACATATTTTAGAGGGTCGCGAGGCCTGCGAGGAGAGCAGCGGTCAGCGACGACGTGGTCGAGAATTCGGTCGACGACGCGCTCGAGCGTGCGCGGTATCGGGCCACCGGCCGGTCGACGTAGATAAAGGACAGCGCGCACGGCTTTTCGGATTCGCGCAGGACGAAGTGGGCGTCGTCCATGCTCATGTGGGTGGTGTCGATGCCGTTGATGGCGGCCAGCACATGGTTGGTCGAGACACCGGCGAGCGCCAACGGGCTCGTGAGCGACACGCTGCGCATGAAGAGCGGCGCCGGGCGGGGGCTGAAGAAGAGGCGCTGCGGCTTGCCCGTGTCGGTGCCCGTCGCGAGCAGCAGCATGGTCTCGTCATAGTTGGCAGCCGTCACGTCGACGCCGTTGACCGACTCGAGGCGGCACCCGGGGTACACACTCGACTGCGCTGCAAAGCCGTCGGGCGCCACGCGTTTGACGACGACTGCCCCGGTGTACGCGTCCGTGCCAAAGGTGAGGCCGAGGCGGCCACTCGTCCAAATCAGGTGGAGAACGCCGGTCGATGATGGGAGCGCGCGCTCGAGCTCCAGGGCCTCGCCGCACCAGTCGTACTTGACGGTGCTGGAGAAGAAGTCATCTTCGGAGCGCTGCGTCAAATACGGGTCCGAGAGTCGACGCGCCATGGTTGTTGAGACTCGAGGCAGCTAATTGATTTCTGCGGTGCTGGCGACGACGCGTTGCTCAACAGCTGCGTGCGCGGGAAATTTGTCATACTGTATGTCCTGGCAAGGGTATATAATAAATTATTATATACCCTTGGTCCTGGCTTCACATAAGTGCTATGTCGCGTGACGCGACGAGGTGATCGGCGCGTGCGACTGCTGCGATTCTAGTACCACCGAGTCGAAAGTGCATTGGCGCAGTACGAGGGATATCTACAACCTTGCTACAGTAGTTCGTTTTACATACATAGATTAATGACTTGACGTTGCAGTCTAGAGACCAAGCTCTCAACCCCGCGACAGATCGCAAGATACATTGTGGACACCGCCACCAGCGACGCGTCATCGTCCATGCGCGTCATCGTCCATGCGCGTCATCGTCCATGCGCGTCATCGTAGCCATGCGCGTCAACTTGTGTGGTAGGCGACGACGAAACTCGGTGGCGCTTTGTACTACATCATCGACTACCGTGATCGACTAAAAGCTGTGTAGATCGCGTGTCACTCTCCCGTCCGGATACGAGGCCTGTCCGGATGCTCTCTGCCGGCGAAGTCATTGTGCCACCGCCGCAGTCGACCATCCATGGCCTCTGAAGACGACGTGTCGCCGGAGCTCCTCCACCGCCTCCAGCGCTCGTGCTCCATCAAGCGGTCCAACTCGACGCCCGAGTGCACCTGCGATGTTGTCTGCGACGGCGTACGCCTGCACGTGCCTTGAGAGGAAGCCTCACGCAGTCTGTAGTCGTGCCGCCGACCACGCCTCGACAACGACGTCTCTGGAAGCGACGACGAAGACGACGACCTCGGTACGACTCATGGTACAGGCGTCGCTCACGCCCTCGTGTAGCCACCAGCGACGATGATGGCGTCGACGTCGATGCGCCGCGGACCGACGTCAACGACGAGTGCAAGCCATCGATTGATGACGACGACGAGTGCAAGCCACCACCCACGTCGACGCCGTTGCCACCTCTCCACGCAGCACCGGCCTTCGTGCCATCACCGCCGTCGCCCGTGAAGCCTCGCAGCCGGTCGCACCCGCCGCAGATCATCGAGTACCTCTGGCACGGCGAGGCGCTCGGACTTGAAATCTGCCGGTCCAAGATGCGCCACAGCGGCGCGCCGTACAGCCAGCCGCGCATCACGCTCCGGTGGAAGCAAGGCCCGATCGGCATGACGTTTGGCATCGAGAAGGCGACGCGGCAGGTGTACATCAAGCGCGTCCAGCGCGAGTACGGCAACATCCACGCAGGCTTCCTCCTCGTGTTTGCCAACGGCGCGGTCGTCTCGGAGCGCAACTTTGACGTGATCATGCAGGACCTCAAGCGCAACCACGACCTCGGCCGGGAGCAAACGCTCGAGTTTGTGCCGCCGCCGTCGCCGCCCATGGCCCGCCTTTTGAGCACCGAGAGCCCGCTCGCGCGCATCGGCGTGACCCACCACTACGAACTCATGCTCGTGGGCGAGACCCGCGCCCTGTACCTGACGCTGCCCGAGATCCAGCAGCTGTTGCAGACGTCGCCGCGCCCGACGCGTCTCTCGTTCTGCTTCAACCCGGCGGCGCACGACGTCATGGTCGCCACGCACCAGCGTGCGCCCGAGAAGGCTGGGCCGATCGCCTTCGACAACAGGGCCATCGCCGCCGCCGCCTTTGCTGCGGTCATTTGCTTATAATCTTACGCCTGTCTATCCCAGTGCCATCCGCTGTTTAGTCCCAACACTACGCGTCAGGGTTCACCTCTATTTCCTGCCATTGAGACAAACACATGCTGGTGTCGGCTGGACGTGGTGCCACGTCATGGATATGGATCGAGAAAGGCGCCGGAGAGGGTGTCCCGGAGGTGGAGGCGGACGACACAGGCGTGGCCCGTGCGACTCGCATCAATCGCTTCGACAAGCGCGTGACTCGATGGCTTGATGCTGCTTGCATGCGGCGGCAGGGCCACGACAAACTGCGTGTGGGCGAGCAGCCAGCGCAAGGCGCGGTCGAGGTCGTGCTCGTAGTTGACGGCGACGTCCAGCGAGCGCCACGCTGCGTGCGTCAAAGCCGTGAGGACGGCGTCGAGGCCCGACCAGTAGTACCCTCTGGACACGACGTTGAGCGCTTCAAGCGAGCGAGGAAGGCCGTGTAAGATCGCATCGAGGCCGCGGCTCGTAAACGCGTTGCCGTGTACGTCCAGCGACCGCAGCTGTCGGCAGCGCGGCAACGCCTCGCCCAACGCGCGCGCGCCGCGGTCGTCGAGCTCGTTCTCTGTCAGCGCCAGCTCGACGAGCGCGCTGAGGGACTTGATGCCGTCCATGACGACGGGCCGGTACGTCGGGTACACGCACGGATCGCTCGAGAGAGAGAGCGCGCTTAGGTGTGGGACGACGCAGTCGCCGACGCCCGCGCTTGTCCACGCAAGGCGGCGAAGAGTTGGCATCCGGCCGAGTGCGTGACGGAGCCGTTGCACGTGCAAGGCCGACGACGGCAGTTTGCGCCGACGCAAATCCAGCGACGTGAGGCGGCCGCAGAGCGGAAGCGCGTCCGCCAGCGCTGGCGCGAGCGATCCAAACGCGTGGCCGCTGAGGCTCAAGTGGGCGAGGTGCTGGAGCTGCGGTAGCGCTGCGATGAGCGACGTCGATAGAGCGAGGCCATTGAGGCGCAGCGACGTCAGAGCGGGCAGCGCTGCGAGGGCCGTCGCCACTGCGTCGGGGCAGAGACCGCCGTCCAGAGCCAAGTGTGTCAAGCGAGGCGCCGTGAGCAGCGATGCCGCTACGGCGGTAGACGCCAACGGTCGCGCGTCAAAGATCCACGTGAGCGTTTTGAGCGATGCCGGCAAGAGGACGGGGCCCGAGAGCCCGAGCACGCGATCCAGTGCGAGCGACTGCAGCGCCAACGCCTGCGCCAGCGCCGCCGCGAGCGCCGCCGACACGTGCAGGCCTCGCAAGCACAGCGACCGACCTGACGACAGCCACACTTGCAGATCCGCATCGGCCGTTGGCAACAGTGACGTTCGTGGGTCGCCGACGAGCACAAGCTCCCGCACGCGGCCCTTGGTTAGCAGCCGCAGGACGTGGCAAAGCCAGCGGCCATTGTCTTGTCGAGCGGTGTTGACAACCAGGCGCTTGAGAGGTGCGCGCTCGAGAGCAAGGTGCAGCATGACGCCGTCGGCTTCCGAGAGCGGTTTGATCGGTGCAATGTGGACTCGTGTCACTGCGGTCAGCGGCACGGCGGCCTCGAGGATGTCCAGAGGCTGGCGCAAAACGAGCTCGATCTGAGCGTCGTGGTGCATGAGACTCTTGAGATGCGAGTGCGTCGAGGCCGACGGCGTCGAGAGGAGCGCGATGCGAGGCCACGTGACGCGCACGGTGGTCGGGCGTTGCGTCAGCGCTTGGAGCGCAGCGAGCGCAGGTGTCACGGCGGGTGGCGGCAGTGCGCCTAGCAGGGCCGAGAGGCTCGAAGGGCACGCTACTTGCATCGCGATGAGCTCAACGACGTCCATCGGCACGGTTCCCGCCATCGAGTGCATTTCGCAAATTGAAGAAGAAGGAAATACCAGCGTTTCATTGGTCGAGAGCGTATCTTTATCCACGCTCGACCAATCACGGGTATTCTTCTCTCATCGTCTTGTGGCGGCTGCTTCTGCAGTGCACGAGAACATTGCCGACGTTCAGCGCCTCTCAACACCTCGATTCCTGAGCACCATGCGCGATGGCCCCGCTGTAGCGTCTCACCCAAGCTCTGACCGCTGCAATAAGGATCGTTGGTGGCCTGCTGGTGCACTCGCAGCTCTCCAGGGACAGATTGCCAAGCGAGTAGCAGTGATGCGTCAACAGCGTAGCAGTGGTGTGTCAACAGCTAAGCCAAGTCGGATGCAACCGTGTCTTACGTGGCTCATCGAGCTGCCAGTATATGATGCAAGCCACGGTGGCTGCACGGAAGTAGAGAGAACATATAGTAACGTTAGTAGGACTTGGTGTGCGTGCTGCTAAAAGGAGTACCCGAGGGCCGTCGCGACGGGGCTTACGCCCGCCTCGATAGGGTTATCGCTGAGGAGCCGCAGCATGCCGATGAAGAAACACACGAGGAAGACGAACCACGGCAGCGTCGACGGCGTTGCCGCCGCTTCTCGGCACTCGCACGTTCCGTCGCGCGTCGGAACAGGGCACACGGCATCGAGGTTGCAGCAGCAGGCGCCGGTCGTCGGCCACACACCACAGTACTTGACATCGGCGCAGCGGCCGGTCGTCGCGCACGCATGGCAAATCGCCGCCGCCGGTGCTGTGGCGGCGACGGCAGCGACGAGGACTAGAAGGACAAAGAAGACGCGGGGAACCATGCTCGTATCGCGAATGACAACGACTGACGAACCCTGGGCGTCCGCGGGTGTTAGCGACGGGCTCCCTACGCCCTCCTTTGCGTCGGGCGACAAAGCCACGAGGACGGCGGAGCCTATGACACCACACACTCGACCGCGCTGCCGTCGTCGTCTCTCAATGGCGTCACGGCAGACTCGTGTCCATGATCGAGCTCCGAGAGCGCTTGTTGCCCGCACCCGCCGACGGCGCGATGCACAGCGCGATCCAGCCGATCACGTCGCCGCCAGATTGCACTTGAAGTTGGCCTATCACGGGACAAAGGTGACGCACCATCTGTTTCGGGTGATGCGGGAAGCTCGGGGCATTTCCAAATTCCACATCAACACATCGGATGCCACGCCCCATACTCTGGAGCCTCCTCGTCGTACTCCTCGTCGCTACCGTCGCGGCAGAGAGCCCGGTGACGCCGGCGCCCTCCGCCTGCAAAGCCTGCGCCGCGTCCGGGCAGTGCGACCGCGCGTACAACGCGTCGGCCGGCAAGTTTTGCGGCCTCATCCCGGCTCCGGACCAATACTGCTGCTGCAGTACCGAGCACATGTGCCCGCCAGTCGGCTCCTCCGCGTGCACGTGTGCGCCTGGGCCGGCGCCCGACTCTTCGTTCACCAAGACCCGCCAAGTATTCGTGCTCATCTTCCTTGGCTTCCTTCTCTTCGGCTGCATCTTGCTCTGCGAACGCCTCGGACTCCCGCCAAGCGGCCGCCGACAAGGCTACGTCAGCATCGAGTCGGCGCATTATCCCGGCTAAGAAGCTCCATCTTAACTTACTATCTGCTAACAACTCGAAGCGTACGTTCCACCTGCCGCCTTGTCGTTTGCCAAGCGCTTTTTCGTACTTCAAATAGCGTTTTCTTGCTGCTTGCAGCGAAATGTGCCAGCGAGCGTGGCTAGTACCGCCTTGACAAGCCTGTTGCAAGCCTGGGAGCGAAGCCCGTGGCGTCTGTTGGGCAGCGATGGGCTGGACGATCAGACCTCTCTCCAGCGCGTCAAGGTGCATCTTCTAGAGCACTCTTGGTCGCAACTACTGCATGACGCAAAGGCCTGCCCTTGTGGCGTGGCTGCGAGCGAGCTGACGGCAAGGTCGAACCTTGTTATATTCGGCATTCGAAAGATTTGTTTTCGGCACGGGCAAGATGGGTGGCGGCATTGTTTACCGGATGCCACCTGGCAGCGTATCCGGCGTCTAGCTTCCACGCAGGAGGCAGAGAGCAAGACGCAGCGATGACGGAGCTCAAGCGCATCCACGTGGCCATCCTCTTTGCCATGGTGTATGGCCTCAAGGGCGTCTGGAAGCACATCATGGGCGCGCACATCGTCGTCGTCGTCGTATGCCTGGGCATCATCTACATCGGCAAGCTGCGCCAACCCAAGGATCCGCTGGACATTGCGCTCGCCAAGCTCGACAGCGAAGAGACCGACGCGCGCTTGGCGTACGAGGCCAGCACGCAGCGCACCTTCATCCGCCCCACGCACTTTACGGTGCCCGAGGAAGAGCGTGGTATCTTCATGCCCCGCCACGGCAAGTACTCGTCGTTGCTGGGCGGCAGCCGCGAGCAGCGCGTCAAGTTCATCCAGAAAAAGTCGACCGAGAAGGCTACCGAGACGACGCCGGAGCAGCCGCCCGTCGAGACGCTCCTCGAGTCAATCGCAGAGGACGCGCCGTCGTCCAAGGCCAAGCGCCGCCAGAAGCGCGCGTTCCTCAACAATTAGAGTCGTATTATAGAGCTTTCAACCTGTTTTGAATCTATCTAGATGCCCATGGCCGTCGTCCAGTAGTACATCAGGGGCGCGACGAAGAGAAGGCTGTCCATGCGGTCGAGGCAGCCGCCGTGGCCGGGGAAGAAGACGCCTGCACCATGTGAGCCAAGCGTTTTGTTGCCTGACGTACCCGAGTCCTTGACCTGGGCGACGCGCTTCAAGTACGACTCGACGAGGTCGCCGACGATGCAGGCGACACCCATGGCCGTGCCCAGCACCACTTGATGCACGAGCGAGAGCGGCGGCAAACACGCATATGCAGCTACATGCGCGTGAGGCGATCTCTTCCATGAAAAGGAGGACGTACGCGGGAGGAGCGAGGCGCCGACGACTGTCGCGATGCTAAAGACAATGCCGCCGAGGCCGCCGGCGACCGTCTTGCCCGGCGAGATGGCAGCGAGGAGCTTTGCCTTGCCACAGAGCGAGCCGGCGACGAGCGCGCCCGTATCGCAGATCCACGAGCAGGCCACCGTCATGATCTAGCACGCTCGCTTGAGACCGTCGCTGGAGCAGGATGGTTGTACCTGGAGACCCATGCCGTACGTCGTCGACGCCTCGCGCACGAGGATCGCGTGGCCAAAGCCGCTACAAGCTCATGAGTGCGAGCCCGTTGCGTAGACAGACGCACTGGACAATGTAGCCGAGCGCGACAAGGTCCAAGACGAGGCTCAGCAAGCCCGCGTGCAGCGTCGGCTCGCGCTGGCTCTTGGCCATGAGAAGGTGCAGAAGAAAGACCGCAAAATACACGCCCGCGGCCGTCGCATCTACCGTATGTGAGGCCAGTAGACGCATGCATGTGAGCCACCATGGGTCCACTTGTCGACCGTGGCGGCGCCAGCGACGAGCGCGCCGAGACCAGCGAGCGTCAGTGCGTGCAGCCACGGCGCCTGCGTCACGCGTCAGCCAGAGCCAGACGACTGCAGCGATGTACCTGCGCTGGCTTTCGCCCGGCCATGTGCTGCAGGATAGGCGGGCAGACGTTCAGGCGGAACTCGAGCAGGCAGCCCGTCTGGATGAGCATCGTGAGCGCGGCCGTGCCCGTCGCGCTGCAGAGGAGGTAGATCGCCAGCGGCGCGGCGACGCAGAACGTCCCTACCCGGCGGGCCCAGTCGACGCCCATGGTTGAAATCAAATGTGGCCGTCGGCGCGTACGTTAAACAGGTTTAACCTCTTTAACCATCCGAGGGCAATCCGCTGAGCGCTCGATCCCACGGAGCACGCACGGTCGCTGGATCGAACCTTCTGGCTCGAGCCATCTCTTCGGGGCGCCTGGCTCCTCTTCACCGGCCATGAGCTGTCGAAACAAAGGAGCAAGCGTTCAAGAGGATAGAGTACAACATATATCGAGCGCCAAGTTAATCATTACGACGACACACGGGCAGGCTTAGACGTTGGTGACCTTGATCTTCTCGGTCGAGGCCATGAGCGTCGGCGTCGTCGAGCCCTCCTTGGGCAGAATGTCCGGGTGCGGCACGGCCGGCGTCACGAGGCACTCGTCGTCGGCCTTGGCCTTCAACGTCGCCCGGCGCTTGTGCACGGCGAACATGGCCGCGGCCACGCACGCGATACCGCCGACGGCGTAGACCGCGACCATGCCCTGCGACGGCGCCTCGTGGACACCCGTCGCGCCGCTCTCGGCTTGGTTCGAGACCGAGTGGACACTCTCGGTGGTCGTCGCGGCGTCGCCGAGCGTGTAGTTGGTCGGCGCCTGCGTCACAGGGTTGCCGAGGACCGACGCCATCGTGTCGTCGATGCCGCCCGTGTCGTTCGGGTTGGTGTTGGCGCTGTCACCAAGAGGCTTTGTGGTTGCGTTCTCGTCGCTGCCATCGTCGGAATCATTGCCACTGTTCGAGTCGCTGCCGTCGGCCGAGTCGCTGCCGTCGGTCGAGTCGCTGCCGTCGGTCGAGTCGCTGCCGTCGGTCGAGTCGCTGCCGTCGGTCGAGTCACTGCCGTCGTCCTCAATGTCTTCGGTCGTGGGAGCCGGCGTCTTGGGATTGTGGGTCTTGGGCGAGCCGAGGCCGCCGTGGCGGGGCTGCGCCATCTCCGTCTTGGCGGGCTGCGTGCCGGGCGCCGTGACGTAGCCGTGCGAGTGCTCGGACGGCTTCCCGGGCAGGACACAGCGCCACTTGTTGTCCATCTGCTCGCAGACCGTGTCGCGCGGGAGCACGCACGAGTCGCCGTTGTAGCTCTCGAGGAAGTCGAGGCAGCGGGCGCCGGCCTTCGCGCCGGCCTTGGGGCAAGCGCCTTCGGACGCGCCGCAGACAACGCCGTCGGCCTCAAAGCAGTAGCGCGCACCGCGGTAGACGTCGACGCACTGGTGGTTGGCCATCTTGGCGGTCGCCGTCGACGCGAGCACGGCGAGGATCGAAGCAGTCGAGACGCGCATGGTGGTGGAGATTGGGAAATGACATGGCCACCGCAGCGTTCGCGCGAGAGAGCCCGCAGAGTGAGCAACCCGTTCGAATCCCGAGACAGATGCGCGTGTTTGACGCTATAATATGCGTCGCGTGTATTTTATACACACCTTTGACCATATACTTGTATACAATAGAATGTAGACCGAGAAAGGAATAAAAACTTTGGTTTTATATTTGTCCGCACACCGAGGACACATTGCGCTGTGGAACGTATGAGCAGTGCGACGGCATACAAACACCAAGTCAAATCGCCAACCAGCTGGCACGCCCGAAGCAATCAACCTGCGGGTTCTCAGACCCGACGCTTATAACTGTAGTCGCGGAAGAAGCGGCTCCGCAGCGCTGTCTCTCGTACGCTGGTAGTCTAACGAGCTAGGCGCGCCAGCGAGCTTGACAAAAGAGCCAAGCCACGTCGGCATGCAGTATAAAATACAGTGTATGCCAATTGGAACGCGAGTGCCGGTGGTCCGTGCTGTGAGTCACGTGGCGATAAAGAGAGTCGGTCGTCTTTGGAAGGCCGAGCTGGTTTCCCGAAACATTGGTTCGCGTAGCGGCGAGATGGGCGTTTCGGGCGCTCCAGCGCATCTTCAATCCGCTCAAACACCGAGACTGACCACTTGTCGGTCGTCGGCAACTCGGAGCCTCGTCCGGAACCGCCATGGCCCTTGCCACCACGAAGGCGGGGTAGTGACGTCGTGTGTGGGACGGGCGCATCTCAGGAGACGAAGCTGTAATCTCAAGTCGTCGTTCTGCGAGACCACGTGGTGGTGTCGCCCTTGCTGCTCACTCCGGCTGCCACGTCAGTGACTCTACAAGATACAATGGCACATAGCCCAAATAAGATACGAGTCCTCAACCAGTACACAAATAAGATACGAGTCCTCAACACAATGCGCGTGCATCGAATTTCTTATTGTGAAGATGATGTACATGCTGTTAAATGTGCGCCAGAGACTTCTTGGACTGCACCATGGTCGTGAGCCGGCGGAGGGTCATCGCGGGCGGTGGCTTCTCGAACGTGTCGCGAATGTACTGGGCTACGAGCACCGGCATCGGGAGGTTGCGCGTGGCGGACGCCATGGCCACCTTGGCGATGGCTTCGAGGAACTCGGGGTAGATGAGCTCGGCGTCGAGAAGAAACGGGTCAAAGTCGGTCTCGCCGTCCTCGTCGTTGGTTTTGCGCAGACACTTGAGGACACCGGGGACTCCGAGGGCACCGAGGCCCCGCTTTTCCTTGAGCATGAGCACGAAGTTGCCCGTCGTCATGTGCAAGTCGCTCTCGGGCGTCGCGGCCGGACCGCTGTACTGCGCAAAGAGCTTCTCGAGCAGCTCCTGGTACTTTTGAAACACAGTTTGCATCTCGAGGCTGTGCACCGAGATCTCAATCGCCTCCATCGGCAGCATCGGCGTCGACGCGTGGTCGTGGATCTTGGAGTCGTAGAGGTACGTGAACGCGTCAGCGACCGTCATGTCCACCTACGCACACCATCCAGGCTCCTCTCCCTTCTCGCACAGACAGCACCTCGCCCCGCTCCAGCGCATCGTCCCACGCGATGCGCACAAGGATCTCGCAGAACTCGCGGAAGAGCACGACGCGATCTGGGTCGTGGATGTCGGTCCACTTTTCCCGCGGCGTCACGATCGCGTCCATGGCCCGCGCGTTCATGTGCCGGCGCTACGCCCGACTCAGATCCGAGGACGACTCTCCATACGACTACCTTCTTCTCCCGCTGGATCCGCAGCTTCTTGACGGCTTTGTTTTGCGCGTTCCGAACCACGAGGAGGTACCGGTTGAGCTTGCCCAAGCTCACGTTGAGGCGGCACTCGGCGCTAAAGCGCCAGAGCTCCCGCATCTCCATGAGCACGTTGTTTTCAGCTGGTGCGTGCGACGTCGTTGTGCCACCGCACGACGCGTAGTGCCGGTAGACATTGCGCAAGTCGGTGTTGGCGCGCAGGACCTAGCCCTATCTTTGAATATTTTTGTCTCGCAAGACGTACGGCGTGCTGGGTGGCCTTGAGCGCGCGCGCCTTGTCTTCGTGGCGGAGGATGTCGTCAATGTACAGGACGAGCGTCGGCAGCGTCTCGGCGTTCTTATTCTTATTGTCGTTCATGTCGACCATGCGGTCGCGGACGAATTCGCCTGCTCGATACATTGATACTTTTTGTGTGTTTGACTCAGATGCGGACCTTCGTAAATGGTGCCGTCTTCAAAGAAGAAGAGCCCGAGCCCGTGCTTGACGTTGTCTTCCCAGTGGCCTTCGTAGCGCGCGCCGTTGGCGTAGTAAAAGACACCGTAGCCGTCGCGAACGCCGTTGGCAAACTCGCCTTCGTACCGATTGCCGCGTTTTTCCTTGGTTTTCCAGACGTGGACGCCGGCGCCGTGCTGGACGTCGTCGAGCCAGTCGCCGTCGTACGTCTCGGCGGCGTCGAACCAGTGCATCGTGCCCTTGCCCGCCTTCTTGCCGTCGACCCAGTCGCCTACGTATCTATCTATCAACTTGATACTGAACGGCGACAAACCTTCGTAGACGTTGCCAGAGGCATACTTCATCGTGCCCTTGCCGTGGCGCTGGCCCGTGACCCAGTCGCCTTCGTACTCGATGCCCTGGAGCTCGTCGTACACGAGCTTGCCGTAGCCGTGCTGGTACCCATGGACCCAGCTGCCCTCGTACGACGTGACGCGGTTGCTGCTCATAAAGAAGCCGAGGCCGTGGCGCCGCCCGCGGCTCACGTCGCCCTCGTACCAGCTCTCGTCGGGCCAGACGTACTTGCCGCGGCCCGAGACCTCGTTGAAAGCAAAGTCCCCTTCGTACGAGACGCCGTCGGGCCACGTGAGCGCGCCGTGGCCGTGCATGCGCCCGCCGTGGAAGCTCCCGACGTACACTTGGCCGTTGATAAAGGTCGCGCGCCCGTGTCCGTGGAAGATGCCCTGCTGCGTCTCGCCCTCGTAGTGGGCAATGATCAGCGCGGCCAAGCTCGGGTCCAGCGGGAACTGCGGCGCCGCCATCTCGGAAACGACCCGTAACGGCAGATGATGCCAACTGCCATCTTGTCGCACTGGCAGACGGATGGACGGATACGATGGAGGAAGAAGAAATCATAAATCATGTTGATGCATCAGAGGAGGTTCATGCCATCGCCCGGCGCCGGTCGCCCTCGTAGCGCGCGTCGTTGCCCTCGGGACCGTCGTCATCCTCATCCTCATCGTCGTCGTCGTCGGGGAAGAGGACTCTGCACATGGCGTGGTACCGCACGCGGTAGGCCTCGAAGTCGGCGTGGAGCGCGCGGGCCTCGTCGTGGAAGTAGGCCAGGTCCGGCGTCGCCGCGTCGTCGAGGACGTTGTCGGTCGTCATGCGCGCGTCGCTGCCGTCGTGCAGCACGGGGAGGAGGAAGCTGCCGAGGAGCGTCTCGTCCGCGGTCAGGTCCATCTCGTCGGCCTCGGAGGATCTTTGGCTGCAAGCTTCGATCTTTGGTCCTGTTCTTTTTCGCGCCCAAGCGTTCTTTTAATCGTTCTTTTATGCCCCCACTGTCTTTTATCTGTCGACACCACGATACTACACTATTTATATAAATGGACCCAATAGTATATAGTGTAATCGTGTCGGCAATGAATTGTGGAAAATAGGGTTACGCGGTTCTTAGCGCCGGCCCGTGTGCACAAAGTAGAGGACGAGCCCAAAGGCGACCTGGAGCACGAGAGCATAGGCGGCGAGGACGCCCATGCTGCGCCCGATGTTAACGTCCTCGAGGTTGAACTCGGCGAGGATGCTCGGGCTGCGGTCGGCAAACTCGTTGTGCATGAGCACTTGGAAGACGTACGAGTGAAAGGCGAGCGCGTGGCACCAGCGCCAGTACGTTGGGATGCTCTCGCGCGCGAGGAGGTAGCCCTGGCACAGCATAAACTGCCCAAAGAGGCCAGCACCGAGCGCGATGCCGCCGATCGCGTGGCCCACCGCGGCGCCGAGCACGTGGACGACCGACTCGGCGACGACGAGGCCGAGGTAAAACGCGCCAAAGTACACGCCAAAGCCGCCGAGGCCCGCGGCGGGAACGACCAGCGTCGTGCTGCAGAGCGCAATGACAAAGAGCGCGGGAAGGGCGACGGCAAAGTTGGCGACGACGAAGCTCAGGACGTTGACGCCCCAGTTGGCGCGCTCGCGGGCAAACACCTAGAACCCACGGATTGAGGCAGAGCCATCCGAAACGAACGCACCGCGCGCTGCTCGAGGAAGAAGGGGAGTGCGGCGACGCTCATGAAGATGCAGAACGCGGGCACGCCAAAGAGGAGCGCGACGAGGCTGGCATCGTGGGCGGGGCCGGGCGTCGGGTGCAGATACATGGTGCCGGCCATGGCCGAGAGGAGCGAGTACATGACGAGGCGGACCCAAAAGATGCCCGGGTTCCGCAGCGTGTTCAAGAGGTTGCGATCGAGAAACACGAGAATCTGCGCCACTGGCGACGGCCGCTGCGGCGCCACGCTCCACGGCGCACTCGCCGTCGCCTCGAGCAGCAGCTGGTCCTACCGCATCGTCAGACTCATAGAGTGAGCACTTGACGAATCGTACGTGGAGATTGGTGGTGGCGACCGCGTCGGCGAGCGCGTCAATGTCGGCGTGGCAATGGAAGTCCGTGTTGACGATGCGCAAATAGTACTCGGCCGGGCTCGTGTGTTCGGGGCACTCGTACCTACGAAGCGTCAGCGGCTCGCAAGCACGAGCAGAGACAACAACCCGAGGGGCCCAAAGTGCGCGACGATCGCTTGCGGGGACCCGCGGTACATGGCGCGGCCCTGCGCGAGCAACAGCACGTTGTCAAAGAGCTGGAAGACGCGCGCGCTTGGCTGGTGGATCGTGCAGATCACGGTGCAGCGGTCGTCGCGGCAGAGGCCAGCGATGCACCGAACGACGTTGAGCGTCGTCGCCGAGTCGAGACCGGACGTTGGTTCGTCCAGCAAGAGCACGCGCGGCTGTTTCTACTTTCATATTGCTTGAACAAAGCTAGACGATCCACATGTCGTATGTACGAGGAGCTCCATCGCGATGCTGAGGCGCCGCTTTTGACCGCCCGAGAGCCCTTTCCGGAACAAGTCGCCCACAAGGGTGTGCACGCACGATCGGAGGCCTACGAGGTGCTTGAGCGATGGGTGCACAAAGAGAGGAATACCCATGGCATCGATGACGTGCTGCAATCGAGCGTCGCGCTCAGCACGCGATACGGTCGACGGCAAGCTCAGGCGCGCGGCAAACTGGAGCGTCTCGAGGACCGTAAAGGATCCAAGAAGCGTGTCGTCCTGGGCCACGTACGAGGCGACGGCGCGGAAGGACCTCGGTTCACGCGGCTGGCCATTTAAGGCGATGGTACCCGTCGTCTTGCCACTCGAGATGCGGTCGGCGAGCAGATCCAGAAGGGTTGTCTTGCCGCTTCCCGACGGGCCGAGGATCGCTAGGAACTCGCCGGGCCCACACCGCCCCGAGACGTCGTGCAGGATCGCCTTCTTGGAGCGAGCCGTGTACGAAAGGTCTTTCCAGCTCAGTGTGCACGGTAGCAGCACCTCGTCGTGCTTCCACATGGTCGCAAATCAGAACTGAGCTCCGCATTGCGATCTTTCGCGCGTCACACTATTGTCGTATATCCATGCGTTTCTTCTGTTGGATGGTCGAAATAGTATGCGCTGGAGACATCCGCGACGACCGACCCCTCTACTGTTCGCGGTGCAGCCTACACGAGATAGACTCGACGTACTTGATTGGATATCACGCAGAAAGCAACCGCGTACGGCGCACACACCGTGCGCACGACCTTCTTATGTCCTGTCCTACGATTTCACACTATTCTACCACTATAAAAAATGGTGTATGCTGGTCACCTCAACGCGGTTCCATGGACCAATCAGATGCCGCGGCGGAGATCGTGTCGACGAATCCGACGCGGTCGCTCATCAAGATCAACCTGCTTCCAGGGTATCCTGATCGAACGTCAGCGGATGCAATCACACTAGAAGAGACGCCATGCTGCTCGAGTCGCCCGTCGCTACGAGCTTCCGAGAAGGCCTGCTGACGCCCAAGTGGCACGAGGCGGCGCAGCCGTGCACGCTCGGCTGGAGCCACCTCTCATATACAGTGACGAAGCAGTGCAAGTCCATCCTGGCCGACATTTCGGGGCGGTGTGCGCCGCGCGAGATGCTAGCGATCCTTGGCCCGTCGGGAAGCGGCAAGACAACCCTTCTGGACCTGCTCGCCGACCGCATCTCGAGTGGCAAGACGACGGGTGCCATTGAAGTCAACGGCCAGCCACGCGACCACCGAAGCTTCCGGTCGCTCGCCTCGTACGTGGCCCAAGAGGACGCGCTTCTCGGGTCCTTTACGGTGCTGGAGACCCTCCAGTTTGCCGCACGGCTGAGCCTCCCGTCGTCGATTTCGGCGTCGGCGCGCGAGGCTCGGGTCCGCGCTGCCATCAACGACATGGGTGCGTACCTACGCCTATAAGAAACAGGTTGGTTCGATGACGGCTAGGGCTGTCGTCCTGCGTCGACACGCGTGTCGGGGACATCTTCCGCAAAGGGCTTTCGGGCGGCCAGAAGCGGCGTCTCAGCATCGCGATCGAGCTCCTCGTAAGCCTTGTGCCATGCACGAAGGCGCGATAAAGTGGGCGTAGAAAGAGCCGACGATTTTGCTGCTGGACGAACCGACGTCGGGCCTCGATGCAGCGTCGACCGTCAGCGTGGTCGAGCACCTGCGTCATTTGAGCACCGACCGGGGTTGTACCGTGCTCTGCACGATCCACCAGCCGAGCTCTGACGTGTACGACCTATTCACGTCCGTCCTCGTCCTTGCGGCCGGTCGCACCATGTATTTCGGCCCACCCCTCGGCGCGCTCAGCCACTTTGCAGCCGCGGGGTACCCTTGCCCGCCCATGACCAACCCCGCCGAGTTTTACCTCGAGCTCGTCAACGACGACTTTGACGGGCACGCGGACGTGCTTGCGCTCGCCAGGGAGTACGACCCGCGCCCCGTGCTGGTACGCGCTTCTTCTAGATATCATGATACCTTGATACATTCTACAACGGAACGCTAGGCCTTGCTGGAGACGGACCGAGCCAGCTTGACGGGTATCATCGCAAGTGACGACGGCGCGTCGGCTTTTGCCCAAGGTCTCGCGCTCCTTGACCGCACGAGCATCAACAACGTGCGGGACCCTGGCGTGTACTGGGTGCGTCTCGGCATGTACACGGCGCTGTCGCTCACGACGGGCACGCTCTTCCTCTCGACGAACGCGAAACTCAACGAGGGCAACCGCGTCGCGCTCTTGATTTACATCCAAGCGTTCCTCGTCTTTATGAGCATCGCCGTGTTGCCCGTGTTCATCCAGCAGCGCGCGGTCCACCACGCCATGTTTCAATATATCAAGCTGATACATTTGTAGGTGTTTGCACGGGAGCGCGCCAACCATAATGTGGCCGTCGCGAGTGCCGTCGGCGCCAACTTTGTGGCGGCGCTGCCCGGCATCCTCCTCATCGCGCTGGTTTCGGCCTCGATTGTCGTGCCACTCGCGGCCCTGCGCCACTTTTGGTACTTTGTACTCAACCTCTTCCTCACGCTCGTCGTCGCCGAGTCCTTCATGCATGTCATCGCCGCCATCGTGCCGCAGTACATTGTCGGCATCGCCCTCGCGTCCGGGATCTACGGTGCGCCTTGCTACATCGATACCTTACCAAGTTGATACTGTAGGGATGTTTATGCTCTGCGAAGGCTTCATGGTGCCGCGGCCCGATATGCCGTCGTACTGGCTCTGGGGCCACTACGCGGCGTTCCATTCGTACTCGTTCGAGGCCTTCTTGTACAAGCAGCTTGCACCGATGAACTCGAGCGAGAGCCGCTTTCTCCTCGCGCGCTACGGGCTTCAGGACGTCAACTGCGACCGCAACATGCTCGTGCTCGCAGCCTACGCGCTCTCTCTTCAAGGCATCTACTTCTGCATTCTGCAGCGCTTCCACACGGGTCGCCGATAAGCAAGCATAGTACAACGTGTCTATTCAAAGCTACAATAGTCCTCGATGGGACCTGAGTCAACGAGCGTCGACTGCCGGCGCGTGAACGAGTTGCGCCGCAAGTGCTGCGGCGCCTTGTCGCGGAGGAAGGTCGCGTGGATGTACTGAGCGACAGTCACGGGCAGCGGCACGCTGGGCACGCCCATGATGGCGCGCGCGACTTTGGTGAGCGCCTCGAGGAACTCGGGGTAGATCAGATCTGCCTCAAGCGCGAACGGGTCCAGCCCGTCGTCGTCTTCGGACGAGGGTTTCCGGAGCAGCGCCAGCACTGCCGAGACGCCCAAGCTGCCCATCGCGCTGAACTCGCGCAAGAGCAGCATAAAGCTGCGCACGGAAATGTGAATGTCGTTCTGGGGCTGCACGGCGCTGTCGAGCCGCGCGTACTTCGCGAAAATCGGCTCCAGCGTGTCGCGGTACTTGGTAAAGACCGCTTGGAGCGGCGCGTCGAGTACTTCGAGGCTCAGCGCCTCCATGGGCTCGATGTGCGTCGACGCGTGGTCGTGGATCTTGGAGTCGTAGAGGTACGTGAACGCGTCAGCGACCGTCATGTCCACCTACGCACACCATCCAGGCTTCTCGCACTTCTCTCAGAGACAGCACCTCGCCCCGCTCCAGCGCGTCGTCCCACGCGATGCGCACAAGGATCTCGCAGAACTCGCGGAAGAGCACGACGCGGTCGGGGTCGTGGATGTCGGTCCACTTTTCCCGCGGCGTCACGATCGCGTCCATGGCCCGCGCGTTCATGTGCCGGCGCTACGCCCGACTCAGATCCGAAGACGACTCTCCATACGACTACCTTCTTCTCCCGCTGGATCCGCAGCTTCTTGACGGCTTTGTTTTGCGCGTTCCGGACCACGAGGAGGTACCGGTTGAGCTTGCCCAAGCTCACGTTGAGGCGGCACTCGGCGCTAAAGCGCCAGAGCTCCCGCATCTCCATTAAATCCAAGTGGTTGTCCGACGTCGGGGGGCCCGACATGGGCACCTCTGGCCGCGTGGCATAGTGCCGGTATATGAACCGGAGGTCCGTGTTGGCCCGTAGCACCTACCGTTGACGGTGAGGAGCAAACGTCTGACGGGACGTACGGCGTTTTGAGCGGCTTTGACCCCCCGCGCCTTCTCCTTCTCGGTCCCTTTGACCAGGTCTTCGACATACAAGATCATTGTCGGCGTCAACTCGGCGTTCTTGGGCTTGTTGTCGTTCATGTCGACCATGCGATCGTTGTCGAATTCGCCTGCTCGATACATTGATACTTTTTGTGTGTTTGACTCAGATGCGGACCTTCGTAAATGGTGCCGTCTTCAAAGAAGAAGAGCCCGAGCCCGTGCTTGACGTTGTCTTCCCAGTGGCCCTCGTAGCGCGCGCCGTTGGCGTAGTAAAAGACACCGTAGCCGTCGCGAACGCCGTTGGCAAACTCGCCTTCGTACCGGTGTTCGCGGTTCTTGCGCTTGCCGACCTTCCACGTCTGCACGCCGCACCCGTGCTGCTGGTCCTCGAGCCACTCGCCGTCGTACGTCTCGGCCCGGTCGAGCCACTGCATGCACCCGCGGCCCGTTCTCTTGCCGCCGACCCAGCCACCTGCATCGCCGGGTACCCCATGGCATCGTCAGTCATAATGGTTCTTCGTACCTTTGTACAGTAGCTTTGGGCCGTAGCGCATGGCGCCCGCGCCGTCGCGGAGCCCGTGTTTCCAGTCGCCTTCGTACGAAATGCCTTTGGCCGCGTCGTAGACTTTCACGCCGACGCCGTGCTCGCGGCCGTCGACCCAGTCGCCGTCGTACGAGATGTCGCCCTGCGTGAAGCGCCCGAGGCCGTGGCGCAGGCCGCAGCGCACGCCGCCTTCGTACACGCTGTCGTCGGGCCACATGTACTTGGCGTCGCCGCTGAGCTCGTCGTAGTCAAAGTCGCCTTCGTAAATGACGCCGTCGGGCCACACGATGCGCCCTTTCCCGTGCATGTGGCCCATCCAAAAGGACCCCGAGTACACTTGGCCGTTGATGAACGTGGCCGTGCCGGTGCCATGGTAGTATGTGCTCAGCCGGTCGCCCTTGTACGAGACGATGATCGCAGCCGTCATGCTCGGCGCCAGCGGCGGCGGCGGCGGCTTGCGCGACATGTGACCTTTCGGCACAAAGTGGTTTCATTGGCCTGCGTGCGATCCGACGTTATATTGTCCACTGCGGTGGTTGATAGTAGTGTGCGTTGTCATTAAATAGTTGAAATAGTGCTAGACAAAGTAGAGCTGCGCGGCGTAGTAGAGGCCGCTTGAGAGGAGCGCGGCGGCCGCCAGCATCCCGACGGCGAGGCCCCATTGCGTGCACGGGTGGCGCAGCGCGTCGTCGGGGCGGCGGGCGCAAAAGGCGAAAAACATGATGCAGAGCCCAATGCCAAAGCCCGAGGCAAACGCAGTCGTTGGCGACGGACGCTGCGGCGACGGCGTCTCGGCGTCTTGGACGTCGAGCGTGATGAGCGACTGCGCGCTTCCATGCTTGCTCTCCAACGACTGCATCTTGCGCTCAAACGACTCGAGCGGCAGGCTCGTTCCTTCGGCGGGCATTTCGTCGAGTAGCACATTCGGTTGCAACTGGTTATGCGTTCTGGAACGTAGTGCACTGGATATCTGGTACCCGGCTATACTGCAGCCAAAGAGGCGTTTGTTTGGCTCGGCATTTCCTTGTGTCTTTGGAGCTCGGATTGGCTAGCGCACGGAACCTTCTTTCGCAGACGCAGGTTTTCCGCACTCGGCATCTGGGCGAGCAGCGCCTTGATCATATTTAGACATGCACGAGATATTGCGGCCCTGCTCTGAGACCAGCCATGGTCCGCAGTAGAGTCCACCACGACGACGCTTCAAGCCCATACATGAAGCTGGTTCGCCACATGTGCGTTGCATCACCGACGTTCCTCGGTAGAAACGGGCTGTGTCCAACGCAGCATGCGCTTCCGATGAACGATCATTCCGGTAGAGCTATCGACACAACGGCGCCCGAATCTAGCTGCACCTTGACACGCACGCACGTCTGGCGTTTTCTTCAACAAGCGAGATCGTCCGACTCACTGGTCCGTGGCTACTCGAGGGCTTCAACGGCCATGTCATTGACAGAGGCGCTGCAAATCTATTTAAGCCAATCATCGAGTGCACAGAGGTCGCTACCCAATCGTTGCGCAGAGAAAATCCGAAATGATGGCGAGAATGCTCCAATCGCTGTCAAGAACGCTTCGGATTGGCTCGTTTTCACCGCAGCTCCAACTCGAATCCTCTACTGCACTTCAAGATGCTGGGCCAGCTCTTCCAGTATTGGCGGTCGTCGCCGCCGCCCTCGGTGCAGCTTCCTTCCAAGTCCGACGACGACGACGACGACGATGATGAAGAAGCCTACGACGTCTACCTTGACACGCCTGTCTCGCTCGCGCCCTTGTTTGTGGCACCGCCCACCACATCGCACGGCCCGTCCTGGCGCCGGCACCGAGCCAAGACGGCGCGCCGGCGCCTGAGCAAGCTCGAGTCGATGGTTCACGATGAGCACGCAGACGCGATGCGCCCATCAAGCGTCTTGTACGCGACGGTCGGCATCGCGCTCCTCGGGGCGTTCCAGTTTGGCTGGCTCCTCTCGCAGCTCAACTACGTTCCGTTCCACGCCAACTGCGACGCGCGCCCGATCCCAGTTGGCGACTGCCTCCTCTTTGCGCCGCACTCGGAGAGCAAGTGGACGCTCGCCGTCTCGGCGTGGATCGCCGGCGGCGCCGTCGGGGCCATTTGCAGCGGCCTGCCCGCCGACATCTTTGGCCGCAAGAAGACTCTGGGCGTGAACGCGCTCATCATTGTCTTTGGCGGTCTCGTCCAGAGCCTTGCGACAACCCTCGAGACGTTCACCATCGGGCGGCTCATCTCGGGCGTTGCGTCCGGCGTCGCCATCAATGTCTGCGAAGCGCTCATCTCGGAGATCTCGCCGTCGCAGATGCGCGGCACGTTCCTCACGGGCCTCCAGGTCGGCGTCGCGTTCGGCTCGCTCGCCGTCACCTCGGCGCACTACGCCCTCGACGACAGCGATCTTCGGTGGCGGCTGCTCATGGGAGTACCCGTAGTACTTGGCGGCCTCCAGCTCCTCTCGCTTCGCTTTATGGCGCAGAGCCCCGTGTGGCTCGTGGCGCACAGCCGCCTCGACGACGCCCGAGCCGAAATAACGCGCCTGTACCGGGCAATGGACGTCGACACGGTTTTGCATGCACTGGCAGCCGCGCACGCCGACGAAGCCGCCGAGCTCGACGGGCGCAGCCCCGAGCACTCCTCTTCTCGCCACCGTTCCGCAAGCAGCTGGTCATTGCGATCGTGCTCTGCGCCGCGCAGCAGCCTGGTGCGGCATGCCGGCGATCATGTACTACTCGTCCAGTATCTATGCGGGCGCAGGCATCGCCGACCCGCGCGTCGGCACCAGCGTCGTCAACGTCGTGCGCACAAGCACCATTCTCGTCGCGGCCGCCGTCATGGACAAGTACCCGCGGCGCACGCTCCTCCTGCGCGGCCTGTCGCTGCAGGCCCTCGCGGCCCTCGGCCTCGTCGCGAGCCTCGTGGGCGGAAGCGCCGCCGGTGCGATTCTGGCCACCGGCGTCTTTGTCGTCGGCTTCTGCCTCTCGATCGGCCCCATGGCGTGGACCGTCTCGTCCGAGATTTTTCCCGACTACATGCAGGCAACCGCGGGCTCGGTGGGCACCACGTCGACGTGGCTCGGCGACCTGCTCGTCGGCCTACTGTACCCCACGCTAGCTCAAGGCAATGTGCTCGGCGGCTACGCCTTTGGCACTTTCGCGGGGCTCTTGATTGGCTTTGTGCTCTTTGTCTATCTGTACGTCCCGGAAACCAACGGTCGCACGGCCGTCGAGATTCAAGCGGCGTTTGGCCACGATGCGCCGCCGCCACTGTCGGGCCAGAACCACAGCGGCGACCCATGGGGCACGGAACTTCGCGCGCTCGCCACATAACAACACCATGATACCATATATTGTACTATCTCCTTCGCGTCGTTGGCGGTATTTGAAGCGGCGACAGGCGGAATGGACCGTTTCGCGGGTGCCGGTTGGGACGTCGTCCGACGCGATGCGCGGGAGCCGTGCCAGCAGTGCCATAGCGACGTCAACGCCAAGCTTCTCGTCCACTGCGCAGCATGTGGGCTGCATCGCCACACGTATTGCTTTGAGCCGGCGCTGCTGGCGAATCCGAGTTACCGCAACCCGCGCTGGTGCTGCTCCAATTGTCATGCTGCACCTGCATCGACGCACGCTCCAAAGCCAGCACTTTCAACGCTTGCATACGCCAAGCGCCGGGCGCTGCCATTGCCCAAGCCGCCTCGGCGTGTGGCACCAGCGCTGGTGACTCGGAATGCCGACGACGACCTTGGCGAGCGCCGGCGCACATCAGGCAAGTTTCGGCGCGTTGCGTGGGCGATGCTCCACTACCGGCGGCTGCACCCGCCGCGTAAGGCAGTCGTGCTGGGCTCCATCGCGAGCCGCGTCCAAGCGCACGTCATGCACGAGCTCACGCCCGACGAGGCAGCGCGGCTCGGTGACTGGCACCTCAAATACCAAGACGCGCCCGAGAACGACGACGAATGGTATATGCCCAAGAAACCACCTCCAATGACTGTCGAAGCAAACGACGAGCCCGCGCCCCTTGTGCCGGACGCGCTCGAAGAACCCGTGAATCCAGGTACGCAACGGTCTTGAGAAGTCGCGCTGACCACGCGTAGCGGCCTTGCTCGTGCAGACGCAGCTGCAGCTCCAGACCGCGACGAACGAGGCGACGAAGCGTCGAAAGCAGCAACGGCACGTGGAGCTCATTCGCGCGAGTCGCGAGAGCCAGGCCGCACGCCGACTACAGCGCTGGTACCGGCGGTGTCTCCAAGCCCGCGCCGACCACGAGGCGCGAACGCTCGCAGCCATCGTGATCAACCACTTTTTCCGCTCGGTCCTCGACAGGCGGCATAAGCGTCAGTCCAAAGAAGCCTCGGCGGCTCGGCTTCTTCAATCCCAGCGCGCCCACGACGCCAAAGTACATGCGACGTCGGGTCTCTTCTGTTTGAGAGCTCTGGTCTTAGGTCGCGCTGCTCCACACCAAGCGAGTGGCCAAGGCGCGTGCGCGCATCGGCGTCTTCCTGGTTCACGACGTGCTGCCGTACATCAGTCTCCGGCTCCACGGCGCCATTTGCATACAGGCGCAATGGCGCATGCACGTCTGCCGGCGCCGGTACTTGCAGAACCCGCGGCAAGTCAGCGCCCGCCGGCTCCAGCGTGCATGGCGTCGGTACCAAGCGCGCTGCCGACGGCTGGCGGAGGCCAGTGCCGTCCTCGCACGCTTTGCCCAGCGCTGGCGCGTGCGTCGGCTGCTTCGCCGCGAGAAGAGCCGCCTTACTCTTGTAAACTGGTCGTCTACATGTTGCTGGCTCACAGGCGACTAGCTCACGGCGGTGCGCGCTCTGAACGCGATCGAGTTTGACCCGGCGACAGCGACACCCGCGCAGCTTTTTGTCGGTCTCGGGACCTACTGGCATACTCGCAACGAGCTCTGGACCGCCGCGCTGTGCTTTGAGCGTACGTGGCTTGCGCTTGGCGCCGAAGTCAGATCTGATTTGTAGGCGGCATGCGCCATGGCGGGCAGCCGAGCGCCAAGGAGCTCCTTGCGATGGGCGAGAGCCACCACGCGGCGTGGCACGTCTCGTGCGACGAGCTGAATTTGCAAAAGGCCTACGACAGCTACAAGGCCGGGCTTGCGCGCGATATGAGCGTCAAGGACCCGCGCATCCTCTTTGACTTCGCGCTCGTGCTCGTCGAGAGCCGCGAGTACGCCCCTGGCCTCGACTTGCTCCAGCACCTCCTCAGTTTGTACCCAACGTTTGAACAGATCCCACTGGTGCTGCTCTGGACAGGTGCACTCCTCTGCTCAAGTGACCGGCCTCATTGATCATCGTAGGCGTGGTACTGCTGCATTTGCGCAGGTGCTCGGAGAGCTTGCGTTGCTTCACGTTGCTCATGGATGCGCCACCCATCGCGTACTCTGCCGCCGACATGACGCTACTCTGCGCGCTCTGCTATCATGGCTTGGGCAACGCAGCCGACTGCAAGCAAGGTGCAGAAGCTTCTCTGCTAATAATGTTTCTCGGAGTGATGTTTACTGCAGGCTTGGTCACGGCGATGGCGCTTCTCAAGGCAGCCCGCCGGAAATCGACGACCAACGAAGCGCTCTTCGACCTTGGCAAGCGGTCGCTCCAGGCGCGGCAGTACCTCTTGGCCTACAACGTTCTCTTCTTCGGCCTCCGCCGCGCCAAGCACTCGACCAGCGATGCGTGGGTCTGCTTCAGCGACACGCTCCGGCATCTCGGCCAGCTCGACGAGAGCAAGCAGGCGCTCGATGCGGCGCTGGCCCTCGACAGCACGAGCTCGCGGGCGCTCACGGCCGTGGCCCAGTGGCCGCCGCCACTGCATGCGTTCGCGGCGGCGGTGACGTCGATGACCGATGCTGCGTATCTGCAGAGCTTGGTTAGCGACGCGCGACAGCCAACTTATTAAGCTTCTTTCGTCGTGTCTTGGCCGCCAGTGCAGAGACCTGTCGCGAATCTTGGCAAGGGACACGGAGATGGCACGGAGCTGGGCGTGACGCCGGCGGGTCACGCTGGCCGATGACTGGCTTTGTGGATTGGCCAGCTAATAGATTTGGAGCGATATGATTGGCTCGTTACGGATGCAGGGGGCGGGCCCGTGCGATATGATTGGCTCCACGTCGCGTGTGACAAACCCAGATGCACCGCGGCCCGCTTCTCCGCCCACAAGAATAGAATTATGCCGACGCCCAGCTAATTTGTATAGCTGAATTGATTTCGGGCATTTAATGGAGCGGGCGCGCCCGTGAGCCGACATTGTCCAACTTCGTTACTTTCACGCATATCACCATGCTCGGCCGCGCCAGCACGCTCCGCGCCGCCTTGGTCAAGCCGACGGCGGGCCAGCGCCGGCGCCAGCACACACAGGCCGGCGTCGGCCCCACCCTCTTTGGCGGCAGCGTCTTTGGCCTCGCGCTGCTCTCGTCGCTCGCCGAGCCCAAGCCGCTCGCGCAGGCCGAAGCCGCCATGCTTCTCAAGCCGGACCCGCTCAGCTCCAAATACCACGTCGGCGGCGTCATTGGCTCGGGCGGCTTCGCACGCGTCTGCGCTGGCCGCGAGAAGCAGTCGGACACGCCGGTCGCGATCAAGCGGCTCTCCAAGGCGTTGACATCCAAGGCGCGCTTTGAGCAAGAAGTGTCGATTTTGACGCAGGTCCAAGGCAGCAACGCTGTCGTGCAGCTCAAGGAGGCTTTCGAGACGCCGGAAGACTACGTGCTCGTGACCGAGTACATCCAGGGCGGCGAGCTCTTTGACCGCCTCCTGAGCCACGGCACGTACTCGGAGGCGCAGGCCAAGGCGCTCACGCGGGAGATTTCGTCCGCGCTGCAGCATCTGCACGCGCGAAACGTCGTCCACGCCGACGTCAAGCCCGAGAACATTTTGCTCCAGTCCAAGAACGACTCGGCGCGCATGATCCTCATCGACTTTGGTTTGTCGTTCCATGTCAACGACCGCGCATCGAACCACCGGTGGGACGGCTCTGGCACCATGGCGTATGCTGCGCCCGAGGTGCTCAAGAAGGAAACGATCAGCAGCGCCATCGACATGTGGGCGCTCGGCGTCGTGCTCTTCGTGCTCCTCGCCGGGTACCACCCGTTCGACCCGACCAACGAGGCCTCGGACCGTGATCTGCGCGAACGCATCATCGCGGGTCAGTACGACTTCAACCACGACGCCTGGACCAACGTATCCAGCGACGCCAAGGACCTCATCCGGCAACTGCTCCAGGTCGACGCCGCCAACCGCCCGAGCGCAACCAGCGTCCTCACGCACCCGTGGATGCAAGCGTAGGCGCACCCCACCCCCATTTCTTATAGTTCTAATTTATACGTTTCCCGTGCGTCAGTGTATCTATCATGCTGCAAGCTACTTCAAGCGAGATGTGGCTCGACCTGGTTGGGTGCAACCTTCTCGTGTTCTTTGAGCAACCCTCGCGCTCAACCCCCGCAAAGCATTCGACCTCCATGCGCCTTGTTCGCCTTCCCAAGCACTTGAGTCGTCTCGTCTTGAAGCGGCTTGCACTCGATCTGTGGACGTGTACCGTACGGACCCATGGATTCTGTGTGGCGATCTTCCAGCGCATAGTCGGATTGGCCGAAAATCACTGGATTTCAAACATTTGCGAGCCAATCAAACGGCATCAAGTTTTGCACCAATCATACACGACCAGCTTCATTCACGCATCATGGTGGCCCGGGTCTACGTCGGCGGGCTGCCGTCGGACGTGACAGAGGCCGACCTGCGCATGCGCTTCGGCAAGATCGCGGGCGTGACGATCGAGGCCATCGACATGGTCCTCCTCGGCGAGAAGGGCCGCGGTATCCGCGACTTTTGCTACATCAACCTCGTGGGTCCGTCGCCCGAGGCCGAGGCCGCCGCCGTCGCGCAATACCAGCAAGCGTACAACAACACCAAATGGAAGGGCAAGCGCTTGCGCGTCGAGCTTGCTGAGCCTAGCTACGAAGCCCGGCGCCTTGCCGAGCTCGCCGAGATCCAAGCCAACGTCGCTGCCGCTGCGGCCGCGCGGTCGGTCGCGCCGGCCAGCGCGGCGCCGACGCTCAAGACGGCGTACGCTGGCACCCGCACTGTGTTTTAATACATGAACTACTACTACTACTACGTGACTGCTTAGGCCTCGGGATCGTGGGTTTTGATGGGCGTGAGGCGGTGGCGCGTCTCGATGCACTCGTACGCGGTCATGTGCAGCTCGATGAGCTCGTGGAGCGGCGCGTGGACCCTGGGAATTTCAAGCAGCGGCAGGTCGAGGAAGTAGCCGTAGAGGCACCGGATGACCTCGGGGTGCGCGACGAGGAGCACTGGCGACCGGCTGCGCTCGAGCTCAAAGATGACGGGCTCGAGGCGCGTGATGACGTCCACGTAGCTCTCGCCCAGCGGGTACCGATACCAGAGTCGGTTGGCCGCGCGCATCGCATACTCCCTAGTTCCACCGGATAAGATTTTTCTTCGTCTTAGAGCGTACTGGGCGTGGTGCAGCTTGAGCTCGGCGCGGGTCAAGTGCGAATAGGCGCCGGCCTCGAGCGGCCGCAGCGCGCGCCACTGGACGCGCGTGTGGCTCTCAATGTGGCGGACCGTCGCGCGCGCGCACTTGGCCGTCGAGTACCAGAGACTCAGCGCACTCGGCGCCGTCTCGGGGTTCTCGGCTAAGAACTTGGCCAGCGCGCTATGCATACAAATGAGCTCGAGCGAGCGTCGTCAATGGAGCCAACATGCTGTACTCGACACCGCGCGGCGTGAGCTCGGCCTCGCCGCCGAGACGCGCGCTGAGGTCGTTCATGCTCTCGCCGTGGCTCGAGAGGTAGATGGGCCGCGGCACGATGTGCAGATTGCTGATGAACGAGAGGATCTTCATCGGGAGGTACCCGTGGATACGGTTCATGATGAGCTACCGACATCCCTCGTGAGATAGACCATAGTTGACGCATCGACCTTGGTGCCGGCGTCGATGACCTTGACATACGAAAAGATCTCGTCGGCGGGTCCGAGCGCCTCGTAGTTCTTGCGGTAGTTGGCGATGCGCTTGCGGAAGTCCTCGACGGCCATCTCGGGCGTCACGCCGCGGTAGTCGGGCGACCGCAGCTTCGTGTCGCTACGCAGAGGATAAGAACCGAAGAGGTAGCAAGGTGGAATGATCGTACATGATGTTGCGCTCAATGATGGCTTCGTCGTCGCAGACGCTCTCAATGAAGAGGAGGTGGAAGCCGTCCGTTTCGGCGATGCGTTTCTATCAACTTGATATTCCGTGGCACATGGAGCAAAATATGGTTGTACCTCGATCCAGAGCCGGCGTTCGAGCGTCGAGTTGGTCCCATCATAGATCGCGACCTCGCCCTCGTTGTTGAGGTAGTTGAGCATGTCGTCCATCGCGGCCTCGGCCATCTCCATGCGCTGCTTCTGCCCCAATGGGTTTTGCGGGTCGAAAAGTCGGCGCCGTGCTCCGCGCCAAGAAGCTTGCGCCGGTAGTTGCCAATGTTGAAGACACGCGTCGCGTAGTTGATCCAGTTGAGGTACCGAGCGACCTGCGCGCTGCATGAGCCTCGACGACAAGACGTGTTGCAGGAGGCCTTACCTTGCGGGCCATGTACGACTTGCCGCGGCCAGGCAGACCGACCATGACAACAACCAGCTTCCCGCCTTGGTTGCGCCCTTCATGCATGAGGTCCGTCTTCTTGTCGTACTCCTATGCAACGTATATGGCATGGGATCGGTAAGGCGGAGGGCATACCTCGGACGTCAAGATACTCGAGGACGCCACCGACGGCCGTCGGCGCAGCGGCGAGAGGCCGGCCATCGAGATGCCGAGCTCGTGCATGAGCGTCACAGCGGTCTTGTGCTAGCATGCAGATGAGTTTCGCCATCGATGGCGCATGGTCCTTACGAGGTGGTTGTCAACGGAGCGGGCGGGCGTCGCGTAGGGCTGTGGCCGCAGCGGCGCGTCGGTGTCGAGGCGCGAGAGCGTCTTGCGGGGCTTGCGCGCAAAGTTGCGCTGCCGGGCGAGGACGACGGACGAGTAGACGACGAGCGTCGCGACGAGGATGAGCCCGACCTGGCTCGCTGCGGCTGGCATCGCTAAGCTGTGGATACTGGATTTTTCAAGAAATCCACGACCAGGAATAAAAACAAATCGCGCGTTCCATACAAACACCAAGTCTCCAAAAATACGCACCATTTAATATACGGCGTTACAGACAGGACCAGAGGACGCCCGTGGGGCCCGCGGGCGTCGGGAGCGGCCACGAGGCGGCTACAGCAGGATACCATAGATATCGAGTTGGTTCTCGGTTCTGTGGCTCGCCAGAGGTCCCTCGTTCCCCGTGCACGCTTAGTTAGTTAGTACAAAACGTACGAAGCAGTGACGTCGTGGCTTCCCAAAGAACACGCGACCACCCAAGACGCAACCAAGATTCAACGTGTCAGAGCCGCGCACGTTGAAGCCACTCGTGCCGATCGTGCTCTTGGCGCCTGTCTTCAACTTGGCAATGCCACAAATAAATGGTGCAATGAGCTGGTGCAATGTGGCAGTATGCCACTTTTGACAGCGTGGCAGATGCCGATTGTGAAAGGCGGCATCTGCCACGCTTGCCAAGAAAGTGGTAATTATGGCGTGTACCAAGTATACGCCAAACAACGCGAGAAGATTGCTTCCGCATGCGACGCTGCTGCCCGTGGAGTCGTCTTGCCCTCCTTCTCGTCCTCTTCGCTGCGTGGGCCCCGCTCGAGCCGGCCGCGGCCACGATCATCGTCGGGCCGAGCACGTCCCCGGACGCTCTGCGCGCGCTCTTCCACGTACGCGCCATGCATGCCACGATGGCCTCACAAGCGTGCTGTCTAGTGCGCCAGCCGACAATGGATCGGCCGCTACAACGAACTGTACCAAGAGTGCGTCTTTGCCAACACGTCCGAGAGCTTGCTCATCGTCAACACCACCATCGACGCCACGGCCCTCTTTGTGCAGGACCATGGCCCGTTTGCCGTGCACATTGAGCTCGGGGTCCAGCTCAATAGGACGTCCGGCACGCTGCGTCTCGAGAACGCAACGCTTTTCGCGTCGGCCGTCTTTGTCGACGCCGCCAACGTCTCGCTGGACGCAGCGTCGGCCATCAACACGACGGCCAACGGCCTCCGCTTCGGACCTGGCTACAGCTCGTACGTGCCGATGGGCAGTGCGTACGGCGGTCTCGGCGGCTACACGCTCTCCCACGCTTCGTTCGCGGTCCCCGGCTCGTGCGACGACATTGACCGCGACGGCGCGTACACCAAGCCGATCGGCGACCTCTTTGGCCACGTGATGGACTTTCGCGGCTACGGCAGCGGCGGCAGCGAGGCCGACAGCACGCGCGGCGGCGGCCGCATCTCGCTCAACGTATCGGCGACGCTGCAGCTCGACGGCCGCCTCTTGGCCGACGGCGGGTTTGATGCGACCTTCAGCACCAGCTCGGGCGCCGGTGCGCTGCTTCTTTTTCTAGAGTCGATGCCTGGCTGATGTTGCCACTTGTGTAGGCGGCACTGTCGTCGTCCAGGCGTCTGCCGTGCGTGGATCGGGTGTGATTCAAGCGGTCGGCGGCCAGGCCACGGCGCCCGATAGCAGCGGGCGCGGCGGCGGCGGCGGTGGCGGCGGCGGGCGGGTGTTCCTACATGTTGCAACCGCGCCAACGATCGCCGTCCGCGCATTTGGCGGGCGCCATGCATCGCCTGTGGACGACGTTTTCTGGTGCCAAGAGGGCGGTGCCGGCACGATCCTTGTCGCGACGCAGCGCGACAAGACGACGGTCGACGGCCAGCTCGTCATCAAAGGCCGCGACGGGCCGCCGAAACCTCCACGCCGGCTGGTTGTGGGCACGCCACTCTTTTACTGGACGAGCCGCCGCGAGCACATGCTGCCGCCGTGGCTCAACTCTGTTGTCGTGGCCGGCCAAAGTCTCTTGATTGCCAGCACCGTGCTTCTCGAGGTACGAACGACTCGCTACTGCAGCAAGGCGTCATGGATCGTATCTGCTAGCGTGGCGCGGCCAACACCTCGATCCTGGTACTCTCCGTCGTCTGCTGCGGTAATTCATTATCCATCCCTGTAGCTCGAGGCAAGCGCTGCGTGGGCCAACGCCGCCGACAACAGCACACTGCACGGCAGTGCGACCAACGTGACGCTCCACGTACGATGCGGCGCTGTCCGTCGCCTCTCTACATGGCGCGTAGGGCTATGTGGGGCCGCTGCCAGTACGAGCGTTCGAGCGAGGCCGCGTCGTGCTCACCGCCGGCGACCTCATCCTCGTCGGCGCGATCGTTGACGCCGCGCAATTGGAGCTGCGCGCCGATGTCGGCAGCGTCTCCACCGACGACGACTGCACCTTGCGCTTCGAAGATAGCGTGTTGATGGCGTCGGCGGTTGATATCGACGTCCGTGGCGCCGTCGAGCTGCCGCCGTCGCGTCATCATCGAGGGTGGCGTCGAGCACCGAGCATCGTTCTCGAGAGCCAGCGCCACACGCGTGTGGCGTGGCAGCCGAGTCTCTCGCTGGCGTCCGTCGACGTGGCGGTGCGTGCTCCCGCTCTCGCTGTATGTCTCACAAAGCAAGCAGGTGCGCGCGGTCAACCAATCGGTGCTGACGATTCACGGGCCGCTGCGCCGACTCCGCGTCGACGCTGGCACCATTGAGTGCACTGGCGGTGTCAATGGCTCGTCCACGGTGTTTCCCCACGAGAGCCGGGACATTTGCCGGCCGTGGCCCGTCGATGACGACTGCGCGTCGGGCGACTACCAGCTGGCACTGGTCGCCACATCGTCGCTTGCCGTGGCCGACGTCCATGCGAGCTCGGTGCTCCTTTGCGCACCAGATGTTCGCGTCGGAGGCTCGGGTGTCGGCGCCGACGGCCTCGGCTGCAAGGAAGACGGCCCCGGTATCTCGACCGAACTGGATGGCGCCAGTGGCGGCGCTGGACACGGTGGTCGGGGCGGCAACGTCGAGCCCGGCGATCGAGGTGGTGGCGCGACCTGCGACGCGTCGTGGCCTGGCAGCGGCGCGGCCGGCGACTCGACCGGCGGCCTTGGGGGCGGTCTCGTGCTGCTCCGCGCGACGACTCTGGCTCTCGATGCCGGGCTGAGCGTCCGCGGCGGCAACGGCACGGCGGGTGGCGGCGGCGGCGCCGGTGGTAGCTTGCTCCTCTTCCTCAAGGAGCTGCAGGGCAAAGGCTCTCTCGACGTCAGTGGCGGTGCGGGATCGTCGACGTCGGAGCGTCACGGCGGCGGCGGCGGCGGCGGGGTCGTGCGAATTGCGTACGCGCCCGACGGCAGCGGCCAAAAGTACCTCGGAACCGTCGACGTCGCCGGCGGCTCGAGCGCGGGTCAAACCGGTTACGATGGGCTCATGGCCGGTCTCAACTGCGTCGCGGGCTGCGGAGGCGTCTTTTGCGCGCCGTGCGCCGCGGGCCAAGCGAGTGCTGTCGCCAACGGAACGTGCGAGCCCTGCGCAAGGGGTACGTTTAGTGCCCAAACGGGCTCGACCGCCTGCACAAACTGCGCGCCCGGGTCGTTCAACCCTACGAACGGCTCCACCGCGTGCTTTCTGTGCGCGAAAGGCCAGTTTGCCGCCGACGCCGCGGCCACCGCCTGTACCGCGTGTCCACCCGGCAGCATGAGCCCAGAGAAAGGGGCCGTGCACTGCACGTTGTGCCCGATCGGCAGCACAGCGTCAAAAGCTGGCAGCGCGACTTGCGACCTCTGCGACGTCGGCCACACGACCCGAGCGGTTGGCAGCCTCGCTTGCGTGCGATGCGACACCAAGCCGTACCACGCAACGTACAACCAGAACGGGACGTGTCACTACATGTGCGAGAAGGGCCGCGTCGGGCTCAAGTGTCTCACGCCGTTCGAGCAGCTCGTCGCGCCGATTGGCGGGCCCCTCGGCTTCGTACTCCTCTGCCTCGGCTCGATCGGCCTCATTTTCGCGGGCTACGGCATGCTCTCGTACCGCGGCCCGCCCGCCTCGCGCCGTCTCAAGCAGTACCAAGCCCAATTGCTGCGCCAGAACGTCCTCAAGCACGCCCAAGTGCGCGACGACGGACGCCGCTGCCCGCACTTGAGCGACCACCAGCTCCCGTTCCACGTGGCGCGCATCTACTTTGAGGGCCACAACGACGCCGCTGATCCGTGGCACCTCTCGACCGCTCTCTTTGTGGACAGCACCCTGCGGAAAGCGCTCTACGAAGGCTCGTTCGCGGCCTTCGCCGCCAAGTGCAACCACCTCTTGCGCTCGCAGTCGTACGCGATGCCGCTGCTGGATGCGATTTGTATGCTCACACTGCCGATCCTCGGGCACGGATTGCGGCGCCGGTACCGCCAAGCGGCCGTGCGTGCGGTCGCCACGTACGTGGACGAGTACGGCGCGGGCTTCTTTCGCGACCTCGACGTCCGACGCCACGGCGCGTCGCTGCTGCTCGGGTTTAGCGACGACCTGCGCCTCGGGTACCTCGATCTGCTCCTCTCGCCCGACGCGCAGCGGCATTTGGAGCTCTCGCCGACCCCGGCGCTCGTGTTTGCGCTGGCGGGCGCCGGCACGTTCTTGCACCCGTGGCACCTCGACACGAACGACGCGCTCCTGCGCAGCGTCCCGTCGCGGCTCCAGGTGCTGCGGGACAGCGGCTGGCTCGAATTCGTCGCGGCCCTCAACCTGGCCCTCCGGATTGTCTTGCGTCGGGAATGCCCGGCGTCGCTGACGCCCGTGCAAGTGCTTCTCGCGCGCTTCAACGACCAAGACGACCTCAACGGCTACACGGTAAAACCTCTCGCACGTAGACGCTGGACGGCAGACTCGATCCTAGGTGGCCCTCGGTGTCTTCAACCTGCGCGAGAGTGGCAAGCCATCGACGTACCTCGAGTCCATTCGCGACGTGGACTCGGGTCTTGGCCCACGCGACAAGATCGTGCTCGTCTTGCGCCCACCGAGAGACTCCATGTCGGTGGTGACGGCACCTGCGTCACCACCCGCTACCGATGCGAGCATGTCGATGTCGTCGATCCGGTATGCAGCGCTGTATGCGCCAGAGCCCAAGGCCATCGCGCTCGAAGAAGCCGTGGGACTCGTTGATGACGCGCCGCCGATGACGCAACCCACGTGGCGGCAGCAGCTGCGGCGGGCCCTGGACGCGATTGCGCCGACGCACGTGGCGGTATCGCCCGGTTTGCTGCGCTACGCGTGGGGCCGTCCCGTCTCGTTCCTTGCGCTTCTCGTGGCCGATTTCCTCTTGTGGTTCTGGCTCGCGCTGCAGTTTTTCTGCATTCAAGTCGGCGACCCGACGGTGCACGAAGCCGGCTGCTCCCACGTACGCCTTGTATTTGCCATGACGACGAGGCTTGGAACGCGCAGACTATGTAGGCAGCGCTCGTGCTCGTACTCAGCGTCATGCCCCTCGCGGTGCTTGGCGCGCCGCTGCTGGGCCTCGCGTTCGTCTTTGGGAAGCGGTCGTCGGTGGGGCGCCTCGTACGTTCTCTGCAATGTCTCAAACGGCTAAGATCTCGTATGTGTCTAGTTTGTGCTCTGGACGGCCACGTGCTACTGGAACGCGGCCACTGCGTTTGGCTGCGGCGTCTACTACTCGGCGTACGTCGGCGACTCGGTCCTCGGCCTCTCGCTCGTCGCCGCGTGCGTCAAGTGGCTCGAAGCGCGCTGGGCGCTGCGGCTCCTCGCGCAGTTTGAGGGCGACCGCAGCAGCCGCGGCTGGGCCGGCCTCTTTACGACGCGCGACTACTACGACTGCGCGGACCGGCCTCTTGGGCGCTGGCTGGCCACGTAGGCGATGCACCTCGTCGCCCGTGGCTTGGCTTCGAGCACGAAGCTCCGATCGGGAAGATCCAGCGACATGAGGTGTGTAGCAATCACTAGCTGTGCAGCTAATTCGTACTTGAATGCCGAAATTAGACGCCCTGTTGAGGCATTTCGTACGTTTTAAAATATAATCTTTAGATATCTTGATGTTTGCATGGCGATTTGTGAAACTATAAAAATGAGGCAATTTCGCCGGTTGTGTGGCATTGGGCAGCTTCGATTCTTTATTAGCATCCGCAAGCATGTACAACGGGATCGGGCTCGCGACGACCCGCGGGTCGGGCACGAATGGCTACGTGCAGCGCAACCTGAGCTACGTCAAGCCCGCGCACCAGCGCGAGAAGGAGCGCCAGGCCATGATGGGCTACGCCAAGTACGAGGAGCCCCACAAGAAGACGGCCGTCAACAAGCAGATCCTCGCGCACGAGCGGAAGCGCCAGGTCGAGGTCAAGGTCATGGAGCTGCGCGACCAGCTTGAAGAGCAGGGCTGCGATGACGACGAGATCGACGACAAGTGCGACGCCCTGCGCAAGCAACTCCAGGCCAAGGCGGAGAAGGACGGCGACGGTAACGACAAGGGCGCTAGCAGCCACGCCCGCGCGGTCCAGAAAGAAAAGCAGATTGCACAGCTCAAGGACGCGTTCGGCATTCGCAGCACGTACCGTGACGGCGCGAGCTTCGACTTTGATGCGCAAGCGGCGCAGCGGCTCGAGCGCCAAGAAGAGTTTGAGCGCAAGCAACGGGCCAAGGAGACCACGGAGCGCCGCCGCCTCCGCGATGCTTCTTCCGGTAAGAAGGAGAAGCGCAAGCGACGCAAGCGGTCTCCATCATCCAGCTCGTCATCATCGAGTTCGTCGTCGTCCGACTCATCCTCCGACTCCAGCGACGACGAAGGCGCCCGGGCTCGTCGTGAGCCTGCGGGCGACCGGAAGAGCCGATCCCGCAGCCGCCACAATGCCGCGCACACGAATGCACCCGGTAGCCGAGCTAGCCCCAAGCGTCGCACACCGAGCCCGAACAAGCGTGAGGAAAGCCCGCGTCGTCGTAGCCCTCGTCCCCGCAGCCCGGAAGGCGAACGTCGGAGCGGCAGTCCTCGTCGCCGGAGCCCCAGTCCTCGCCGTCGGAGCCCCAGTCCTCGCCGTCGTAGCCCGAGCCCCCGCTGTCGGAGCCCGAGCCCTCCCCGCCGGAGCGGCAGTCCTCGTCGCCGGAGCCCCAGTCCTCGTCGTCGTAGTTTCAGTTCTCGCCGTCGCAGTCCGAGCCGTGGACGTCGCAGTCCGAGCCGTGGACGTCGCAGTCCGAGCCGCGGTCGCCGCAGTCCGAGCCGCGGTCGCCGCAGTCCGAGCCGCGATCGTCGCAGCCCAAGCCGTGGACGTCGCAGCCAAGCCGTGGTCGTCGCAGCTCTAGCCCCCGACGACGCAGCCCCATGGGTCGGCGCCGCAGCCCGAGCCCCCGTCGTCGCAGCCCGACTTTCCGCCGGCGTAGCTTTAGTCCACGCCGATCGATGGACCGACGCGGCGGTAGTCCTCGCCGCAGCCGATCGCGTCGCCGCCGGTATTCGCGCTCGTCGAGCTCGAGTCGGTCGCGCACGCCCGTCAAGCGCCAGTCGCCGCAAAAGTAAGCGCGTACCAATACGACGCAACCGTGCATGTACATTCGACTACACACTCGACTCCACACGATGGCGCAGGGTGGGAAGAGTCGCGAGTTGACTGCGTAATAGTGTATGACTTTGAACATAGTGTCAGATAGAGGGCTAGGTACAATTGTACGCCAGAGGTCGCAAAATATGGATTGCAATATGACGTGGCACTCGGAGAGGGTCCCATTTCCGCGCAAACGTTCAGTCGTGTAGAAACGACGAGCACGACAAAGGCGAAACGCAGTGCTTTTACACGAGAATCGGAAAAAAACCTTGAGCGCTGCTCATTCTGCAATTTGCGCTCCAGGGCCTCGGTCGCACGGCAACACATCGCACGGCAGGGCGGTCGCAACTAGGCGTCCTGTTGACTGTGGACGGTGAAACTTGTGTGGCCGAGGTCCTTCTTTCGTCACTCATCGCTTCAATTCTGGGCATTGGTGTACCAACAGACAAACGCTTGCAAAAAATGCTGCGTCCTCATGCGGAGTGCGAATACTTCTGGCGAGAACCGATGCCAAGCACGATTCGAGCAACGTTCGAAGCAGCAAAGCGCCGGTGCTAATACCTTGACGCAAGTGTACAGGCGCAAAAGAGGCTCACGGAGGTGTCACTTAAGCTCGGTGAGGCCTTTTTGGTCACATCCTTCGCAGCGCGCCAAACCTTCCAGCCAACATCGCGATGCGTGAGAACTTCGGACGCTTCGGCGCTGCACAGTGGCCGCGCCACCCGATGATGACGCTACCACGTGTGCTCGACGCCAATCTCGCCACCGTTCCGTCTTTCAAGAGCATCAAAGATCTCAGGGAGTAGATCTGCTTTAGCGCCGAAGGAGCGTCTCGAGTTGACGCTGCTCGACGGCCTCGCGTCGAAGCTGCTCGAGGCGACTGGAGGAAGACGACGATGACTTGGCTGTCTTCGTCTGCTTGAGCTCCGTGTTCGTAGCATTACCGGCAAAGTCGAGCGCGTCGGCTTCCCGTGTATCGTTGGCGGCGGCCATAAGCGCCTTGGGCCGGCCCACGACCGCAGCCATGGGGTCGGTCGGCGTACGCTGCACGTGGCACCTCGGTGGCGTCGTTGTCGTCTTGGCTCTGCTGGAGGACAGGTTTGCGAGGGCGGCTTGCGTCGGCCTATCTGGTAGTGGACCGGGCTCACCGCGCTGCCGAGCGCGATGCCTTCGTCAGTGTATTGCTTGATGCTGGCGACTGGCGTGGACACAAAGAGGTCGATGGCCGGCGGCGTCGGCTTGGTCTTTTTGAGCGCCTCGACCCGGACGTCGAGGCTCCGCTTGTACTTCTCCTCAAAGGCACCGCGCTCTGCCTCTTCGTGCACCCGCTCGTCGCACCGGACCTTCTCGATGTTCGCGCGCGTCCACACCACTTCTTGTGCTTGCGGATCCGGCTCGTTTGGAACTCAATCTGGCATGGATGTTTATTGGCTGAATTATTGATTCTTTCTAGCCAATCACAAGACCTAGTCTTAAATAGTGTGAGCACCATTCAGCACAACGACGAGTAGCAGCCCACAGACGCGCCAGCGCCACGTAGCAGCCGTGTATACCTCCCCACACGCTTCTTGAAAGACATACAAGTCGTTTCCGACGCTGCACGTAGCGCAATCGCGCGCAAATCCATTTTCCATTTTTCGAGGTGGTGGCAGAATTGCCCAAATACTTCACGTGACATCGCGGGGTTCCGAAGCTCCAATGACCGTAAGACTGGCTGCCACAGTTGGCAATGGGTCTTGACCCGGTGTGCGACCAGTTTGTTGGTCGCCGTCGTTGCTTGGGCACTCACACCAAACTCGAACTGCCGAGCGTCGGTTTTCACGAAATACGACACGTAATTTCGGTTGAAAATGCATCGAAGTCCCGGGAACCGAGGACGCCATCTCTTTTGGATCATGTTAAAGTGTGTGTTGCATGTGGCCGAGAGAGGCAAAGTGCGCGCGGTACCGCTGCGTGATGAGGCATTGTATCCCGTACAGTATTTCAGTATAGCGAAAAAGCACACTATATTAAAATATTGTTTGCTCTGTCATTTGCTCTAGCTACAGAGCTCATGCAGCGACGTCACATAGCATTTTGGACTCCCCAAAGTGTGGTCTAGCACTCTGGCAAGTATGGGCGATTTTATTTTCAAACTTCATTTTGGTCGATCCGCCTCCTCCTAACCGCCTGTGAACCAAAATATGGTTGTTTATGGTTGTAAATGGCGAACGCCAATAGCAACGACAGGTGACTCCAGAAAGACGACGCCGAGGCTCGTCGGGCCACACTGACGCTGCTGCATTGTGCTCGAGGAGACTCCATCAACAGTCTCTATGCACACGCTATCACGAGGTATCGCTCGGTCGCAATGCAGCTTTCCTCGTCGGTCTCCCTCATTTTCGTCCATGCCAGGCCAAAGCGTTTCGGCCAATCAGAGCGACAAGACTTTCGATTTGTGGCCAATCAGAGCGGCAAGCATTTTTCTTGGAGCCAATCACCAGTGTTTTTGCCGCAGTTCTCGAGCCGATCATCGCCGCCAGCCCAGCCACGTGGTGCGTGGCAAGCCGTGCGCAGGCCTCAGGCCGAGGCGCTCACGCGACGTCGCTGTAGCTATGGCGCAGCCTATCCATGCGTGACTAGCCACCGAGTAAGCCCTTGGGGCGGAGCTCTGGGCAATTTCTCGACGGCCTCTCTTGCACAACGGCCAGCGCCGCGTCGTCTTCGGAGCGCGTGCGCCATCTCTCGGTGCTGATTCCGAAGGCTCGAGCTCAAGCACCTTACGCTTAACGTCCTCCTGCTTGTACACTGCACCGAGCCGAGACTCCTGGCAGTGCCACGCCAACATAAAGCATTTTACCAAGTTGATCTTCCCCGTATACACGAACCAGATCAACAACCCCATGCTCTACTTTCAGCTCTTTGGGTACTTTACCATAATATCATCGGCGGCAACGTTTC